GGGTATTTTTTAGTCAATGAATAAGAAGTACATTTACCCCTCTTTGCATTAGTACTGCAATGTCAAATGAATGTGCTGGTTATAGGGGTCAAAAGATGCGAAAGAAAAAAAGTGTCCCAACCTTCCCCACTTTCCCCTACTTAATTTTGAGACACCCAGTACGTATTAGTGAAAATGGGAAAAAAAACTTGACTGTAATGTCTTCTTTGTTTTAGCTGCTGTGTTTCTTTAATTGTTTTCGTATTCCATGAGTCATATTGTCCATCTCGTTGTCAATATTTTTACTGCAGTACTGCGCATAGGCGTTTGCTCTAATTTTTGTAAATTTTTTGAATATTTTATTAAGTAGTGATGCTACGTCTTGACATTCATTTGCATTGTTTAATAAATATTCGCTCATGAATGATTTAAAATATTTTTCTTCTATTTCAAGTTTTGGGTATTTATTGATGTGATGACGGAAATAAATTTCAGCTGCTTGCATGTATTCAGATAGCCATTTCGATGTTTCCCATAAGCGTGTATCGTTGCATGTCCCTTTGGTTCGGTCCCTTTCGTGAGCAATAGCCCCAGGTTTTACATCATCCCTAAATTTTTCGGTTAAAATGAGTTTTTGGTTAGCAGAAATGCATTTACTATGATAAATTTTTCTAATAACAAATCCTGCTATGTAATCTAATATTTCGATTTCCTCGGCTGTGAGATTAGTGGTTGTTACCCTTTTGGATTTTTTAGTTTCATTGGTCAAATGGATAAAAAACTTTTGTATAAGGTCCAAGACTTCTAATGGAGTGAGGCCAAAATTCTGTGCTGCTAGGAGGTTTTTTGGATACAATGCGAAGTATTCATTTTTATTACCACTTTGCTTATATCTGTTTGCCATCTCTTGCAATGCATCACGCATTTTTAATGCCTTGCTTTTTTTCGACAAAAACGGTGTCACATCATCCTGTTCGTCTGCAGGAACGACTGTGTCTTCATAAAAAATTTCCACAGTTATTATTTCATCTTTATTATCCTCCATTTCGGCGAGAAAATTGAGACCGTAGTTCTCCATTTCTTCTGATTAAAAAATATTTGATCTGGTAAACAGTAAATAATCGCGAGTTTGCGAGCGGTGAATACGGAGCGTCCTCGTCGTGAAGCGCCTTGTCTGAATCTAACCGACCGTGACGCCCGCCACTTGGAGGTGCAACATCGTCTCTGTTTGTTTATTATACGGCAAGCGGAGTTGGACATCTAGTAGTAGTATATATTTACGGTCTGACGATGTTGGTTGAAGCACGTTTAAAATTTTCGAAAAAAATCAATTTTCGAGATCCGGAGTGAAAACGTCAAATCAAGGTAAATTGATTATTTTTTCATGCATTGTAACTGAGCGATGCAAGCGAGTATTTCTTTGCAGTAGTGTATGATATCGCTTACATAACAGCATACATGTTTTTGGATACTGATTTGATTTCTTCCCACTACGGATCCTTTTTTTCAAAATGGGTCTGAAACCTAATTCAACAACAGGTTGGGAGACGGGACATTGGATGCCAGTTAGAGCCTTTAACGACCAACATAACTGTTGAGATACAAAAGATTGATTAATGATAAATATTACTCAAATGTATGGGAACTAATGTGGCCGCGAACAACACAAAATTAACATTGTGGCCCCCGGCCACCTTGGACCATGGAACTTGAATTTTTAGCCTACTTTCCAGGATATGAGAGGTGGTATTTGCCACAGCTATCTGAACAAACCTTGGTTCGATTCAGAGGATTAGTATGTATGTATGTTTATTCGTCTCGAAAAAGCAAACACACAAACAAAAGTTAGTAAATACCAACATTGAAGACGGGATGTATACACAAGACCATACTGGCCTAAAACACATGAAAGTGCGGCATACACCCCTTATGATAAGCAAATATCTAAAACTTTTAATATATATCTTAATATCTAAAACTTTTATCCTACAATTTCGAGTAGATACCGGGCATCAAAATTAATTTCAAACATTATTTTATAGGAGCAGGACATCCTTGAGGGTATCAATAACTTTTCAATTCTTCGAACATTTTATTAATCCTTTGCACGACATGTTAATGAAGAGAGACACCTGCGGTTTTCATACTGCAATAGCCGTAGATACACATATTTACAAAATAGCAGAATGATTTCAGCTCTGCTACTCGAACAGTGTAAATATAGAAATATTTATACATTTCGACAACAAGACTTTATACGCAAACGGGCAAATTATTCACAGCATAATGTTAAATTCAGTCTTAAAGTACCTGAGCTGCACCTCTTCTTTTTACGCAATGAGCATATATACATATATTGTTTTACGCCTCCATTTGATATTTTGATAATTTATCGGCAGAGCAGCTGACGTTAAAGTGACGCAATAAACATATGACATAACAATACATCAGTTCTCTCCCCATCTCTGAACTAGTAAATCAGAGATAAATTGAACGTTCCCTTCAAAAAAATTGTAATAATGTGGAATAAAAAATTGTTTATGACTGCCATGTTGCATGAACGGGACATTTAAGTCAATCGGCGGGACCACAGATATATCTCCAATTCAGTGGACGGGACGCCCGGAGAGCTTATTAAAACCGGGACTGTTCTGACTAAACCGGGAGGAATGGTAAGCCTAATCACACTGTCATTTGGTCCTATCATCTATGTTTTTTTATCATTTATTAGCTGTTCGATAACCAGCTTTGGTTCTGCGCAATTTCTCTTCCCCAGTAAAACTGTGTAATTATCATTTCCTCGTAATTATTTTTACTGGTTGGAAAAAATAAACTTGACTTGACTATTTCCCCACCAAAATAAATATGTCTATATAGACTTATCATAATTTCTTGGGCATAATCCGGAACAAACTCAAAACAATGAATGAAACAAGAGAGCTATGCTCAAATATATGGACACGTAACGCCATCCAGTGGGAATAATTTTGATGACGTCATAGCGAGAAAAAAAGTAATAGCCTTTTGGAGAAAAATTCTTCAACCACTGAAAATCTCAAAGCAATTGGTCCAGTATTCGAAGAGTAAAGCGATTTCTTCAAAACGTGTCAAAGAACATGGACACTAAGAACAACAACAACATAATATTGAAACGATCGCTATGTCCACTACGTGCCCAACAACTGGACGAAAGGCCGAAGGCCTGAGCTTGGCAAATTTTTATTCCACATTTATATTTATAAGCTTTAATATTGCATAATAAAGTATTCTACTTAGATTGAATAAAAAATTTATTACTTTATTTAAAGAAAAATACATGTTAATTTGGGCAACACTAAGTCACAAATCGGACATTTATAAGAAAAAAAGAAAGAGCAAACACTGAGTACAAAAAAATAACACTAACTCACAAATCAAACATTTATACGGTGATGCATTCAGAAACCATTGGCGTATTTTTCACTTGAATGAACTTTTTTTAAAAACTGTTTATTATTTCATATTTTTGTGTACAACTCACTACAGCTCAGGCCAATATTGAGTTTGCAAATCAATAAACCCTCTAGTGTTGACTTCTTCAACGTACTCCTTTCATCTGTTCAAATAGTTTTCATCATAGAAAAAGATCTTTCAGCAAAAGTCGAAGTGCCTGGTAGACAAAATATATATTCCATCACTTTTCTAAGATTAGCCACAGATATATTTTGACTTTTAAAATGACGGAAAACCTTGACCCATTTTTCTTCACTATCTTTTTCTTTCCATTCAGCTTCAGCAGATCTGGAACAACTTGATACAACTCTGCTACAGTTAAAACATAGATATTTTGCTCCTAATAATTACCATCTAACAGCAACTGCTGAACTCTCTCTAAATTACTACCTGCTAAGAACTAGTTTGCAGTATAGGCTAATCAAAGTAGTCTTTCTAATTAGCCTACAATTAGCGCCTGTATGGGAAAAGAATCTATTCACCGTACTGTTAGCCTACTGCATTACTCTACAGAATCTCAAGTTCTAGATTACTTTCAGCATAATATGACTCAAACAAAACCAAAGTTATTATGCCTTCTCCAACTCCAAGCATACCTGAAATGGCTTCTAATGCAGAAAGTGCTGTAATTTCTTTGAAGTCAATAGAATAATGACGCAATAAACGTCACTCATTATTCCCTAACTAAAGGATTTCTCAAGCTATGCGCGATATTTCACTCAACCCAATGAGCATGTATATATGCTCATTGCTCAACCCAACGACTCAACCTAATAAGCTAAAAAAAAATTAAGATATTAAAATAAGCCTCGAGTTAAAGCAAACTTATGCTATTTGGGACGAAATTATTTCATAATTTTGCATCAGGTTGGAGTTAATTTTAAAAATTTCACTAAAATAAAATTCCGGGACATTTTGCTAACCGGGACGGGACACCGGGGCAGACGTTTAAATCGAGACTGTCCCGGTCAAACTGGGACGTATGGTAGGTCTATGTCTATATAGCTACGTCCCTAATAAAATGACATGAAAGAAGAAAATAAATGAAAGTTCATAACATAGGTATACATGAACTGTGGCTGAACGCGCCATTTCATCTTTTTGAAAACTCCGCAAAGAAATTCAGAAGCCCCCTCAGTAATAACAGATGGTGCGCTCATATTTACGCTACAATATTCCAAAAGTAAATTGGCCAATGTCAGTCCTAAAATACCAAACCTACTTCCAATATAATGTCTAATCCATGAATAAAATGCGTGATAATAAAACAGAGCTTAGTGAGGTTCGACATTACGGTATAACGTACAGACTCCTCTGCATTTGTCTGTTTTTGCACTTGCAATTGATTTTTTACTAGAAGTTATGCGCAGACAAGAATATTCTAGAACTTCTGGCAACTATATTGCCGATTGTGAGTTCTGCTACCATAGTAGTTATATCACAATTTAATAACAATTTTGTTGCCCTTCTCCTGAGATAACCGTACATAGAAAAGAAATAAAACATGTGCATCAACTCCGTAATATTTCCGCTATTTCTTCGACATGTGTGTCGACTGCTGTGCTGAGGCCGTTGCAGTCCAGTCACGTGACTGGCGCGTCAGAGTAGTTGGAGCCGCTGTTATGAAAAAGGCGGTCCTCGAGTTTGCAAATTATTTCTATAAAAGGATATTGCCGAAGACTACTAAAAAAGTTCAAGCAAATCGGTAAGTATAAAATGAATTTTCAGAATAATGATGCTTTAATTTTTGTCACTAGCATGGTACGGTACCGTACCGTACATCACTCCGCGTCATTGGGTCCCACAGGCTTCAAAATCTAACTACTGAACTACGGTACCGTACCCGTGACAGCGTGAAGGAACCGTACGGTACCGGTACTGAACTGAAGAACTGCGTCAAATAAATATCTGCATTATTCTGTTATTATTATAGGCAGATATTGGTATTGACCAGTGTTGAACTGTTGGTCACAAGGTACCGGTACCTCTTCCTGTTCTAAGACCTGGAAATTATTTTACTATTTCTAGTTCACCTTGCAGCAATGAATTTGGGCTCTGCCGTCTGGGTGTTGGCGTAGCTTGCTGTGCTATGTTATGTCTGTATGTGCGAGTCGATTGATTGACTCGTCGCAGGGCAGCTGGGTGGTTCACATACCTAATCGCTGGTCGGTTACACAAGAGGCTGTGGTTCATCTTTTGATTGAGCCGTCATATCGGTTTCCCTCTCTTCTGGGATGAATATATAAATCCTATCCTAATCCAGGAATCTGTGGTTGTCAACTGGTAAGGGATAGGATTTACATCTTTATCGTGGGGGAGAGGAAAGTCGATAAGACGGCTTAATCCAGTACAGCACACTATCCAAATTCCAAGAATTTCCCTCCATTTGGCTCCATAAAACAAATACTCTATGTGTCTCACAAACGAAGCCAGATGCTTCATATCTCGCCATGCTTGTCTCAATAATAATCTAAATTTATTGCGCCTGTCACGTGATCAAAATTGCTGTTTTTTGCTAAGAACTCTCGAATGCCATGGTAAAAAAATTTTTCCTTTGGTAAATCGGATTATTTTTTTCCCAAGGAGTTCAATGATGACGTTATTAGATTGCGCTTTTCTGTAGTATTTTGCGCAATTCCATTATATTGTATTGTTACCGATATTGAGGGATAACAGTGTTCAGGCGTCTCCCAAAGGATGGGGGGCCGGATCATCTGTAAAATGGGTTTCTCTGAAACGGGACAATGTCATTCGATCTGTATAGTGTGCCATACTGTAATCATATGGCGAACCACGGCCTCTCGTCCGGTTACTAGTCCAGGTCGGGTATGAGATTAGTTAGCCAGTTATTTATTTCGGAAGCATGGACTTGATGGTGGAGGAAGCCGTAACCGACCAGCGGTTATGTGAACCACCCTGTGGCGGCGAGAAGTCCAGCAATCCTCTCGCGCATGATCATCCCGCATGGGATTCGATCCTGCGAATCCACAAAGGGTAATCAGAGATGCGGTGGTGAGCGTATTCCTAACGCTTAGCACGATGCGCCACACCGCCGAGCCATCGGAGCCAGTATCTAAAAGTTTGATCACTTGACCCAACACTAGTCACATACAATCATACCTACTGTTCTGACCTACTTTTTCACAAAATCTGAGTTTCCATAATTTTCATCAAAAAAACAGAATAGATAAATCTGTTAATACAGTACGGCACAGTTCTCCGATTCCAAGAATAGCCCTAATATTGAAAGACATAAGAACTGTGATCTATCTACTCAAATAACGGAATAATTCAAGTCATCAACTGCAGGACCTCTGATTAGAAGGTCATGAAAATTAAAAATAAAGCGATAAGATTTGGAGTTGAAATTAGGAATGTCAGAATTTGGTCAGGGTAATATTTTATTACCCATATTCAGAAATTCGTCTTTCTGGTCGTGGAGAAGGTGTTCTGGATTCGTATTTCTACCATTCAGCCATGGTCGGATATTATTTTTCAATAACAATAATTTTGCGGTCACTGTAATTTACAATGCATGCATGATTCGTAAGTGGATCATCATTACAATATAAAAAATGGATACTGAACAATGTCAACTTTGTTCCAGACGCATTAGAAATGGGCACTGTCATCTTAGTCAACATATGAAAGGCTATTACATGTATTCATATATGTTTTCTATCAATTCACAATTGCATAAATTAATTGATCAATTCTATCATGTACAATAAATGCCTGTTGAAATAGAGTGGAGGACTCATTAACAACGTTGTTATTATCTTTCAGGGGGGTTAATAAACAAGACTGTACAAACAGTACAATACATTGCATTTGTATCTGTAATCCTTCAAACCCTCATATTGCAAAAATGCTTGCTGCTAGAAGAGACTCGTTGACTCTAACGTCACATTATGCCAATGTGGTGCGAGTGTTTCACAGTGCTCAAGAAGAAAAAGTGCAGATTGTTATGCAACTTTTCGGAGTTAACAGAACTGTAAGTTGATGCATCATTTATCTTATTTTTCAAGCATCACTGTGGGTTTATAACTAAAAATGAAAAGTAAGCCTCTAGACCAGTGCTCATCAACCTTTTTTGGAATGGTACACCCTTTTAACCTTTCTCAAAATCTGGTACACCCCGCCGATCCTACATTTTTGATACGTGATAAACTCAATGTTCAGAGAGAACTCAATGTTAAGTTACATATATACATTTGTTTATGTCTACGCATTTCAGCATCATTATTTAGTTAATGTGAACGTTTCTCTTGGATTCCACCAACCAGTTGTGCAGAGCAAGGTAATAACCTTGTTCCCAGTGCTGCTCTCATTAGTATCCGACACCCTTGAAAGAAATTCTTTTTATTATTGTTCAATTTCAATGATTGCAAAAAGCCCTTGTTCGAAGATGTATGTTGTTGACATTCGTACAGGAATGGTGATAGATTTTTGTGCAAGCGATTGCTCTACTCTGGATCTTCTAGTAGTGCTGTCCAAATTTCGTTTTGTTAAGTTTTTATATGTTTTGAACTCTGCCTTTCGTACCGAGTCTGATCGCAATTCAAACAGTTCACATCAAGATGCTCATATAGCCTACCATTCACTTCATCTTGGTTTCCATTTTTGGGTTTCCGTTATCCCATTCACAAGTCTTAATGAGATAGTACAGACCAGTGTTTTCCAAACTTTTAGTATCGTTAACCCTAAAGCGAATTACCAAAAAACTCAATTACCCCCTTCATAAAAATACAGTAGTCGTATCGTTACACTTTTATTACTCACACCTATGGCATCCTCCATTTCGACTTTAAGATGCTGAACTTGCGCTAGCTTATCATTTTAGCCTACAATCTCTACAGCGAAGTCATGTTATTATATCCCTACGAACCAAATGACTAGTCGCAGGCTGGTCGATAGTACAGAATTATAAAAGAAATTGTTGAAATAGTGAACGTCTGGATCACCCCTAAAAATTGCCAATTTACCCCAGTTTGGGAACCACTGGTTGTCCCATTCAAAATCGGAAAAATATCAATTTGCTTCAATATTCTGCCATAACTTCAATTTTGTTTCAGAAGCCGGAATCTTGCTACTAGCTTTAAAAAATATTACGTACTTTTCCTTGCATCAATAAATTTAGCTGATTTGTGATGTCAAATATTGTTATTGTTAGAGAAATATTACATATCATCAGGGATGGCCAATTCGAATAAAGTATTCGAATGTATTCGAATATCTCGTCATTCGAATATCGGAATTAGCGTTCATAAGAATATTGTATATTTGTGTGACGTCACACATTTTCGGCACCGCTTTCAAGACGTTTCCGTTGAATGAAAACATTCTCGATAGAAACTTGCGCGCGATTGCTTTCATCTGCGGGACATGTTATTTAGGCCGTAAACGCCTTTACGTTTGTGTTTTTTTCTCTAAAGTGCAAATTTGTTCACGATAACGATGACAATTATTTTATTTTTGTACTTGCACGGAGTTGTTAATCCGGTGAATACGTTCATCGGCGGCGAGTTTCTAAAGAAAACGCAAATTTTTTGATTGAAAAGCGGCGATTTAAAATACTGAAAATCAAACCGTAAACAAAATAGTTTTTATTGAGGCCCGTGACAGTTTAAAATACGGCAGTGAAAATCGCAAAATTTCGTATGCCTCTGGCACTTATTATGTTTGGTCCGCTTTTAGAAACATAGGGTCACTAATTGAGGGCGAAATTTGCCTGATTATCCATTACTTTAAATTAAATTGCAGTCGAAAATTTTTGTGTTAACATTATACAAGGTTTGAAACCGACTTTTATCGGGTTGTGAGAACGTACATATTATATTAAATCTAAAGTATATTCAATCATTTTTTATTGTGCTGAAAATTCATCGGCTCTTTTAGCGTATTTAATTAGAATATCGTATGTTAGTATGTACCCTACAACATTTGGTACGGTACATCCCTAGTACACCCTATCGATATGGTACATCCTTCAAACTTTTTGGTACACCCTGGGGTGTACTATACACTCGCTTGACGAGCACTGCTCTAGACTCCATCTGGTTTGAACTTTTTTTGGGTGATGAAATAAGTGTAAGCAGGAACATTTTGATGCAAGAATTCATTATGCTAAATCATTATTTAAGTTCGGTTTCACTGCAAAAAAATTCACCAGAGAAAGGTATTTTTTATTTATAATATTAGTCATTTGTAATTATAACTATTTTTTTTATTAATTAATTAAGCATACTAACTAAAAGCAAATATTTACCCTTAAAGTCAAAAGCATTAGCGATTTTGAACTGAATTATCTTTATTTTTTCCAGTATTTTCTGTGTCACTCTTATTATATAATCACACACACCACTTATAGTTTAGATCAGAATTTTGAAAATTTTACGTATTTGGTCTGTTATCAGAACTTGTAAAGTCAATATGAGAGAGTTCACATTGAATTGACGTTTTGAGAATGAATTTTCTCATCAATCAAACAATCAAAGTTTGTGTTGTACTGTTAAGTTATCATTTGGGCAATATTTCATGAGGGGAAATTGGGTAACAACTTAAACTATAATTTAAGGTAATTTCTCTAATATCGAAATGTATTTGATTAGATTCAATCTATGATAGCAGTGTTTAATAACAAGTATTGAAGTTTGATCATTCGAGGCAATATTTTAAACTTCATTTAAATAATATTGCAATATTTTTCAGGTAAATCGACCTACTAATGAACCATTGGCTAAATCACTTGAAAGAATTAAAACCAATGTCAAAGCAGCAAATGGGAAAGCTGCAAAACGAGTTAAGAAGAAAGTGAAAAAGGATAAGGGGGAAAAATCCACAGAGCCCCCAGAACCAGCTCCCACTGCGGTTTTATATGATTGGGCTGGTCAAAAGGTATCAATCAATCTTGATTAGTGTGACCTAGTGGTTATTGGACTTGAATGAATTACTATCAACTATGAATAAAGAACGATGAACTAGAACAGTGTGTCCCAACCCGAGTCCGCGGTCTCAAATGAGCCCGCGAAGCGTTTGAATGAGTTCGCAACGAGCCAGAAATTCACTTCGGGCCGCAAACGTTTTTGCAAAAGTTAACTATCAGCCAAGTTACGATTTACGTTAAAATTCACATAAAACATAAAAAGCAAGTTTATTCACATAACATTAATCAAGTCAATTATTACTAGTTACTGAGTATGACTGGGCATATGTTCCAATATTCAACTAATAGAATAGCAATTCACTATTCGAAAATTTGGTGACAGGTGACGCGACAGGTCAAAACAATTGGATTTCACAACTCCCTTGCAAATTTCCAACGAAAACCCGAGCACACGCGTGGTGTTTCTCGCGAGTTCGAACAACGTGAAATAATTTTTTTTTTGTAGGTGTCAACGGTGGCGACCCAAATTTTCTAAATTAAAAAGCGACAATACAAAAAACTGAAATTAAAAGCGAGGACACTATAACGACGATAACAAATTTGCAAGATCTCTAAAAATATGTATCAAAACTAAATATAATCGGGCCATATGTTAGCAGATTGCTGTGGCATTTTAAAGAAGTAATGCTATCATCTTGTCATAAATCGATTCAACCGCGAGTTACCATGAACACAATTAGAATAGAAAGACATTTTAAATTCTTGTCGTTGTCATGGATTGAATATAGTACGACAGAAAAGGCCATTATACACTAAAAAAATCGACTCTTTTAACGGACGCTTGATTGTGGCGAAATTTCGATTTTGAAATTCATTTAAATACCGTTGTGTTTGGTTTTATTGCTTCTCCACACAGAGTACGGTTGCAATAAACGCACCTTGAGTCCGCAAAGGTTTTCGCCGGTGAGATATTAGTTCGCGACCAAGAAAGGTTGGGAAACGCTGAACTAGAAAAAGGCAGACGAAACAGGTTGTAAAATTTATCTTCAAATCTTATACTAGTCACTTTATTCAAGACATAAGAAATTGTGAAGGTTGTTTTGTGCCGAATCAGAATTTTTCTACTTTTTTTTAAATAATAATTTTGTTTGTAAATTGTAATTGCATGCTTAAGCCTTATTCAAAGTCATATGCATATGAAAAAATCCCATAAAATGTTCCTACACCATCCAATGGTGTTAGTAATTTCACACTGTTCTTGTTATCCAAGTTTTTCATATTTAACAAGAAGATCTTTCTAGATTTTATCGAAATTCATTAACACCAATTTATAAAATTTTTCATAGATTGATGAACAGACATCGATCATTGATGCATGGGAGATCGGTCGAACATTAAAAGTCTGTGATTTGTCATATCTTGTTGTCTGTAATCCACCTCAAGTTGAGTTTGTAAATCTAGCTAACACACCTTTGGTTGGACTACCAATCCATCCGCAGTTACAACTGAAAATGGCTACAATAGAGAATTCAAAGTAAGTGAATACCTATAGCAATTAGGGATTATAACAACTAAAATACCTGGTTTGAGATTGATGAAAAGTCTAATTGTGATCAAATCCCAATTCCCAAGTATATTATGCTTTAAGTCGATTTATTTTAAAATTGAGATAAATATTAAATTAGTTGGTGCACCTGCGACTTCTATTTCTGTGTTAATTACTAACTAGCACGTTCGGCTAATGACAACAAAACAAATGCCTTACAACAGCGCATATAATAATAAATTTGTGAGCAACTTCTGTCTCCATGAATTAATAGTGAAGATACTCAAAAGCCACAACAAGTTTGTTTATGGGTCAGATTTGGCACGCGGGCCGCAGTTTGCCGACCACTACCCTAGTCGGATGTAATAAAATGGTTTTAATAACTTCGAAATAAACATACATAAGTTTTGGCATCTTTCAATGCTGTTATGGTTCAAATCAATTCCTACTTTATTTTTTCAGTTATGGAGTTACAATAAATCAAACTATTTTTAATAATATAACACCAGCTCCCAACTCCTCAGTCCCTTCTATACCTACATAATTTTAGAACCACTGTGGAATAATTAATTTCTTTTCTTGCTAGGTTTGAGTGGTTCAGACGGTATCGCTTTCCTCCAAAAAGTAACGGAATCGAAAGCAGTAAAATGGATACTTCTGCTACAGCAGCACCTCCAGCACAGGCACCTACACAACCAACAACTTTTGATCCACTTACTGGTCATCCAATACCAATTCAAAGTATGTCACTTACCAGTATAATATTATATTACATTTCAAATTCAAGATTTTAATTTTATGTTGACTACTATGGAAGACTAGCTTGCTCTGTTAGAGTTTTTACATTATTTACATTACATTACTTCATTCATGGTAGATAAATTTTTATATCATTTAGATGGCAGAACTAGCTTGTGAATTGTAATACTTATATTAGATTTGGAATGTACCCATTCAATCTACTATGATGATGTTTTCTATGCAAACTTGATCTATCTAATGTTAATAATAGGCCTATGTATTGCATTGTTATGTGTATATTCAAAGATTCATTTTAATTTTCTATTTGTTCATTTATTTTTAATTTGAAGATCACCCAGTGCCCCTTCCTTTGAATGCAACTCATCCGCTTTCCCACCCGCCACCACATTCGACTGGATATGATCCAATAATAGGAAAACATGATTTGGATGGAACTGAACGAAAAACAGAATTCAATAAAGTGGATAATGAAGAAGAATGGGAATTTGTTGGCCACGAAAAAGTAATCCAGAATTGTTTTCTCAATTTGATTTGTTATGGATGATAAATGATAATTCACTTTCCTAAAATACAGAATATATTTTTTATAAATGATGAAATCGTTTTTCAATACATTGACAAGTAGGCTACAAGATGGCTTTCCAATGACTCACAATGTAGCATATTGGTAATAATGAAACATTAGGACATGATAATGTATTAAACTCTTCTGTCTCCCTAGTTGAAATTTGGAAAAGTATGATGCTACTCGCAATATACTAACATGTAATACATAGTGGTTGGTTAAATACCACATTCAACAACGTTTTGGGTGTAATATGGTGATCTGTCTAAGAAATTAAACTTTTGTAAACTTTGAAGTGATGTGCCACAGCCCATTCGCTGGGTAGTATTAGCTACTGTTATGAACATGGAAGTTTGTGCGGCGCTCCAGAAGTGTGAGTACCGGATGTACCGGTAACTACTTTTGTTCGTCTATTTCACATCAAGTTGTGTAAAGGGACTGAAACCTATTGGCAGGGGGTATAGTCCTCGAACTCGTATAGAACTAAAATAAGTAAAATCGGAATAAAATTATGGCCTAACCCTAACCTGGTACACACACTATGGGAGTACCGTTTGTGCTTCAGGAAGAGTCTATTTTTATCTATTGTCATTTTGAAGCCATCATTTTAATCAAGGCTTGATTCGAAAATTGATATAATTTTTGACGCACCTATATTTTTTGTTTAGTCACGTTTTATAAATATGTCTTACCTACCTTATTCTAGTTAAAAAATTGTTTTTTATGTTTCATTCAGACATATACTGCCACGGAAGCAGATATTGGTTATCAAATTAGACTGAAGATTTCACCGGGAAATGAAAAGTATCCTTACAACTCTGATAGGTTCCGTGCAGAGGTTTGTTATCAAGTATAAAATCTAAATCTCTTGTTTTTCAGTATTGCTCGGTGTTTGAACTAGATAATTATATCTGTATATATAAATATATAATTTTCCATACAATTTAAAGAATCTATGATTGTATTGGGAATTTTGTTTTCTATTATTTATGTTGATACGATACATTATTTTGCATCTGTTATTACTTATAGTTGTTCAAAGTTTAATTTGTAATAAAATAATCATGTCTTACGAGAGTAATTGCAACTTCCACTTCAATTTAGAAAATTTTAGGAATTTCATACAACATTTAGAACTGAAAAAAACTGCGTTTGCCCTGTTTTTGATTCTTCTCTATTTTGCAAAATTTATATTTACAGCATTAAATTTCAGTATGTTTTGCAATTATTTTCCAAGCACAGAGATACCTCGGTCGTCAAATGACCTGATACTTAAACTTGAATTCGGTAGTCGGCCAAAATGCTGCGTTACTCGAACAGAAATTCAGTGCTCGAACACCCCAGTGTGATGATGTCACACAAACCGCGCATCTCGCATCTCGCAAGGTGACCCTTCTACTACCGAGGTATCACTGTTTTTTTAAACTATATTTTACATTTATTCAACTCGTACTTTTCTTATTTTCTCAGCCGGTATATTCATATACCAGAGGTGTTGTTGCTGAAGGTCCTTCAAAATGTATTTTTGGTGATCGAATTTTGCACACTTCACAAAGATGTACTGATGGAAGGTATTGTAGTGTGATTTTGTATTGTGTTTTATGTTTCTCCTGCTTTACTTAATATTTATTGTGCATAGATAGCCATATCATCAGTCTAATAAATACATATGGAATTACCTCAAATAAAGTTGAGCTAAGTGCTGTAGCTAAGGAATAGGCTTCTCTACCTTGACAATAATTACCCCACCCAGGTGCCTCAAGCCCACACATTAGAACCGTGTTGGGTATAATCGTATTCCAAATTAATGTGATTCACAAAACAATGATGTGATTTATAGCCTGCGGTTCACACCGTACGGTTTGTCTGACCATCTGTAGTGTTGAAAATTAGTTGGCTCCTCCCATATCACACAGCTAACGTTAGGGAGGCCATGGTTAAAGCATCGTATGTCCCATCTATCTCGTCGTGGGTAAATATGAAACCCTTACCTTAAAATCAATTGTTTAATGTGATCATTTTCAAACTAATACTAGTAGTGTTCTTTTTCAAAAATCTTGATATTCCTAACTTATTTCTGTCAATTTTTCATTTATTAAAATTAATCTTATTAGGGGGATTTGAACTGTGTAATTTCTTCATCGCGATTATAATACAGCTGAAAGAATAACACCTTATTTTCAAATGATTACCGTAAATTAAAGTTCAAAAAGTCCTGTGAGTTAATTGTATTTTGCCTGTTGTTTTCTATTGCAGTTTTCGATTTGTCTGTTATAACATCCTTGCAGATGTTTACGCATCAACTGAATATGCACACGATTTTCTGTTCCCATATTGTCCCAATGAGGCAATGGACATTGGATATCGACAACAGCTAATTGTAAAAGAGTTGATAGGTAAGATCAATAGTTAACTGAGAATATCAGCATGAAAGAGTCCATTTGTTTGGTCAAATGATTCAAAAATTGGTTCTTAGATTCAATATTATATTCTTGGTTGAACTCTGTATGACACTTCGTTGGATTTTGCATATGAAGTGCACATTGTGCATTCAAATTTTTTTGTCTGTAAATGCACCATTATTTTGACAGCTTTCACTATATTCAATCACTTTTTATTAATTTTAGGTTACAATTCTGACATAGTATGTCTTCAAGAAGTTGACAGAGTAGTGTTTGAATCTCAGTTGATGCCATCAATGTCTTTAGAAGGGTATGCTGGTGCATTTGCTGCTAAAGATGGAATAAAGGAAGGTGTTGCCCTTTTCTATAGGAGGGAAAAATTCAGGTATATTTGTCTATTTCTACCATAGAGAAGTAATCACAAAATATAGCTACTATAAAAATCTTGCAAAAACTGCAATTGTATATTAAATCTGCTCGATGTATGCATTGAATCTGTTGAACTGAAACTGATTTTCAGTAGATTTTATCACAGCAAAACAATGTAATAGTAATTAAATCCTTTTGCTCTCACTTGTGATATATATTTATATCCTCATCCAAAATACATGTCATGGTAATCTTGTGCTATATTCGCATTGGTATATATATTTCATCACTGTTGCTTTGCTGCTCAATATTTCTGGTTTTCAGACTTTTAATGGTGGACAACATCATTTTACGGAAATCATTCCAGGATGAAAAAAATACAGATTTATTCGTGAAACTAGATGAAAATAATGAGTTCAAGAAAACCTTTCTCACTAAGCCAACATGTCTATTGGTGAGATTTTTTGAGTGACAGAATTTTACTTAAATTATGAGTCATGTGACACTCAAAAGTTTGGATTTATTGCAATATGAAACTAACAGAGCTTGGTGCATAAGACAGTTTATTAATTTTGAGCAAAATCCAAATACTGGGAAAACCTGAAAATAATACTTTATTGATGAGAATTTTATTGTAATTGATGGTCTTATTGCCAGTACCTGAAAATGTTGCGATCAAGCGTTTCATCTTGGTTGTGATGTCTGGTAAAATTCCCACCTGACTAGCAGTTGCTGACTTAGTGCTTCTCAAAAAATGACTCTCTGCTCTGATTTGCGAGAATTTTTATTGCTGCCTCGACTTTAAAATAACCAAATTTGGCCACATAAACTTATGTCGAACTTGTATTATATCCAAATTAAGACGTAGCTTCAGAGAGTTTTGTTCTGGCTCCAGAAATTTTGGAATTGCAACTTCAGTTCTGATATCAATACTAGCAAAGAATGTCATGTCGTACTCTTGACTCTAAATTTAACAGCTTATAATGAATATTGAGATTTACCATGTTTATCCGATTGTTTTCAGGTGGGACTACTTCAATCAACTGAAGATCCAAGAAGAACAATCTTGATAGGAAATACCCATCTATATTGGCATCCTCATGGCTGTCATGTCAGATTACTCCAGGTTTAATAATAATTCAATAAATAATATCATTATTTTATATAGTAATATGCAAAATTATTTGCGTTTTTCCTCTTCAAAATGTTCAGCGATCGAAATATGAAAACCTTTTTTTTGAAGATCATTTGAATTTCCAAGAAAGTAGTATAATTGTAGAAATAAAATGATGTGGGTGGAAGACATTTCCTGTTTTAAATGTAAACATTTGTCTTACTCTTACATATTAGTCTCATAATTTAGAACTTACCTATAGTACTAAATATGGAGGCGGTTTCATACGTACTTGAATCTATTTAAATTTGTATTCCATGTGTGAAATTGCTGATTTTAGGAATCATTTAAAATAGTTTCATTTGACAAGTTACTGTTTTTGAGTATTTGTCTGAAACACAGTATGAAAATACTGTGAAACAGGGGTGTGCAACCTTTAATACAGGAGGGTCAGACACAAATAAAGTGAAACCGTGGGCCACAGCTTTATTTCACATAGCTTTTCTAGTAGATACAGGCACAAAAATTTTAGGTATTGACATGCAATGTTCGCTTCGCATGAGCTGGTTGTTAGGCCCTAACAGTTAGGGCAGTGTTTCCCAACCCGATTCCGCGGTCTCAAATGAGTCCGCATAGCTTTTAAATGAGTCCGCAACAAGTCAGAAATTCATTGCGGGCCGCAAACGTTTCCGCGAAACTTAATTAACTATCAGCCAATTTAGGATTTGCGTTAGAATTTACAAAAAGACATGAAAAGTCAGTTTATTCACGTGACATTAATCGCATCAATAATTACTGGTTACTGAGTGGGGCTGGGCATCTATTCGAATATTCAACTATTAGAATAGTATATTTACTAATCGAAAATTTGGTAACATATGACGCGACAGGTCACTTGCGAGTCGCTTAATCAAACGATTGGATTTCACAACTCACTTGTGAATTTCCGACGAAAACAAGAGTCTGTACACGCTTCGATAGATTCGTAATAGGTGTTTCTCGCGACTTCGAACAACGAGGAATAAAAAAAATTTCTGGTAGGTGTAAATGGTGGCAACCCAAATTTCCTAAATTGAAAAGCGGTCCGCGAGCGATTAAAAAGGCTTTTTTAGACATTGCAAATCGCAAAATTTTTGGTGCTACCGTAGTATACGTACTAGGGCATTTTCCTTTAGGATTCTTTGCTTTACTGCCTCCAGATTGGTACGCACAGTAGTAATGTCGAAAAATACGAGTCGAAACAAGATATAATCGGGCACTTTACAACGCATTTTTGTGTCCACGGATTGTCATGATATTTTCTGAGTAGTATTGCTCTTATTTCGTCAACACAACCGTAGATTAAAAGAATCACACATGGGGATGGATTGAATAGTTTATGCAACAGAAAAAATCATTGAAAAGGCGGCTCTTTTAACAAGTGACGCATACGCGACGATTACTTCAGAAGTTGTTCATGAGAATTTCATGGCGATGAATATGTATTCTTGATTTTCTAATATATATACTTCAAATATATTTTTAATGAATACTAAATTAAGTTGTACATTCTAAAAATTTATAGCAGATAGTATGATTTTTTCTAACAGCGATAATGAATTCGCAAGATCGCAAAAAATATGTTTCAAAGCTGAATATATTCAGGCAGTATATTCTCTCATTATTACGTTCGCAGATGGCACTGGAATTTAAAAAAAGTTAGGGTTTCATCTTGTAAGTCGACGCAATCGCGAGTTACCATGATGAACACAATTAAATTAAAATAGAAATACATTTTAAATTCTCGTCGTTGTCATGGAATGAATACTGTGCGACAGGAAATTCATTATACACCAAAAATGTCGACTCTTTTAACGAACTCGTAATTGCAGCGAATTTCCGATTTCGAAATTCGTTTGATTTGTCTGTTGTGTTTGGTTTTATTGCTGCTTTACACAGAGTACGGTTGCAATAAACGCACCTTGAGTCCGCAAAGGTTTTCGCCGGTGAGAAAATAGTCCGCGACCAAAATAGGTTGGGAAACGCTGAGTTCGGGCATTGTATTGTCATAGGCATGCATAATAAATTAGACTCAGGTATATGCTTTGTAACGCAAAAGGATTGGAATTACCCCCACGTACCAGAATAAACTAACTTGGAAACTCTTTCGCGGGTCGCACACCATTCAAAATTGGCACTTCTCCACCGGCGGCACAACTTTTCCTTGTTGGACGCATTTGTCCCGAGGGTCGCAGACCCCTGCTGTAACAGATAGATCCCAACCAATGCACTGTTTATTTTTCCAAATTACATTCCATTGAATAGATATGGACTTTTGTGTGTTATTCATCGATTAGTAATATATTCAATGTTCCATATACAGAAATGTTATTAGTTTTACCCATCCTTGTGGTATACAATCTTCATACTCACTATAATTACTTTTGGTTTAGAATACTCAAGGTTGTCCAAATCGTAGCCTATTTTTTCTGCATTTTTCAAGAACTTTTAGTATTGAAATGGAAAATTTCATTGCTTTTGATAAACTATTTCTTACATTTTCAGGTTGAATTGATTCTTCGTGAAATGCGATATCTTCATCAAAAATATGCCGAAAATAATCCAACATGCATTATCACTGGGGATTTTAACAGCAACCCATATTCTGGTGCTGTCCAGTTGTTAACGAAGGGACATGTCGAACCTAACCATGCAGATTGGTATTCTAGTAAGTTTTATTTATTGTTTCAATTTTTCATGTCGCATCGAACAACTTTATAATTTAAAGATTTGTAAAAGTATTTTTAGCATTATTAGTTCCTAGTTTCAACTGTTAGTCCGATAACAATGGCAGATATTTCATTAGGTTAATGGAGCATCGAGTTTGTCTTGGTATAAATCTGAAATGGCCAAAACCGACTATGCTACTATTGCGAATGCATTCTGAAATATTTAAATGAGATTCTTCTGCTTTTACTGTTTGAATTAGATTGCTCAAAATAACAGTTTTTTTAAAATGAAACTTCTAAATAATTTCTTGTATTAGGAATTTATAATATTTAATAGATTTTTATATTCAAATTCCTTATTCTCTTGTGTTTACTTTAAACTAATAACCTATGGGATATGTTGGCGATGGATGAATTGTTTGGAATAACGCTAAAAGTTATATTTATGCATATAGAGCTCAATTTTAAAATGATCATTCTGCAATGACTGTATCAAATAAAATAAAAATATATGGAGTGCACAATAGTCAAGTAATGTGATTTAGGATTGTGTAAAAAACTGCTCATTTTTCGTCCAGTTACCTGCGTTGCAGCGGGCGTATGTGCCGTAGATCACAGAGATGCTTGAACAAGAACGAGCTAATGATAACAATTAAGAAACTGGGCTTCCATAAAATCTTTGCAAAACATGTATTTTGTTAATCATTAATCTCTCACAATGTTTGACATGCAAGTTTAATTTCAGTGGGAAAATCTGAATTCATCTCCGGAATGAATCTAACAAATCAAAAGCTCTTCTTGAGTGCATGTGGCTATCCAGCGTATACTAATTATGTAACAAGATTCCAGAACTGCTTGGATTACATCTTCGTTGAACCTGATAGACTTAATGTAGACAAGGTATATGAAATTTACAGTTTTTAGATAACTTTTATGTTGACATCCACATTTTGTGGAGAGGGTAACATTTCTCCCCAATGTTAACAAAAATGCTTGACTCAAACTCCGCAGCATCAATGCATATGGTCATAAATAAACATTAATTGGACTCGACCTGTATTAATTTATAATTTCTAAAGTTTGTTTGAGATTTCAGGTTCAATTCAAGAATCAAATTTAAACAAAATTTTATAAAACGCCTGAATGAATATCAAGTTAAGAAATATCCTTTTGAGATTAATCAAATAAAATGATACATTCCAGGTCATTCCACCACCGGCACACGAAGATGTGATTCGGCACACTGCGTTGCCGAACATAGCAGCTCCGTCAGATCACATCGCACAAGTTGTTGACCTGTCGTGGAGAACTTAGTGAAATCATCACAAAAAAAACACAAACTGAGACATATTAGTTACATACACTGCCGAGGAAGAAGCACTGTCTGTGTGGACATGCAGATAAGTGAATACTTTTCAACAACATCTAAGTGAAATCATGGTCATAACCTGTATTCAACTACACATACATTCCTTATCCAAGGGCTGTTTAAGGGAGCACAACGTAATATCCACTGGTCCATATATCCTTTTTTCAAAACTTGGTACATGAAGACATATGAGATTATGAAGGTGCTTTCTTGCTAAAAGTCTGGCACCAATCCCGAAAAACACCCCTATCACAAAAATTTTTTTATTTTGGATTCCTTGGAGTATGCACAATGGCTGAATTAACGCAAGCAATTGAATGGCGTTCGTCACATTTGACAGCATGCGCTGCGCAAAATTGATGAATTGGATTTTTGTGGTAATGTAAGCGAATTTAACACCAAGTAGTGGGCCCTATATATCTTAACATGAAGCATTGGAAAATTCAGTTTTGCTACTGCTAAATTGCTGTAAATTGTGTGTGTATCATTCAATGTTTGTATTGGATTATGACTTTACATCCGACAACATTTCATTTTCATGCTCCATTCTTTACTGGTCCAAAGTTGACTGAAGTTTAATAAGACACACAGAACAGTGAATGCTGGGCTTTAGATTTCATTAATCCATAATCAAACTTCAAAATTTTGTTTCCTATTTTCTGTATCAAGTTACTATATATTTGAACATGAATACCTGTACATTGATGAAATATTCAAAACATGATTGGGGACCTCATTCCCTGAGTTGATGTATTTTGCGCCATTGATTCTGCCACATTTGTTTTTATGCTATGCCACATTCTAAAAAATATTGATATAATAGCCAATGCTACTGAGTATCCTGTGTTTATGATTTTATCATGTATTTTCTAATCATGTTTAAAGTCAATGAATCTTTTTCTCATGACTGTTCTGAACTCATTAATTTCAATTTCTAGTTTTATAGGGATAAAGCATACTTAACAGTGAGGCATATTTAACATCGATTTTATGAGTTAGAAGTATTTTTATGGTGCAATATTCGTCTCTCTGGTTATAGAAGACTGCATTCATTATATGTGCAGTTATAGGTGGAGCTTGTTTAAAATCAATTTGATTGAATCCCTATCATAAGCAGAAAGGTTCGTGTATCAGGTGTATGCATTATTATTATGAACATGTCTCCGAATAAAAAAATTTTGCAGTTTGATAGGTTAATAAAATTCAAGGAATCGCACAACCGACCACTTACTTTCCAATTCAAATTACTACTCAACCTTCAATACATATACATATGGGCTACTATTTTCCAAAACCTACTTGTCAACCTTGCACCGTTTGTGTTCATAAGTATGTTAGCTCTTCGTTTTTCTGTACATATACTTTTTTTTGGCAAATTGCTGCTTCGTATGACTTCTATAACTACATTCGATACTACTGTTCGACATGTGGTTACAAGTTATAAGAAAATTATGACCCATTCAATTGTTTGTTTTACCATGTTTGCCATCATGTTTTGCAATATTGATACAATTATACCTGCCGTTATATTTTGTCAAAATTGAAATAATTGTATTTTCAAGCATACATGCTAGATGGGTATACTTGACTTCTTCATGGCACTGCGCCTCATATAACATATCCGTGGCAATGTAAAACAATGTTTGTGTTGACAAAGTTTGGCCTATTGTTAAATTTCTATAGTCTCTTTGACATTCTGCATTAGACATTTTGTAATAAAGTACTCAATAAACATGCATGTATGCGAGATCGGGATGGGAAGTGGAGATGGATTATATTACTACCGGACGAAAGTTCAATAGGCGATCTGGAATTCGCTAGAGTAGTACTTAGTAGAACATATTTTAACATTATGATCACCCAAACCCTAATCTGGTGTTCTTTTCCATGGCATGCTAGGTTTTCTGAAGGTCTTGTAGGAATGCTCTTATCAAGATCGCAAGCCCTTAAAAAATTGGAGAATACTCCTGAAATTGTCGCAAGTAAATATTTTTGAAGTGAGGCATTTCAACATTCGGTACTGCTGGAGTTGACGTCAATCTTGTACGATAAAGGAACGCAAATTTAGGTACAGTACCTTGTACTTCCCAATATTGGACACGTAGTGGATATGACGATCGTTTCAGTATTGTGTTGTTCTTTGACACGTTTTGAAGAAATCGCTTTTCTCTTTCATCAATGGACCAATTGCTTTGAAATTTTCGGTGGTTGAAGATGGAATTTTTCTCCAGAAGGCTATGTACGTTTCCCCGACCTTTGACCCCCGAAAAATTCTTCCTATGCTTTACCATTGCAAAAATTTTGGGGCAATTTTAAGAGTGCTATTGCGAATTGGCGCCTGTAAAATTGGGTGTATGTTTCAAACCATCATTATGATTCATCGCATACGATACAACAATGTGTTTTTAAAAGTACCGGTATATAATTTTAGCCTAGTCTATCACAGCTATTTCTACAATAATTTTTATTACTGCAAATAAGGTGCTCCCGAAGTATGCGAACCAAGATGGCGGACATCGGAACGTAACATGGGTAACAGGTTAGGGTTAGGCGATAATTTTTTTCCAATTTTCCTTATTTTAGTCCTATTATCAGTTCGAAGACTAGCCAAGAGCCTCCCGTAGTATTTATACCTAAAATTATGGCCTAACCCTAACCTAGTACACATATTACATTCCTATGTCCGCCATCTTGGTTCGCATACTTCGGGAGCCCCGCAAATACTAGGAAGGCAGTGTGATCATTGAGTTATCTGATTTACATTCAAGTTTCCGAAACACAACTGGAAACTAACGAATAGAGTTCAAAAATGCGAAAACGAGGTAATGTTTACGACCACGCTTGAAAATCAGTCTGAGTGAGAAAAGTGTCTGAGCGGATGCGAAAAGGGGGCATTGTTACGTCACTTTTTACATCTTGTTGATAAGGCCAATGTCACGAAGTAAACAAGGAAGTCGATGCTCGGGGAAAGGTCCATTACAGTACTTTCATTTTTGCTATGACGTCATCAAAATTATGTGACGCTATGTGTCCATATATTTGAGCATAGCTCTCATGTTATCATGTTTTTCACTTCGCATCTAGATAGGGGGGAGTACATGGCAGGTCCGACCTTAAGCCAACGCAACCAATACTGCCGCAAGGGGCCCCGCCCTAATCTAAGTGGAAATTAATAAATTTGACCTATTTCAATTTTGAATCGAGCATAGTTTAGTCTTAGCGTGTTTATTCCCTGAACACAAGGCGCGTAGGGCATTTTGCATAGAGCCGCAATAAAAAAAGGTCAAAACGGTTCGCAAAACTTCATCTCTGAGTTTAAATTCAACAGTGACCTACGTGCTACATGACTCCGTTACGTTCTGGCCACAGTTAATCAATCCTCGAAATTATAGGCAGAATAGACTTGAGAGTATCGGTGAACTTTGTCGATTTCACGCAAAACGTGATAATGCGTCAGGCTTGGAAATCAACCTCATGCTTTCTCTGATAACGTAGATGTGAAAAGCTACCATTTTTCTAAGCTTCGTTACTTTCTGGATCTATTGTATTAGTTAAGCAAAGATATAGGCAATTTACAACGTTATGGTAAATTGAATTTGCACATCTGATATACTTCCAGTCGCTATTGGCACGGTTCCCAAGTATTATAAAATAAAACTTCTCAAAAGGTATTGATCAAACCACGTAATCAAATTTAAATTTGTCATGGTGACGTTGACTTTATACAGTTCGTGACGATTTTGGAACTTCGTTAGCTAAAAGGGGCATTTCACGACTCAGCACTATAGGTTACATCACAACACAATAAAGCTGCCGTTAGCGTCAGGAAACCATATATTACGTTGTGTTTACCAGTTTAAATTCGTGTAACAGGCCAAAGATAGTATATATATAAGCCAGAAACGATAAAAAAAAAGAGATTTTGTCGTCTACAATTTTTTTTATATTTTCGGACCACAGGAACGAAGGTATATATTGTCAACTTTTCATCAGAATGTACACCGAAAAGAATGTCCATATTCTTGAAAGATCATATAGCTTCATACAGGCCAGGAAGTTACACTAGAATAGATTACAGTGGCCAGGCACCCATGTCTCGCGAGCCATATATGGCTCTTTTAGTGACGGCATATGGCTCGCAGAAAAATCTGATATTCCAAGGCCAAGCTTACTATTGTTACCGAATTTCAAACTATATATTTATAGCCAAATTTGGCAGAACGTCTGCCAATACATTTGAGAACACGCGCTCAGCGCCTGTCTAAGTTACGTGAGGGAAGTGCCAGAGAGCCATTGCGACAAAACTAAGGGATTCGGGAACATATTTTGTGACAATCGAAAAGGTTGCGGAACAATAAAGAAAAGCCTTCCGTCCATTTGTACAGTTTATTTGCAATATTTAGCACAATGGAGAAGCCTAAAAGAAAGAAACGCGTTGAGTATCGTGGATCTCAACATGCAGACATGTGTTGCATGTGAGCAGACGTTCACGGCCCTCAGGGACAACATGCAGCATCAGAAGTCACATTAAATGTATATTGAGACATTGTATGTGTTGACTTTTGAGTAAAAATTTAAGACATAATTAAGGAAAAAAACGCTGTATGGCTCGCACGTTAATGCAATTGAAAATGTGTACATTTTATGGCTCTCTTGAACAAAAAGGTTCCCGACCCCTACACTAGAAGTTTTAGATTGTTTGGATTTATCAAGCCATAAATGGCGCAAGATTAACTGGAGGCCTCGGTAACAATTTTTCTGTGGTTTTCACTTCTTATTTATTCGCCATTTGAAGTTCCATACTCGGTTATTTGCACCATTTTGTAATTTGTTTAATCACGCCGCGAACTTCTTACATGGACTCATTCTCGCTAACAAAAGTCTATTTTACCTCTCACATACCAAAAACAAAAATGAGTCCACAATCAGCTAATGAACGTAAATTTGATCGGGTTTGGTCCTTGTTTTTAATGTCTGTATTATCTCCGGTGACCGTACATTTGAACCCATGCGTATATCCACGGGTTCAATCTATATGCGGGTGCTAAAACCCATGGGTTAGTATGGGTTTAACTATCCGTGTAACAAAAAAAATTCCATAGGTGCAATAGCATACAGGTGCAATTGTCATGGGTTCAAATGAACGTGGGTTCAAATGTGATGAAACCATTATCTCCATTTAATGAGCCCAGTTCTTTAACGCGAACTGTTTATATGATAAACTCAAATCTGGTAATCTCAATATCTGGCACAACTAACATAAAGGTAGAAGCTAAAATCGAGTTGAAAGAATATAAATATAATTACCGTACGTCTGTGATTCCGGGAGCCACGCTGACAGGAGAAGATGGCAGGCGAGGTCGCGCGGTCAGCGATTCCAATCCGATCGCTGAGAGAGAATACTCGCAGGAGTACAGAACAGATAAAGTTGATTTCCGTTCAGTTTACGATAAGACGCAAACTCTTTCCAAGTGTAGTCAAAACAAACCGACCAGATAAATTCAACGTATTTGCCATGTGTTCAATATCAGTAACTTTTGGACATTTGTTTTGGTCGCTGACGAATTGATCTGAGAAACAGTATGACTGGCGAAGTGTAGCTTTCACTTGAGATAATGATAAAGGGTTAGCCGTCGTACGGCATATTGACTTGAATTATGTGCAGAGTCTGTATTTATAATATACGTCGTTTACTATTTCCCATTAGTTTACTGTTGTATAAAAGTTGCATTTACGTGCGCAGTGGATGGGTCTGGTAGCAGATTAATTATTTTGTTGAGTCGAGACTCAACGGTTTCTGATGATCAATGTCAATGAATAGACCTTTTGTTTTTACGTCTTCTTGTTGGCCGACTCCGGCATATAGCCGATCTGATCCGATGTATATAAGCAACTGGTATAATTCATTAAAAGTTAAGGGTCTCATGTAGTTTTGTACCTAACGTACTTCTAGTAGGCGTAGCATAACAATTTTTTTACGTGTCAATCCTAACCCCCACCAGACCACACCATCCAAAAATTACGTCACTACGACGTCACAGTGACGTAATAGAGCCCTTCAAACTATGCGAACTGTCATCCAAGACGCGCAGACGATAACCCGAAATCGAACAGTCATTTCTCTCGTTTTCTCGTCGCAACGATCCCGATAGGAGAGAGATCGCTGACGTTAGTCAGTTCTTTATCGTCGGCGCCGACGTCATTTCGGGCGATCGTACGAGTATTTGGCAAGCTCTATGACGTGATTGTGACGTCGTAGTGACGTAATTTTTGGATGCTGTAATCAGGCGAGGGTTAGGATTGGCATGTCAAAAAATTGTTATGCTACGCCTACTAGAAGTACGTTAGGTACGAAACTACACAAGACCCAAAATTAATACACATTTGCAGGCTTTGTATCGATATTTCTACGGTGATATACGCACGTTTTCTTCCTTCTGTTCCGTTGAATAGAATAACAAGTTTTATGATGAGACGAAGAATTATTTGTGTACGACATGACGAGTGTGGACCATTAGTGGAACGCACAGCATGAGTTAACACCATGCAGCCATGTGACCGTGTATGACCTATGTTGTTAACTTCTCCCTGGCCTTGTAGTCAAACGTCAGGCACTAACTTTCCAAATGGTTATAATTGACGTAATGTACCTTGGGGCATGTATTGCTATCAGCGCAACGGACCGCATAGATTGAGCAGAGCGTGTCGTATGACCGTTTAAATGGCAATAAAACGCTCTCTTCATTGTTATTGTGTTCCTCCTGTCTCGTTAGAAAATTTCTTCATTGTTAATTATATAATACAGAATCCATTCGAGAACCATTTCTACCAAGATACATTCTTGGGTGAATAATTTATTCACCATATTACCCAAGTTAAATTAATTACGTAGTATGAAATCAACAAATTTAGCGCCGAGTGAATCAAGTCAATAAAGCCGCTTGTGGCACCTTTGCGTGTCAGGTGAAACCAGTTGCCTGTTGTTTATCGACGATCGACGCACATCGAGCGATCTTTGTTCCAAGGTTTTGTTGGAGGTAAACAAGTACCGGCTGTTCGGCGGTAGATTACGTTGAGAGGAGTTTAGACTGGTTGGGCGACAAGAGACGTGTGTTATTTATAGAGTAGCCTACATCAACTGCTTTAAAAAACGACGACAAAAATGAAAATGAGGTATTTGTGACAGGTATCAGTAAAACAATTATTTATTTTATTGATCTTAGCAATTAAGATGTGCTTTGAACCACGAGTTGGATTTATCCACCAAGCGTTTACTTTAGACAGATATTATTATCACGGTTCTTGCAGCGAGTTACCCACTTACGATTATGATGAATTTTGCGTAATGGCAACGGATTGATTTTGATTGCTATATTTGCATACAAAATATCTGTTGCTGCAATTTTGTGCAATCTAAAATCAGTTTATCAAATATCTTGTGTCAGCCACTGCCATTTCTTACCAGATTGATTACATCGTCTGTTTTATTACCAGATCGTAAATAGTGACCATACTGTAAAATATTTACTTTTGCACGAATATTCCAATTGTTCCTTTTACTAAATATTGGGCGTTTCCGTAGTATGTGAACCTAGATGGCGGACAACGGAACGTAGTATGTGTACCAGGTTAGGTTTTGATCCTAATTTTATTCCAATTTTCTCTATTTTTGTTCTATTACGAACTCGGAGACTAGCCAAGTGACTCCCGTAGTATTTGTACCTGAAATTATGGCCTATCCCTAACTTGGTACACATTCTACGTTCCGGTGCCCCCCATCCTAGTTCACATACTACGGGAATACCCAATATTGTCATATCGAATAATTGTCGTGCTTGCCAAAGGTCAGGTATTTTACTTATGCATGAGTTCGTTCACACCAACAGAAATCGCTAACGAAATTACCATCATTAGTAACTGCCTGGAGTTTTTCACTGACAGTATTGCGAAATCGATTTGGTTGCATTATTGAGAATAGTTGAACCAAAAAATCTATTCAATTGCTCTTGTTAACAAATCTCGAGTCTATTTGAAAAAAGGGTTAATTATTTGATGAGATGTTTTATATTGTAAATCTAATTCACCATCGATTAGAGGTTTAAAAGATTTATCGGACTGTGGTTTAATCAAACTTTGTGCACACATATATATATATAAATTCAACTAATTCCCGTACCCATGATTCCAATTTGCATTTTTGAACGAGATTGAATCATGAAAGCCATTTGTATATTATGTCTCAGCATCTTTTACGCCATATAATATCGATCTCGAGATTTACACACAAAATGACGGTAGCAAAGTTTCTGTACTTTAAAATAGAAGTCGCTAGAAGACTGTTACTTTTATTTTTCTCGTAGTCGTATGTTATCCGAAATTTTGCCCAAAATTTGGTACTCCCGTAGTGTGTGTATCAGGTTAAGCCATAATTTTATTACGACTTTCCTTATTTTACGAGTTCGGGGACTTTCTGTGTTAGCCAAGTGAATATACCCCCTGACCATAGGTTTCAGTCCCTTTACACAACTTGATGTAAAGTAGGCGAACAAAATTAGTTACCTCCCTATCTCTACACACACTTCTGCACCCAAAATTTCATTATATTTGATGAGAACACTTTTCATGACTCAAAGTCTGATACGAACACATTATTTTGTTGCGCTTGTCCACCGATCTAAGCAAAAAGCTCGGTGCCCAGCTAAAGCCGTACCTTTGAGAAGCCTGTGTGTTCATATATTTAAACATTTCTATATTTTTTTATTTTGTTTTACTATAAGTGTGCTGGACTTGAGTATCATAATTAGTCATTAAAATAGCCCGTGACTTCAGAGAACGTAATCATATATATATATGATTGTAAATAATTGGAACTTCAAACGTGTTTAGGCGGGTATTTCTCCTTCTATCGACCATGACTAATGACAACTTGTGACTAAATATTGCGTATATATATATATATTATGATTCAAATAAATAGGACTGATCACCTAAATCTGATATTAATTCAGAGCAAGTTCCGTCATTTGTCACGCGTGTGAATTATTACGTGCAACCACACATGACACACTGTTCGCCATGATGCCATTCTTAATTTTTCTTTGAAAGAAATGTAGCATAAACTCGTCAACTGTCACTAATCACTATATAAGCTGATCATCAGTTTAATTTACTAAACACTGTCAAAAAGTATGTAATTATCTGCAACATTAAAAAGTAAATAAATAGTTTGTGTAACACGAAATTTTACGAAATCGGACGCAAACCATATCGCTCTATAAACGAATTTAAGATTTGTCCTTGCGCCGTTTGCAATATAAATCTAATGGAATAGAATAAAAGTGGTATTTGAGACGGTGCGGATAAACTATTTCCTATTAGCTTTATCAATTACCAGCGTCAATTATTAGTTGACGCAACGGTTAATTAGATTAAACAGCGTTGCACTCAATAACTCTACTGTTGTAAACTTTGTTTTCGCCTTCGCTTTGTCAAGATTTGGTTGGATGGTTTTCCTTGTTGATGTTGGTTTGTTGTGGACTGTTTCCCTTTCTACTGAGGATATAATATCGGAAGACGGCCTTGAGTGGAACAATGTGATGGCCTAATTGCTATACAAGGCATCTCAGCTGAAAATAGTCTGACATGTGATATTATTAGTCTTTATAACAAAGCCAAGGTAGAAGATGATTACGTAGCTATCTGAAAGTCGTATTCATTTTATCAACTCATTGATTCCAAGATAGCTGTGATAAGAATGACCGACCATTTCAGTAGAGCATTTGCTTGTACATTTGCTCATAATGTAACACATCAACAATGAGTGGAATACAACAGTCTTCACTTCCGTTAGACCGCTTTCGCGTTTCGAATGTTAAGTGACGATTGGAAAGATATCCGCCAGCCATAATTATTTAGAAATCATTCAGGCCTGTCCGTAAAAAAGCTCTTGTAATAACGCTGAGATGTTTAGATAACTAAACGGTTGGTTATGACGATGTTGTGATGTTTGATATATGTTACTTACTTGAATATCGTTAGGTGAGTAAAGATCCAGGCATTATTGTAACACCGTTAATCAAATTAAGGCGAATAATTACTTTTATGCTCACTAATTTACAATGTAAGATAAATTTTGTTGACAGTGGGAGCAGCAGATTGCTATTATCTCGATAAGTTCTCAGGCGATAGAGCATGCAATCGACCTATTACGCTGAAATGATACCTATATGAGATTTTGTAGCTTTCGGTTGAGGAAATGTAGTGAAGCGCTACATATATTGTTGATTTGCCAATAGCACAGTGGTGTTTTTCTATCGAATTACTTGGATGATATATTGGTTGTGCAGGGATTCGAGTGTTATGCTAATGCTTGTAACTCCTAGATATATATATATCTGTAATTCAAAGGAAAACACAGTTTGGTTGCTAACACCTTTAAATTCAGCTTTGCTTGTATTTAATAATTTGTCATCTTTTATCATAGGTTCTTACTTATAGTATTCTGGTATTTGTTACAAATTTTGGATATTATATTTTTGGAAAAGAAGAGACTGCATCGGATTTTGCACATGGCGCCTACTAACGGGAATGCAGCACAAGACGCAAAAAATGAATACAAATATATACCATTCAAAGAGAGGAAATCATTAGGTAAGTGTATATAATGTGTATTTATACTACATATTATCTCGTATTTGTAATTCAAAGTTCCCTAAAAAAGCGGTTATGCTTATATAGTTTTAGTTTCTAAATCAAATTCGCATACTTGTGATATATACTGTACAATGGCAATTGAATAAATGAAAATTGATGATTTTGTCGTCATATAGTCGTCGTAGTTTTATTTTGATATGTACATACACGTGACATACCCTTTGTTCTGAGAATTCATGTATTTTCGATTTCTAGTAGCATTTAAAGGGTTATCTCATAAATTATGTATTCTGTTACTTTTCATACCGTCATAATTAGAATTTACATTTTTATTTGTGTAGGATTGAAACAGGGTCGGAAAAGAAGATTTTATAAGAAAATCGCTAAAATTTTAACGCATTTTTGACGGTTCCATTACATTTGAACCCACGACAATTGCACCTGCATACTATTGCACTTTTGGAAATTTTTTTTGTTTTACGGATATTTGAACCCATACTAACCCTAACCCATGGGTTTTAACACCCACATATAGATTGAACCCGCGGATATACACGTGGGTTCAAATGTACGGTCTCCATTCTTGACATAATCTATTTGTTATTTCATAATAACTAGTAGGCATATAGGCTCGATATGTGCTATTACTCTCTATGTAAACGTCTGTGAATACAAAGTATTTATTGTAAGCAACGGTTCTCCTCCACATCAATAATACTCGTGCCACCACGCACCAGGAATGAGTGAAAGTAACTGCCTTTAAAAAGATTTCCGGATTTCTGCCAATCGTATAGATTTTCTGATCGAAAACATTTAGCTAACGCAATTTGGAAGGTCAAATGCGATTGGAATAGTCTCGAACAACAATAGAAGCTCTGGTTTCAGGTTGAATTAATCCTTAATCCCATTGATGGGTCATGTAATAGGTCCCGTCAGGTGAATTAGTTTTTGCGTAAAGTCCATATATTTAATAGTTAATATAGGATTATATATTTAATAATTATAGGAAAATGTAAATAATATCGGAATAAACAAATGAAATATAAATCAAAAATTCAACCGATGAAATTTTCCTTACATTTTAACTTTCCAAGTGTGTGTGTGAAGTTGCATATGACGTCGTCAATCGGCGGGAAATGCGACCCATATATGGTGCAATATTGACCACGGGTAAAGGTATATCTCAGAATTCCATCACATATTCAAACTATTTCATATGAATTGTCATTATGGTCACATTAATGCCGTTTGTTCCGAGAGTACTTCCAAATGCACAAAATACATGACCCAATAGGAAAAAGTTCAAAACAGATCACTGAAAAACTACATGATGAACGATTTCTAAAAAATGCGTTTCATGTTATATTGGTGCAATTTTCTCGTCAAAAATGCAGTAATTATTGATCAGTGTTAATTAAGCCTTATCAATTGTATTATCTAACAGTTTGCTTTCGACAAAAAGCAAATAAAATTGATTAATTGCGTAAACACGTGCGGATTAATATAATTAAAATACTTTCCATAATATATTTGCATGGTATCTTGGAATTTATGGGAAAATTCGAAGTATTTCATTTCATATTATTGCCAGATTTATCTATTATTGAAGTACTGTATATGCAAGTGTGAACCAGAGGTGGTTAAAGGTGGGAAATTCAAAAAATTGTTCTTTTATGGTGTATGTGTTTGTTTTATTTGGTTAGAATCGATCACCAAAAGAACCGCTTATAACAAACAAGTAGGGTATCGACGTACGGAATCCATCGAGTGCGTGAGATGTATCCCCGTTTGCACTTCTCTTCCGCGAACGATGAATCACGTGATCGTCTGCACGAAAAGTTTCTCTGATATTGCCACGTCGCGTTGACTGAAATAATGACATGATAAATAATGCTGAGGAAATTTTATTTTAACGTTCAAGTCTTCTAATGCAGTGAATTCTAACCTTCCTATCCTACCCGGCAACAAAATTTCAAAATGAATGAAACAGCTTAGTTGTTTCGATAAAAATATTTTGCAGCGAAGTGCGAGTAAACACCAGCAAAGGATTATAAGCGATAGCGCTAAATTCGCAGCAGCGGTAAACGCAAATTAATAAGAGAAATGAGGAGTTCCGATTCAGTGGATGGGTTGGTCTTGTGATCATGCAATAATGAAACGTTATTATTATATATTTCGACTAAACAATGTGGACAAACGAGATACAGCGACTATAATAAACTCGGATTGAATATTATTGGTCCCGAAGTGGACCTATGGATCGTTTTGTTATTTTGTTGTTCATCTTGTTAGTCTTTCTTTTCTTTTCTTCTTGTTGTGAAAAAATCACTTTTCTCATAAACTACTGGGCCAATTGCTTGAAGGCTATTACTTCCATTTACCCCAGAAGTTTCTGTGGCCTCTTTGGGATTAGTTCGTTCGATTCAGAATTTGCGTAAGTTCAAATCAGCTGCGATGCGGTAGCGGTAGGCCTATTGTGGCAGATTGCATACCCGTGTCATTCCATGTCCATATATTTGAGCATCGCTCTCATGGTTTACTTAAAATGAAGGTAGTCTGAACGTTTTCTATAAAGTAGGTCGGCTACTCCATGTCTTCTCACTCGTCGACGGTAATTCGGATGCGGAGCATGACTCAGTTTTTACCCAAACCCAAGAAGTGTTTCAAATTTAGGGTTGATATACGCGCACTTCCTGATTGACCAGTGGTGGGATTCGCATGGACCTGTTCTTGGCATGCTGTGATAGTGATTGATGGCGAACCCTTTCTTATTTTTTAGACTAAGTTCGGCTTGGTTTTCTAAAATGAGGGAACTAACCCGAGTATAATCGGGCTTCATACACAAGGGAAACTGTTTTTAAATTTTGAATCTCATCACTGCTCGGGTCACTAAATATGCGAATTGATCTATATCCTTTCAATCTGGTTCAACCATGTTTACTTCGGGGTAACTTGGGGGTACTTGGTAATCGGACCATTATGCCATTCGAGTTCTCTGAAATCTTCATCTATCTTAAAATACAGAGTACGATCCGTGTGACTATGGTGTTTGAATTGATAAGATTTTATCGAATGTAGTGAGAATTAAAGAAAATCTGAGTCAATTCTAATATGTAATTGAACAACGACCATCAATGTGAAGAGGAATTGTTTTTCACATGCTAGATGACCGTTATGAAATATTCCTTTTCAACACTTCGTCACTTTAAAAATATATCCAATATGTCTGTACATGTTGGTCAGTATATTTTCTATTGCGTCGCGAATTATGTCCCGCTGATGATGACACGCTTTTGTAAAGATAGATTAAATTATAAAGAACTAACCGAATTTCCTCGATTATCTTATGCACCGTGTAATAAGTTTTCTTATTCACTGAACTGTTTCCCGCCGATAGTATATTGTTCTATTTTTAAACATTTGCCAAAATCCCCAATCTTTCGTACGTACGGTGTATCTCTTGTTAACATTTTATACGCTAATTATTAGCGGTTCCCAAACTATGGGTCGCAAAAGGAATCTTAGTAGGTCGTGAAAAGATGTAAAAAGCCTTGATTAATTACTTATCGATCTTAAGATCGGTAAGTATGTTGATAGGTATTTGTCTGTTTGTTCCTTTGTCTGTCCGTGTTAGATGCACGCGATATCTCACGAAAGCGAGGTTGAATCTGCTCCAAATTTTGCATGTGCATTCATCATAGCTCGGATTAGAAGCCTATTGATTTTCGATGAATTATGTCGTATAATTAGCGAGTTATTGATTTTTTGGTGATGGGACACACGGTGTCCCTATGGAGTAAGACCGCTGTTTTGGGGGATCCCCTAAACTCCGATCGATAAGTCTTTGGTCTCCGACCGATATTCTCGTTATACTGGTTATTTGGATCGGTGGCGACTCGAATACGTAAATCTTCAAAGAACAAAAACTAAATTGAATTTAAATTCTAATCTGTGAAAGTTTCCTTTTTACGATCTTCTCGAAGGAACAAAAATTTGCTACACAAAGAATGACCATGTGGCTTTTTTACGTATAGCAGTTTTGTACACTGTACAGCACTCTTTACCGAGTTTCCCCGAAATTTAGACAGGAATTAGATTTATTTTCTTTTGAAGAATAACACTATGGTTTTTTTTGGAAGAGGTCTTTTGTGTTCATTTATCAAAAATAAAATTACATTTTAGAAAATCACGAGATTTTTTAATAAACATTATATAAAAACCGACATCTATTGTTTTTTTTCGTATTTGCTATACAAAAATCAAGTGACAAATATCATAATTGTGACATCACACAATCTTGAATAGTGGTGTGATCTTCACCCTACCTCAGGTCATTGAACCTTCCCTCTCCCACACATTTTAAGTTTATTTTGAGTGTAGGATTTAATTAAAATCATTTTTAAAATTCAAATAGGGGTTATTTTCAGGTCAGGTCCTATTTTCGAGGAAACACGGTAGTTTTGCGATGATTAGCCATTGCTGTGTTCTGTGTTATGTCATAAAAAGTTAAATGGGTCGCCATAAGCTGTGGTAATAAATAGTGGGTCCCAACTCTAAATATGTAACAATGTCAGACATTCATTCAAATATGGGAGTACGAAAAATAACATAACAGATAACGAAACTCTTGGCCAACTGACACTTGCGGTTGGGAGCTACTATATTTGACATTTTATTGTTCCTGATTTGTTACCGTGTTCTGAATTGAATTATTGGTAGATATTGTAGATATAGAGAAATATTAGAATCACAGATACTCATAACTCAGGCGATTACAAAGAAGCCATTTAAAAAAATCTAAATTGTATGACAATGCTGATTTTTCTTTGTTATATTGCAGCCACGAGAAAAGCGGAACTAAAGGGCATCAGAGAAAAATTCCCAACAAAAATGCCTGTAAGTATGTTTGGTTTTAGCCTAATTATTTGACGATTTTATACCCTTGTGAAACCAAAATAGATGCCAAGTTTTTCTCGCATGTTTTTAAAATATTTTTTTCTCTTCCTCATGCCCAATTATGGACTATTTACGTGTTATGGATGATTACATACACTGGGTCCGACATGGGTCTCCTTGAAATGCATTTCCGTAGTTCTCTTTACAATATGCGCTGAAAAGTTCATTTGGTAAAACGTCCACTACTTGACATACACTATATCAATAGACGAATAAAAAAATCGAGAGTTAGAATATCTTGTAAATTATTTTCTTCAGATAATTGTCGAACGATACAAAAAAGAAAAATATCTTCCCTTTCTTGACAAAACTAAGTATCTTGTTCCCCAAGAGTTGACGATGAGCCAATTTGCCACGATTATAAGGTGGGTTGATTTGTTTTATTATTGATCAAAAGATAAATTAAAAATGTAACTAGACATAAAACAAATCGTTTTGAAAAGAATTCTTAAGGGTAAAAATGGGGGAATACAATTTACATCATAGTATTCGTTTTATTATGGACCAAAAAATGAATGAAAATTTCAACGACACATAAATCAAACAGTTTATAAAAAGAATTTTTAGAGGAAAAATTGATGTATTTCACAATTTACATTCGGTATATAACGAGGTTATGCAATTGTCAATTATTCGTCCAAATCATCACTTTCATTAACAAGATACTGTTTTATAGGAATCGCATGTGCGTGGGGTCATCGCAAGCTGTATATTTCACTGTGAATAAACGACACATGCCGAACATGTCAATGACAATTTCCGAAATTTATCAAGATAACGTTGACGAAGATGGATTTTTATACATGACATATGCCTCGCAGGAGATGTTTGGATGAATTATGGTCAGCGAACATTTTTGAACAGTATCATTCTGAGCGTCATGAGACGGTTTGACTATAACTGTGACAAGAAGTAGTGATGATATCGGTTTGGCCTTAGATTGCAGACAAAGAAAGCATTGAGTCAAAAGGTGCTTATGATTCTTAACTCAATTATAAACGATTTTAAACCCATATTAGGAAAAATGAACGGAATTAGTGTCTGATAATAATTCAAGCTGTATCCGTCCATAAGACTTTCCACGGTGTACTGCGTTGATCTTTGCCACTCTTTCTTATTTTTAGACTATAAGTTCAGCATGGTTTTCTAAAATGGTTATAAGGGAACCTGTTTTTAAATCTCATCACCGATGGTCAGAGATGACTGAACATCCAGCAAGGTTGCAGTGTTATTTGACTGTGGGATGAGCATCGTAACACTTTCAGTTTAGTAAATAAAACCTCAGGCTTGACATCATCAAGCATATTTAAACAGCATTTGAAGCTTTTAGCAAGTGTCGTCAACGCTGCGAATTCATGCTGAAATCTTACTGTGGTATGCGGGAAATATTATATGATTTGTGTGAATTTTTGTACCAATAGTATTTTTAATAAACGTTTGCAATAAATTCTAGCACCGTCACTTATTTTTATGTTTTCACTGCTACAAGGGATCCTCATGCGAACTTAGGCAAAGGATGCAACATTTATATTGAAACTCGAATTGATGGGGTTTGACCGATGTTCGAGGATAATCTTGGATTCAACTGTGTGCTATCATTGGTCTTATATACGGAGACTAAGATGGTCTTACCACGTATAAGATAAATCCATAAATTTAGCACAGGTAGTTGCATTCTAGTGATATTACGTTGTTTTAGGCGAGGAAGAAGGTCTTATATACGAGGACTAAAATGGTCTTACCACATATAATGTAAATCCAAAAACCTAGCACAAGTAGTTGTATTCTAGTGATATTACGGTGTTTTGGCGAAGAATAAATAGACTAACAATATGGTTTACTTATACTCTCTCTGTATTATGTCGGTCCTCTTGGTATCTCTGGAATTACATCTTTTAACTCGACTGAAATCCAAATTGGGAATTGCTGTATCCGAAGTTGTATTCGATGTCCGAGAATGTTGTCTCTTTCTTATATTACCAATTTTTCCATGAAAATATAGACCAAATATCGTCCCTGTGCTGTGTGGCGCGGTGGAAACGACGAAAAGTGATCGTGAACTGTAAGGAACATCTATGCAAAATCTACGAACTATTTTGTTATGTGAAAAAATGTGCCTGTTTTTAAAAAGGATGAAGACTTAATTGTCCCAAATGGGGAAGTCTGTGGCAACGGCGGTAGTCCATACCTCGCGAAAGTCAGGTCATATAGAGTTCACGCCTTAATGGACTGTAAAAAGCAGACATGTCGTCACATCTCACTAACCGTTTTTTCCATATGACACTAATGGGGTTTTTCAAAGTTTCTCAGATCGTTCGGTGCGGTATGAGTCGACGTATATGAATTTTGATCTGATGGCAGACTGTACAAAAACAGGTCAGCAGAAAAATTCATATCCAGCCGCTCTTCTACGTGTCAACAATTTTTTTTACTTAAATGAAAGCACCGATTACTTGACGGAATCATTGTTCCTACCTCATTCAAGTATATAAACATACGAGTGGATTTTAGTCTTTTCACCTTTACTGTTAGTTTGTTTTTTTCACATTGGTAGTAGACTTGAAAATCATCAAACCTGTTTTATTTCGAACAACTATAATTCTGTGAATGTTCTCAAGAGCAATGCATACGGTTTGCTGATTAGTAGTCGTTTTCTCCCCACGTCAGTGATGATACAATATACAGATAAAATACAATACTTCATGGACAGCAGCTCATGCTTCTGATAATAAACTATTTTGTTCAGGCGAAAGTAGCATTTCTTCTAGATCTTGTCCGTCGTTCAAATCCTCCGCATCAGTTTCTTCCGCCTCAAGTTGCTGGTATTCGGTGCGAAGCGTGACTAATTCCACGTATGGCTTCGTCCACGAATGCATCCGACATGCATCCAACTTTTCAATATCTTTTAAGTTTCGAAGTAAAACCACATCTAACCAAGGATGGTTTGCTAAATAACCCAAAAATTCTTCGGATTGGCTCAACTGTGCGAAAGAGTATAGGGCAACCGCGCAGCGAAAAGCTACTTTTTTAACTGTCGGCATTTGGGCAGTAGACATGTTTAAAGACTCATTCCATAATCTACGGAAAATTGGAAAAACTTTAGAGCACATTTCAGAGGAACCTGAAAGTATTGTTTCTTCGTGTTTGACCTTCACCAGATCAGACATAAAATGACCTTCTAATACGCAAGCCCAAAATCTTATAACAGCCGATCTTGTTACATTTTCTTTAGAAATCAAAACCTTATTTAGTATTGTTGTTGGAACAACTAACGTCTCGGTGGCAGGCATATGACACTTTTGATGCATTTCGATAAGGGTCGCAAGAAGTTCAATTGCCGATGATATAAATTTAGAATTCTTACCAGAAGTGAAGGATTGCTCATTCGCATCACATGCTGGTGGAATTCCGAAGGCCCAGAAAATCAAATATCGAAGAAATTGTTTTTGTGCTGCTGCTGCGGTGAGAGCTGCAATGGAAATGTATCAATTAACAAAAAGTAATTTTTTAAAATAATTCTTGACATGCTTTCGATTTGTGATCCAAATTGTCATGGTGAGTCTATTACCGCTAACAACATTGCAGTTGCCATTATGCCCGAACATCGCTGCCATTACGCCACGTTCTGGAAAGCCAAATCGTATTTTTTAAATATTTATATTTAATTTGTATTGTATTTATTAAAATAATGTTGAATAGTTTTTTCATACAGAATCAAATAGTTGAAGTCCAATTGTAAACGGACTTATATAAGTTGGACCAGATCTAATAATGATAAACATTAAAAAAATTAATAAATATCCAATAGTCAACCAAAACTTCGCTTCGGGGTGGCAGATAAACCTAACATTTTCATCAGGTTTCCCAACGTACTGAATGTATAAGAGGCTTGGCTTGAGACTTTTCACTATAAAATAAGTCAACTGTGTTGAGTACCGTGATATAATATACATAGATACGAACGAAGCGTATCTTAAAAGTGGATGAAGATTTTGGTATTTTTGAAATAAAAATATGGTTTGCACACTTAAAACCCAAGGACGAACGCGATCCGCAAAGTGTCCCGCATTATATTGTTCAATGAATTTAGAATTAAATCCTAATTTTATGCATATTTTTCATTACATTCCGGTTTAGAAAACATACTGAAATGCGCATACCTGATTTAATCTGATTTTCCTGTTTACAGTTGAGAAAAATGAAGTTGATGAAACAGAGTGTCAAATCAACAACAGCAGCCTGAGGACATGGGTCAGCCAACACCAAATTCAAAAGGACCTTCATGATTCGTAGCAAATACGACCAGATTTCCAAATCCATACTGAATTTTGAACTCGTTATAAGTATAAGAAGTTTTAGTAGCATTCGAAGAGTTTTTTCGGAAACTACGGCGCCATCGGACAGCTGATTATATGCGTATTTTGATAACTTTCGCATCAAGGACATGCAAAACGAACCATGTTCTTCCTGGCTTTCTTTTAACGATATAGAATGATAGTGATTGAAAATTGAACGTAAAACGCCCAATATAGCATCTGCTATAACTTGTTCTCCAATAACAAAATCTAATGAGCGAAATATAACTGCGGCGACATTTCTGTTCACCTTCGAAATTTCTATTAGAAAACTGAGGCGTTCAAGAGCGGAGGTTGATTCGACTGTATCATCATTTTTCTTGACTACATGTAACCACTTTTTCAAGGTTACGCTCTGCATTTGTTGAATTGGAGTTTCTGCTGATGAAATACGTAAAATAAAACTAACAAATATTGGATGATCTACGCACAGCTGTTGGTCCTTCAATAACGGAACAATCAAAGATGGGACGTTTGGTTCAATCGATGGGTTCGCATTGCAAATAGCAAACAGAAAAATTATTTGCTGTTTCGTGGATTTGGGTAAATCATTCAGTGACGATGCCATAACAATAAATCTATTCAAATGCTCATTGAGCACTGCAACGGGTATAAATTCTCGACCTCCGTGCCAGTAATGATTAAAAATCATGGCAAAAACGGAACACTGCGCTGGAAGAATTGTTTCATTCCGATCAATCATTTCGTCCATTAAGCAGACACACTCGGAAAGTTTTCCTCTTATTTCAGTAAACCCTGTCACAAGTAACGTTTGTAGACGCTGGGAAACTTCCCCGGTGGATTCTCTCAGTGCTGCGATATTGAGGGTGTACAGAAATTGCCCGCATAAATTTGCCAGTTCGCCATGGCGAGGGTCGGCATAAAATCTAGATTTTGCTGTCAGTGCAAGGTGGATAAACACCCCTGTCATTAGCTTGTGGATGAAGGAAGATCTCTGCAAGGAACGATTGACAACCACGATAGTAGCCAGAATAGAATGGATTACTGTAGGAGACGAAAGTGCTCCTAGAGATTTAGTTGTATGGTTGAGCCAAGATTCCTCAATAGAATCCAAAACAGCTGATTTTACTTCTTTTAGTTGGTCCTGGTTTTCTGGAACGTATGAATTGGAGTTTGATTCCAAGTCGCTAATTTTGTCCGCAATCAGCTCACATGCACGGTAGAGTACGTTCCAAACTGCTACAAAAATTTTCCTCAGAGAAGTACCTAGAGAATTTGAACGTTTTTCAGGAGATAATTCCACATCTTCATCCCGCATTTCTTGTACTGGTTTTTCTCGGTTTTCACCCGACAATATTGTGACAAAAGGTGAAACATTGTCGTCCATTGCTTTTAAAAGAAATTTAATTTCTTGCATACAGAAATTTGGGGGAAAGTGTTTAAAAAACGAACTTAGAGTCTCAACAGAGGATATCACTATGTCCGGGTGTTTGTCACCCAGGCCATCTTTTATTATTTCTACCGTGCGATCAAATAGACTCAACGTTTTCAAAATACAGACGTGCCCAGGTTGTCTATCCAAAATAATTCGAAGCAAGGTGATACCTTGCGCACTAGTGGTGCTTTGGGTTGTTTTAAGTAGAAATTGCAGACTTCTTAAGACAGACTCAAAACCATACATTGCGTGGCAATCTTTATGAAATGTATCACTTTCAGCCAGAAGCAATATGCAACAATAAATAGAGGAGATTATCGTTGGAGATGTTGATGATCTCAAAGTGTCATAAATAAATTCAGCTAGATCTGCATTCAAGAGAGAATCTATGATCGATTCTGCGTGACGACCAACGAACATTATCAGGCAATGAATTACTTTCCGAGTCAGCCTTTCCTCTCTCTTCAGTAAAATTCGTTTCAGACCAGCCAACAGCTCATTAACAATAGCTTGTGGATAAAAGGGGGTGCTTCCTTCCTCAGCATAACACAGCCATTGTAAAAAATCTTCCGCCAGAGAAGCATCCGACAACAATCCGAGAGTTTGCAACAGAACATCAGCGTTATCATTGCTGGACAGTAAAGAAAATAGTTTTTTCGGGAGGCTTGCAAGCGCGTCCCGAAAAAGCACTGGATTGTCAATTGAATCTTGTCTTGTTGACATCGACACGAGTTGGGAGCACACCTTTAATATTGATAGGCGCAATAGGTTGTCTGGATAATCAGTGGCATTCAAAAGAAACTTGACAAAGAAAGGTTCTCTATGCAGGAGTATTCCAGAAACGCTTTCGCTGATGTTAGCTATGTTGTGAAGAAGTGAAAGCGTAGGAAAAAGTGTATTTGTTTCTTGTACAGAATAGCTTGTTGAAATTATATGTGGAAGTATACATTCACCAATATCCCTTCCGATCGCGTCGATTGGAATTACAGTGCATTTTACTATTTTGTCCACTAATTCAATGTCTTGGGCGACATGTAAAAATTTGATTAGTGTAGAGCAGTAATGATCAATTACTCCGTCATTTTTAGAAAGGCAGTGTATAAAGGCATTCACGTCATTTTTGAGAATTTCTTCAATATTCTGTATAACAGTGATTTTCTTTACCATTGGATTGTCATCTTTTTCCAAATATTCTAAAATACAACTGATACAGTGCTCCTTATTAGTTTGTCTTGAGCAGAATGACAATGTTCCGCCGTGTCTGCACTTGCCGTAACTCATATTTTCTCGTTGGTAATAGTTTCTAAACAAAAGTGATAATATACGTGTATCATAGTAAGACATTGCACCAAAACAAAAACTATAACGATTACCCTGGCTCGACTTCTCGCATCCCACTTTTACTGTCATTATTCTAAGCTGCCCAGATAAACTTTTGGTGACAAAAACAACAACATGCACCCAGCCCTGATGTTATTTTTTTATAATACTGAATAATACTCATTTATCAGTTATAATGAATTAAATCCCGATTCCTCCTGATCCTATAATCAGTTTTATTCATTTTGTTTCTATCAATTATTTTTCCGTCTATTATCCTGATTATGGAGCCGAAATAAACTTATACCTAATTATCTTTATATAAGAATTCGAGACAGCATTCTATTAAACTGAGATATAAGTAAGTTTAGAAGATTAACCAATAGTAATACAGGTCCGCAATCGTATGCGAAGAGGCGTTGCAAAAGAGAAAACTATATTATATATGAGCAAATTTTAAGAATAAATTCCCTTATGACATCTTATAAATAAATGATAAACTACAGATAAAAATAAGACCAATAAGTACTCAACATATGTGCATTGTAAATCATATCGCTTATCAGCTTTATCTGTATTTCGTGACAACGACGAAAAATGCTCTTTTGGCATGGAACTTTCGATCTCCTTTCCCTTCCTGCCTTTTAGACGGAATAGCTGCGCATCAGGGCCGGGTATAATACATAACTAGTACGATGAAATTATGTGTAATTTTATGGGTACGGTAACATAAAATCTAGTATGGATTATTCCGTATAAACCTATAATACCGTTAGCCTACTAACCCTGCCTTTGTTCATTTCAACCATACACTGCAGCAGTGCGAGTGACAGCAGATAAACAATGGCGTAGTGTCGTTGAAGATTCTTGCGTCATAAATCGAACACGACAATCATAGGAATACTTACGTGAATCATGCTTAATTAAAAAAAGTTAATGGCATGGGCAGATTTCAATTAAAACGTTCGTATTTTGAGGCAAAGTGTGGCGGGCTAGATGAGTTATTCTCGCAGGCCGTAGTTGGTGATGCCTGCTCTAGGGAAGTATAAGTTTATTTTGATTCCATATTCAGCATAATAGACGATACAAATAATTGATAAAAATCATAAAATTAAAACTGATGAGAATACTAAACTAAAGATACTTCTTATAAACCACTTACATTTTGCGCAATCGCAGTTTCTTGGAAGCCCAGACCCTGCCAGCAGCGCAGAGGGTACAGCCTTTCTTTGCGAATTATGACCAGTGGCAACGGTGAATATTCTCTCACATGTATCGCAGGATGCATAAACTTTTTGGAATTCGCGAGAAACAAATTTTTGCAATTTATTAAGCTGATAAAAATATTTAAGATATCTATATCAACAAGATAAGATTGTAATTCTCTTGATGAAGATTGTCCGGGCTTTGGTTCATCGCACGGGTGACTGACATGTGTGTCTGTGATGCGCGCGAAAGAAATGCATTCGGAATTATAGTAGTGGTCGTTGTCGAGCATTCGGCGTCTCTTTTTATTATAGCCGTATCAGCACACTGACATATATTGGTATCCTAGTAGGTAATTCATTCAAGAGTTATTTGGAAATATTTACCGTAATAATCATATGAAATGAGCTTGTGGGCGGACAAGTATCGACCTAAATGTCTTTCGAAGTTGGATTACCATAAGCGTCAGGCAGATGACATAAGAAAGTTGGTGAAAAATGGGGACTTTCCCCACCTTCTGGTTTATGGACCATCCGGAGCAGGTATTGTACCTGTAGAATTTTCCATTATTAAGTTATACCCAACATCAAATTCTTTCAATACATGATTACACAATGTAAGTATTTTAATAATGTAAATACACAAATACCGGTATGGACTGAAGGATGACTATGCATTACTATACTAACTGTTCTGAATTCGCGGTTGAGAGTAAACATTTTTGAGAATGCATGTCCTTTAATAAATATAACCCTAAAAGCACAATCTGTGCTCAACAATGATGCAACCAATTCATACTCATACTTCAATTGAAACTATCTATCTTTTGCATTTTTTATATCCTTGCACAAAATCAGGTCTTCCTTCTGTCCTTTATGTAGTTCTGGGTGTGCATCTGATTTTATCTGTTCAAAACATTAATGTTCGGTGGAAACCTTTTGGCAGGTCTGTACAGATAAAAAACCACTGCTTGAGTGTACCATCTCATGTTTTCAAATTGACTGCTGGAGTTGGTGTAGTGACCACTGGATTTCTATCTGCTATCTGAATATATAATGTAATATTGTAATCGAATTTACTGATTTCGAGTTCTCAGACCTGATGTTTCCTCATTGTCTAAAAATATTTTAGGAAAGAAGACCAGGATAATGTGTTTGCTTCGTGAACTTTATGGTGCTGGCGTGGAGCGCTTAAGAATTGAAAAGCATCATTTTACAACTCCTTCAAATAAGAAAATAGAACTCGCTGCCCTTGCTAGCAACTATCATATTGAAGTTAATCCAAGCGATGCAGGAATAAACGATAGGTAATCAAATTTAATTGTAAAAAAACTTCAATCTATTTCACGCTTCGTTATCGGTTTTGAAAATTCTGATTTAGGTATTATTCTGATCTCATCTATAATCCATTAAAATGTTTATATAAAGAATTTTTTACAGAAAATGGGACGTCCAAGAACCATCTTTTGGTTTAGAGTCGGACAAAAAAAAATTATATTTTTGGATATTTTCACACCTTCATGCAAATCATTGGAATATCCCTTAAAACCACGTTCTTCAAATGAATTATTTTGCTTTGAGTGACTGTCTATTATTAAATACATGTGTTTACCAAAGTATGCATATGCAATCATTATATGTACATTATATAGAATAACCATCTTATGTTATGTAAAGTTATGTAAATTGTACAGTATTTATTCTATATTTACCAGAGTTGTCATCCAGGAGTTGATAAAAACTGTTGCTCAGTCGAACCAATTAGAGGTTACTGCTCAGCGAAAATTCAAGGTATTCAATGCCTTTGCTTTAAAGTCTGATTCGTAAAGAATAAATATTTTAAGAGATTTATTAAATGATTATTTAAAATGTCTATATAACCTTTCATCACATTCTTCTGAACGAAAATTGGTCATTCTAAAAATTATAATATTGATATAAGTAGTAGTACTCGACAAAGTAGTAAGACTTTGAAAATAGGCATTTTAACAGATGCTATTCAACAACCAATTCATGTATAACATCATAGGAAAATAAAATCCATTTGTTAAAGTTTATTACAATGTATTCCAAAACCTTCTCTGCTATGAAAAGTTGAAACAACAAGAAGCTTTTATCTAGATAAAAGTATTTCATTATTTGGTGTGTGCTTCCCTAAACTCTTTGTTTGGGTAACCAATAGTTCATAAGAATTGTTTCATTCCAGGTTATAATCTTGACCGAAGTCGACAGACTGACAAGAGATGCTCAACATGCACTACGTAGGACAATGGAAAAGTACATGTCAACATGCCGTCTCATTCTCTATTGTAATTCTACAAGCAGGGTATATTTTTTAAAGATATTTTTTAACCACTCAAAGTGTGTTACTTGCCAGTAGCGTCTGTACAAAGAATGTATATATGGTCTTTGTTTTTCATCATACACTTTCTTTTCAGAAAGTAGGTAAATTGTTATGTACTAGTAGTCTAATAAACAATTAGTGATTTTTAATTATTTAATTCAAGTAGGGTCAAATTAATGTTTTATCTAGTCTTGAGTCCACTTATTTTCAAGTTCATATAAAAGCTATATGACTAAGGCACTGCAAATCACACATATCATTGCACCAAACGTGCTTTGAACCGAGTCACATTGAATAGCTAAGGGGGATCACTTCACATAAAAAGTCACAACTCACAACTTAGTTGTCCTAACCCGACTGATCAGCGATTGCATTGCAGAGTTGGTGAAGATTCCACTATAGAATCTTACTTTGATAATTTATGATTTTGCCAATTATAGGTTATACCAGCTTTAAGAAGTAGATGTTTATGTATCAGAGTTTCTGCGCCAACAGAATTAGAAATTGTTTCAATTATTCAATATGCCTGCAAAAAAGAAGGACTAACTATACCAGTGGAACTTGCTAACAAGTAATTGTTTGAATCTATCTATTTCGCAGTACACTTATGATATATGAGAGAGGGAAAGAATTTTTGCTTCTGTCAAACCAGAAAACAAAACATATAGGCTATATATAAAATAAAAATTTAAAGTTTTAGGCATATGACTGTGTAGTAACAATACAACATCAGAGTCACCAATTAATTATATGCTGGATTTATGAATAATTTATAAAAGAAATCTTCATTTCACTGAAAAACTGTAGTGTTGATTTCAAGTTTTTTTGAATCAATGTAAGGTTCGTTAGTTTCCATATTTAAATATTAAGAATTTGCTATTAGTACAATAGCATTTTTATATATTCAATATGTAGCCTATATAGGTTATAGTTAGTGTACCATATGCATATGTCTTTAGTATGAACTGTATATTCATAACTACACCAATAAATTTATAAAATAAAATGCCACTGCACACATCAGATAAGAAACGATTATGATTTTTTGCCCTTCAAAACATTCTGAACAACAGTTACGGTGATTGCGTTATTGCTATTAATAAGTTTTGTATTTCAGTAAATTAATTATCCGGCAGCGTGTTCGATTCTGTAGTGAAAGATTCTTTTACTCCTAAGGTGGTTAAAATTCACTAAGTCTGTTTACTGAACTTATCTTACCAAGTTCTGGTAATATTAGTATTCTTTTCAGTGCTTTCATTTTGCTGTAATTTAGTAATCGCCGGCTTTTCCGAGTGTTTGGAAATGTTGCAATTAAAATACTTGATTTTCAATTTTTTTGCACAGAATTGCATCTTTGTCTAAAAGAAATCTACGTCGGGCACTGCTAATGGCAGAAACATGTCGTGTACGACAATATCCATTCTCTCCTAATCAAGAAGTTATGGAACCTGACTGGGAAATATATTTGAGAGAAACTGCAAATGCAATAGTATCTGAACAAAGTCCGCAGCGACTTCTTGAAGTTAGACAACGGATCTATGAGCTGTTAACAAGATGCATTCCACCTGAAATTATCATGAAGGTAAATTCATGTAAATAGTAAATTACTGGTTGTCCTGAAGAGCTATATGTTAATAAGTTTGGTGGTTGGCTCTTCTATGACTATCAGAAATGTGCTGATCACCAGCACACAGCTGATTACCAGGACTGGTTCCAATGTTATGAGGGGTTCATATATGTCTAGGATATCAGATCTTGCTTCTTTCACTAACCAGTAATCTGTATATTCTGTATATCTGGAATGTTTATCTTGTTGGACGATCCTGTAGTCAATCTGAATTGGTAATCTGATGAGAAGCTATGATTTGTCATAAATAAGCCATATCTATTTCTGAATAGTTCTGCATTCTGGAATCTTAATTGCAATTTATTACAAATCCGAAAAATTTAATGGCTATTTTGTGTAAATTTATAATTCAGTATATATGCTCATTTTTACTCTGTAAACATGGTTTGATTTTATCACTAAATGGTTAAAGTAATGTTATGTAAAATGATTTCCAAATTGTCAAAAGAATGTTTTAGAAAGGTACTGATTCATGAACATCATGGTTAGTTGTATTTGTAGGCAGTTTTATTGTCGTTCACTCAAATCAGGTGCCATCTTATCATCTAGTTTATGTATAGTGAATTTGCATGCATCTTCCTTCATAACCGGGATTTTTATTGCAAAATTTGGTTAAAAGTAAGAATGATGATAATTGAAATGCACAAATTAATTATTGTTGCATTCACATCATTACAATTCTACATGATGGTACAGATGTTGCTTTTGAGTGGTAATATTACCCTGGTTTTAAACTCTTGTTCAATCAATATATGTGAAATATCCCTACTATTTTAGCTTAGGTTGATTAGTTGACTGTGCCAACCCCTGTTGGTATCTTGCGGTTGCGGGCTAAGGTTTTACTGCACACAAAGTTAAGTTATGGTGTATTTGCATGAATGGTGGATCGCCTGCATTATTGAGTCCGAATACACTGGTTTAATGCTTTAACAATTTCTAGGGTCTCTACAACGAACTGGCTAACAACTGTGATGGTACTTTGAAAACAGAGTTGTCACAAATTGCTGCTCAGTATGAACATCAACTTCGCCTTGGCACAAAATCGGTTTATCATATAGAGGCCTTCATTGCAAAGTTCATGTGTATTTATAAGAAGTTCCTAGAAGATGGTTTGGATGCGATGATATTCTGAGGAGACCTATTAATAAAGCAATACTGTTAGTTGACTGTTCAACTTGTGATATGCTGGAAAGGAGTTCATTTATCAAGGGTCATTTATCAAATAGTAGCAGTTAGGCTCTTAACAGTTGCCCTTCAATAATGGGTATGTCAGGCTCAAAGTGGTCGATTTTTCTCCTGGTTCAGGACTGGGCTTGTTTCAACAATTCCCCGTTCAGTGTTTTATAAAAAATAGGCATAAATTGATGAGACTTGTATCGGTGTCCATGTTTCATTTTGGGATCTAAATTTAATTTATATCCTACTTTATTCTCCGGTCTGGTTTGCAGACTCTGAATATGTCAATCACAAACGACTATTTTTTTCTTCTTCTGGTGCCATCTTTTCAATCTTAATCGAAAACTTGGTTTGAACATATATTCTGTTTCATGTCTATGAAGGTGTAAGTGAGTTTCACTCGGTCCAGTTAGCAGACAGATTAAAATAATTGCTTGAAGCTGTGCTACATGGCTCGAAATGGATCTCTAGTTTGGTGGGATTCCGTACTTCGGTATTGTAGGAAGTTATCATTCATACACTTTGGATGTTGTCATAAACATATTCCACGTGCGCGCTCTGTATACACTCTTGTGTTAAATATCTATGATTGCCACAAAGAATTTTCGGTACTGCCGTGGTATGTGTACCAGGTTGGTGTTATATAATAATTTTATTCCAATTTTACTTCTATTACGAGTTCGGGGACTGGCTGTGTTAGCCAAGTGAATATACCCCCTGCCGATAGGCTTCCGTCTCTACACAACTTGATGTAAAGTAGGCGAAAAAAAATTAATTACCTTCATTTAGTACACATACTTCTGAGCGCCGAATTTTCTCCGATGCGATACATGATGCAATCATTTTATGACATATGTTTGAATTATTGGGATCAAACCGACGAGAATTTTCTGAAAACTTTTCCGGATAAACGCGAGTTTATTTTTAATCTGGGCGGATTTAAGCATGGGAACAGTCGGGTGAGTTCTGATTATTTATTGGCATACTTTAGTAACGATCCCTATGGACGCAGCTTTTAATGACTTAATTAATGCATTAGCGCAACATATGTCCGTTTCCAACAAAACGCTATTTCTGGATACAAGCCGGTGTTTCAATATGGGGAAACGGGGTAACAAAAAAGGTATTTTCAACATTTTGTTAGTCAGGTCATTTATCTGATGCTATAGGATTGGATATATTGCTTTGAAGTGATTCTTCGAACATGATTTGGATATTGAGATCACGACTCACGTTGAGAGAGACGATTAATTGAATAAAAGATTTGGACAACAGTTCACTTTATAGGGTTTTTAGCTTATTTTTTATAATCTTATTTTTTTTTGCGTCAGTTATCAGGAAAAGATTTTTATAATATAAAGCAGATTCTTTCAATCACTTGATCAGAGCTCGTTTACCAGTATTGAGAGAAACCTGACGAGGAAAGTGATGATGAAGTCGAAGTTGGCTACGCTCTTGGTGCTTGCGCAAATTGCAGTTCATTGCATAGAGTAAGATGGCACGCATATTTGTGTAGTTCATTAAATGAAGAATGCTGACAAAAGCTCAATGAAAAAAAATATTTTAATCGTTAATACACAAATAAATGGGAACGTCGATGGGAAAATTTAATACCTAGAAACTATTTTAGTACAGTTTGTATAGGGACTATAGGTTGATAATTGTTTACGTGGGGATAGGTAATCATAAATATGCACATATATAAACTATATAGCTTGAATAAATGTAGTTTGGTGCAATTGACTAAGAATGCAAGGCTCACTTTGTTCCTAGCATTACGCTAGGGTGATCAAATAGGTCATCAACGCATTCAAACAAAATCTAATTGGTGGATGGAAGGAGCGTACTATTTTACTGCGCAACCATACCTCTAAGATTGATTTGACTGCGTAACGGAATAATCACAAGCCTCCATGAATTAGGCATCTATAACAAATAACTGGCTTTATCGACTTTATCGTCTTATCGACTTTATTCTCCCCGGGATAAATATGTAAATCCTATTCTAATAGTGAATTAAAAAAGTTTAATTTTTTTAAATGTAACAACAGGCTTCACTGATTAAAAAATGTTTTTATTTTTTTTATTTCAGCGCAACAAAGACCAACAATGATTCTGCCACCAATGCAAATCTTACAGATTTATTTATTGAAGGTACTGTTGATATGCTAAATTATGTTTCAATTTACATTTATTACACTCTTAACTTTTAGTGGCATATACAGTATAGTATAGTATATACCAGGGGTGGGAAAATTACGGCCCACGTGCAAAACCATGCGATTTATTTTTCATTTTTTGTAAATGTCATTCAAAAACTCTAGCTTCTGATATATCTGCATTTGTGCCTGCTAATTTTTTCGTGGCTTCCTGAATGCCCCAACTAGGGATGTAAGTTTCGAATATTTTATTTTCGAATCGAATTCCGAATCGGAATATTCCGATTCGAATATTTTCGAATCAATCTGATTCTATTTAGTGTAACATCATATTATCGTTAACTCTCCTTAGATTTGAAAGAACTATAGCATAAAGAGTGATTAAATAAAAATAATGAACTTAAAGAATAAGTGAAGTTAGTAGAAGAAAACATTAAACTGATGCTTCAACTACATAATATAGAATATGAGAAGAGAATATGTATTATTGCTATATAGAGTTACACTCAGTTATATTTACTTATTACGGTAATTTAATGTTCGCAAACAATACCGGATGTATAGTGATGGTTTCTTCTAAAATTCATCCAAATGATTAACGTCAGTGAAATATGCGTTAGTACCGCTTGCGCCGTGATTCTAAAGAAAGCAAATGATAACGAGGGAAGCATCGCAGACCTATGTTTCAATGCGGAATATTGTTGTTAATATAATGACATTATATAACTTAAGTATTTTAAAGACATGTTCATATAATAACATATTTGTAGAACTTCCTAACATTTTGAATAGTCTAAAAACAATTTAACGAAACCATTGGTTCCTCTGAGGCGGTGACTCAATATGAAATATATATATATAACAACCCCCGGAGTGTTACGACTTGGGAATGCTGTAAGCGTAGGGAAATTGAACGTTTTTATTCGATGATAATACAACGCTGCTGCGTCGTGCAATCGCCTCGTGTTATCTAAATTATTATTTTTTTCAAATACAATCAAGCCGTTTTTCTCAAATTGCTTCGAATCGATTCAAAATTCTGAAACTCACATCCCCAGCCCCAACATAGATTATTTCTTTTTGTGTGGTACAGTGATTCTCAAAGTAGGCGATATCGACTCTGGTGAATTTGTGAAACAGGTAAGACAATGCGAAAAACTGAAAGGGGACGGCAGGGTGGCGATTGCGCATTCTCGGCGAGGAAAATTAAGTTAAAATCGCCGATTGTTTTGTTCAGCATGACGTGGGTATTTAGGATGTGAACATCGGTATTATGCCGGCAAACTATATTTCGGCGAAATATACCTCTTTCGCAAGTATTCCACTGGACATTTGCCACAAGGACGTCGAAAAATGTTCTCCCCTCAGAACTCCGCGTAAAGTGTAAAAAAATCCTTATTATGTGATCATCTGAGACGAGACGCTAAATACAAACTAGGGATTGAATCCGCAAATCCAATTTTCGACTGAAAATGAGAAAGTGAATACATATATATATATTGTAAGTACGAAGCGGTGTCCTAATATATATAAATATAAAACATAACATAAAACACCATAAATTTTGTTTTAGGAGTGCCTCGACAGATTGAAAACTCTTTTTTAGACGTAGTGAATTGCAAAAATTCCGGAATTTTCACTCTGGAACTCTAGCTTAGTCCAGCGGTACCAAACATTTTTCCCAAACCATATTATACACATATGATTTTTTGGCCGCATTTTGGATTTTGCAAATGTTGATATCTCAAAAATAATCTTAAGCGGCTCAAATTAAACAGATTACCATGATCGCAAAAATTCAAATCAATTCTTGTTATAATCAGGGAGTATACCTCGTATTTTATGTAAGAGTAGTAATACTTTCATTTTATTGTGAGTTGGCGCAACGTTGATTTAAGTTGAAAATAATTAAATTAATATGGCAATTGGCAAGACGTTTTTAATGCTCTTATCGGCCATGGACTGAATATTGTGCGCACCGGAAAAAACATCATCGGTGAAAAAAGTGGTAATTTTAACGAATGACGTGATTGCGACGGCTGTTTCCATCGGAATTTCGTTTCTAATTTTGAATACAAAATAAAATTTACTGAGAATATAGATTGGTGCAAGTCATCTGGCATTTTTGACGTAGTAGAAATGTTGATTCATTTCTAACATCATATATGGTAGAAAAAAGGATCAAATCGAAAATTAATGACGATTCGAAATTGTACATGATCAAAATGTATTCAATATTCATAAAAAAGCTTGTTGAAATTCATTCATCTAATTGAAAACACTACGCATCATGATCAGTGTATTTGTTTTGCAATAAAGTTGTTTGTAACTTCATGTTTGTTGTAGTTTTTGGGGGCGATGATAACGTAAAAAGAACAGTATCGGGGCGGCGCACAAAAATGTTTGAGAACCACTCTAGTACATCAATTACAGCACTTAAATAAATTTTTTCTGTCTGTACTCATGTCACTTGCCAATCTTTCAATGTTATTGGACACGTAGTGGACATAGCAATCGTTTTGTTGTTATGTTGTTCTTATTCTTGTTGTTGTTGTTGTCCTTTGACACGTTTTGAAGAAATTGCTTTTCCCTTTGATTACTGGATCAATTGCTTCGAAATTTTCAGTGGTTGAAGATAAAAATTTTCTCCAGAAGGCTATTACTTTTTTTTTGCTATGACGTCATCAAAATTATGTGGCTCTACGTGTCCATATATTTGAGCATAGCTCTCTTGTTCACTATATCACCTGCTGCATTACTGAAACGCGATTAGTGAAACGGGCAAGCGATTGACCAATAGACCGCGTTCTGTGAGTCCCAATTACTTGGCTAACCTATCACTTGCCATTTCTAACTCCCAATTTACAGTAATTTCATTCGTAAACGACGGGAATATGCATCATTTACTCTCTTTGAATGACCCATTCATTAAATAACGTATTATTTGTCTCAATTATTACAGTGTGCCGTCTTTAATATCAAACATTAGCGTAACTGGTGAGCTATTTTCCATCTACTTTCTCTGTGCATCTGCCTTAATGAAGTTTCGTTAATTGTCGTGTGTGGTTATTTGCAAATAAACCGTTTTTGATATTGCTAATCCGGCCCAGTAACCAAGTCTATTTTCCGCATCTGGCCCACTCAAGAAAGTAATTGCCCACCCCTGGTATATATTATATAGTCTATATAAGGTATATTTGGTTTAAAATGAATGCTCAAGACAAACATACACCACAAATTGTGTCGATATCCATGTTAGTTTCGTAATAAATATTTTGGGATCAGTTATGCTTTAATATCACCACGTTTCACTGAAGGTGACTGATATAAGGTTTGATTCTTTCTTTTATTTCCTGCATTAAAAACTTCGTTCCTCCCAATGATATTAAAATTACAAAATATTCCTATTCAAAGTTAAAACGGCTAGTTTAATAGATTATACTTCTGCAACCCTGCCGTGAAATTGTTCCTATATAATGTTACCTGTATTGTCCAATTCAAATTGTTTGCTTTTATTAAACTTACTATTTGACTAAAAATTCCTGTTGCTCTTTAAAATTGTTGCAGAAAGACCAATTTATACTGAACCTATTGTAAAAAACCATTTATGTTCATTGTTCACCCTCGATATATCTGTTCCTGATTATATTTGCGAACTATTTTAGTATAACATTGATACAGCACTTAGTATTTCATGAATTTTAAGTGCCCATTTTGTGGATGGTCGGAGTTTTTTGTCAATATATTTAGGCTATTTGAGCGGGTTAAATTTTAGGAATGGCGGAATCGAGTCCGGATTCGATTACAGAATCGATTCTTCGCGGAATCGACTAGAATCGATTCCGATTCTCGAGGTTAAAACTTGGATTGCAAACAATGTGCAACGTTTTGTGGCAATTCCTTCACATATATGTATAAACCGCTTTACTGCTATGTTAAGTTGCTACGACGCCGCAAACTTCAATATATATATATATATCAGTTTTGGCTTTCTTGTTCGTCCATATATTTGAACATCGCTCTCTTGTTTGATTTCATATGGTATTGTTTAGGTGGGTATGTTTTCTCGGTAAGATATGTCGAGGAATCGGGATTCAGAACCGAGAATCGGAATCGAAAATTTAGGAATCGGATAAAAATTGATTACTTGTAAGGAGTCATACTTAGCATCCTTAGGCCAACTTATCCTTGGGTGGCAAAGTCAACGTTAGGCTACATTTTATTAAGGATATTTACTAAAGTTCAAGCAGGGGTTGTGTCTGGGAAAGAATAAACTTACAAAAAGACATCCAAAATTAGAAATTAGTACGTAATAAATTTTAAACCATTTCCATCCAAAATTTCTAACTCAAACTTGAAGCTGCCGAACCTCATGCTTCAATTGTGGTGTAACGCAGTGCTCCGCAACTGGTGTGCCGCGGCGCACCGATGTGCCGTGAGACGATGCCAGGTGTGCCGCACAAGAATTGCAATTTTTCTCTTCTTTTTACAAATTTTTTTTTATCCTTTGTTAATTTTACGTAATTCTACTACTCGAATCTACTAACGTAAAGTTAACCTGGTTTTACGTTAGCTTGAGCGACACCAATTCAAATTCCTGACTCCCCCCCACTGTGCATTTGTGACGTAATAAGGAATAGGCCTATATGTCAAGCAGATATATTGTAAAGCCTATTGTCGAGGCTAAAACATAGCACGTGTAGTCGTTTAGTAATCGAATATAAATATGAAACTTATAAAAACGAAAGAATTACCCCTGCGTATTCGAGGAGATTTCTTTGAAAAAAGAAATGACAGAACGCTAAGACTGAAATTCAGCGAAATTCCACTTGATGTGTTTTGGATTTCAATAAAAGAAAAATATAAGCACATTTCCAATGCAGCTATTGAAATATTGCTCCAGTTTTGCACTACTTATGTGTGCGAACAAAGCTTTTCCTCTTTATTACTGATCAAAAACGATTAACGATCCTGTATAAAAGATGTTGACGGCGAACTTCGAGTTGCTCTTTCACGTATTGTGCTCATTAAAACAACCACAAATCTCTCATTGAAATATGAACATAAAACAAAGTTACACGTTGTTTTTTTCGTTTGTTGTGGTGTGCCGTCGAATTTGGCAAGATTTATAGGTGTGCCGCAAGTTTAAAAAGGTTGCGGAGCACTTCACTGTAACGCAATGATTAAAATAAATATTGTAAAATAAAATCTTATTATTTTGAATCTATGATTATTTTGAATCTATGCAGTGGTTCCGAGTAATATTACCTATCCTCGTAAGTATCTAAATTGCGCATATAAAATCAGCAAATGGAACGACTGGTTGTAGTGTCGGTGCATTTATGATTAAATCTTTGGTTTTACAAGCACTGCAGTACATATGCTGGCCATCTCATCTCTGATTTATAAGTACCGATATATATGTTAAATCGTAAAGAAAAAAATAACAAATAAATATTTGGCTCGGTGTAAAGTTGTAAAATAGCTGCAATACTAATGCGGAGTAATCGGGATATCAAATTTTGAGAATTAAAATTCCCACGCGTTTTATATATATACTAGTATATTTAATTTTCTAAGGTGTATGAATGGTTTGTTTTATTGTTCTCCGGTTAAAAAATTCATTTTTATTTACAGCGCTAGACTTGCCTTCTTCTCTGGAATTTCCAAATCTTCCGTCACAACTCGAGAATGTATTTTTTGAGCCAGAGAATTCGCTTAACAAATCCGGAAATTCGTCTTTGGAACTTGAAATTCCATCCCTTGGACTTTACTTAAGTTTACTTGAACAACCAGAGAACCAAAATCAAATGTTTGGACCGAGGAGTATGCTTGAACAACCTGGGAGCCAAAATCAAATGTTTGGACCGAGGAGTATGCTCGAACAACCCGAAAACCAAAATCAAATGTTTGAACCGAGAAGTATGCTTGAGATATGAAGGAGCGTACATGATCCGTGAATATTTTCTTCAAGTAGCTAAAGTTATTTTATTATATTCCAGAATGCAAATACAATGCATAATCTAGTTTATATTCAGATTTTATGTGAATTAAATGTATATTTTGCTTGTTTTTCGGGGCTTATAAGTGAAAATATGCAAATAAAGAAATGACATAAATATAAAAAAGAGTCTGAAATTTGAAACAATTAGCAAATAATTCGTTGCTTGTAAATTACAGTTCATTAAGTATTTCACATACCAAATCAGAGCCAAAAGCGTTAATTTAGAAGTAAGCGCTCTGGTAAATAGAGACTCATTGCCATAAATAAATACAAAATGTCAGGTATATATTACATATTTAAAATATTGTAGAATGAATGCTCCATGGAAAGTTCCATTGAGGTTGCAAACGTTAGACAAACAAGCCAGCAGTGCACAAATATGCGGACACAAAAATACCGTCCTTACACTTTTCCTACGTCACCATTTCTACAAATAACCAGATTTTATTCAACATTGTAAAATATTTATTTATGGCATATAGATATAGTTATCACACGTTGTAAGTATTTGATCATAAACGCAAACAGAACAACTGATGAAATTTTCAAATAAATGATCAAATGATATTTCATTCAAAATTTTGCTGTTCTAAAATTTATCTTTGGGAACACTGTTTTGAAACTTATTTCAAGCGGTTGCGTGATCAAGCCTGCAGGTACGATACTGCTAAGTTACCGTACCACAGAGAGAGTTAGAGATTTATTATTTCGTCAACCAAAATAAAATAGCAGTCATCGTAACAATAGAAATAATAACAAGAGAGCTACGCACAAATATATGGACACGTTAGACCAGAGCGAATCAGTCCTTACCGGTACCTTTGACGCTACCGGTACCCTCAAAAAAGTTCTGAATTTCCAGTAGCAAGAATTTTGCAGAATCAAAACATACAGCCAGTCACGACACTGACTAAAATCCGTGTTCCCATGGATAAAAAATAATACAGCAAAATTTTAAACGAAATATCAAATTTCATAGAATTCACGCAAAATTTTGAAATAAATAAAAGTAATAGCCTTCTAGCGAAAAAATTAATCTTTAACCACTGAAAATTTCAAAGCAATTGGTCCAGTATTCGAAGAGAAAAGCGACTTTTTAAAAACGTGTCAAAGAACAACAACAACAACAACAACAACATAATATTGAAACGATCGTTATGGCCACTAAACGTGTCCAACAATAAAATAATTTGGTATAGACAGGAGGGAGTGATACGAACACGCGGTCATCAAAGTCAACTTCCCCATCACACTATTATGTTTAAGATTCACAAATTCAGATGACTAAATGTAAATGTAGAACATTCTAGAATTTTATAATGATCAATTTTTTGTCTGCAAGGGAATGTCAAAAGTAAGATATGACGCAGTGAAATTGACTTATTCCTTTCGCGATCTTACCCTTGCAGTAATGTCAAATGTAGGTTTTCTAGCAAATCTAGCCTACCGTATTTGTTAATTTTGGCAAGAGCAAATTGAATTGAGTTTTTATATGCCAGAGAAAAACGGTTCCACGATCGAATAGCAGGCCTACAGTACAGCAACGGGTACTGGTAAGGTAGCGCACGGCACCTCTGAATTACGCTCTCATCTTTTCGTTACAGTTCTGATGTAAACAACATAAATTTTGCAGCCTACCTTATTTTTTTTTATATTTGATAAGAGAAAATAAATTGAGTTCCCATATGACAAGGAAGAACCGTTCCGCGAACGAATATCAAGTACTGGTAACGTTGACATATGTTATCGGTACCTGTCCGTGTGTAGACCGATAGTTGTTTTTCAGTAATGCAGTTAAATCGTAAATATAAACTACTACGTTATATGCATCAAAATAGGCATGACTGGCTATTAACTTGTATATTTATTTTTATCAGTGCAGTTTGCTGGATTATGTAGTCTATAACAATAACTAAATTATTATAAAGTAGGCAAACAAAGCAAGACGATTTCAACTTCCAATCCCGACCAAACTGCATAAGTGGAAATCTATTACCTCGTTAGTAGGGCTGGGAATTTCAGTGAAAACACTTTAACCGTTAACCGGATGAAATTGAACCGTAGACTGATTTTAAACTTGTCATTGTTGAATTTTCATAATCAGCAACACTGTTACTTCATTCAATTATTCCATCATATTTTTTTGTGCTTACCTATTGAATTAGTGATATATATCCTTGTGAATTGAACGCAACGGAGATAAATTCGTGACGAACTAATAATTTGTAAAGAAATTGGACAGTATGAAGATAATTATTACTTGAGATGTCAGTTAACTTAAAAAATATCGCAACCGTTAACCATCTTAAATGGTTAACCATTCCCATTTCCCAACCCATCTCGTTAGTTTACGAACGCTCCAGCGTGTTAAAGGAAGTTGGCGAAGGACGATTTCTTGAGAAAATATGAGATAAATGGAATTTACGAGCCGTCTGATTTGGCGCGAAAAAAAATCATGCTGAAAGTTTCTCTCGAATAAGTATGATATTGGGAAAATGACAATTTATCGTTTTACGAGAAAGTTGGTGCTTTACTAGCGCGCTAAATAGTGACGAAGTTGAGCGAATGGACCCTCAGCAGTATCGAATTTATTCGGTTGACAGGAGTTCGACTAAATCTATATTGTTCCGTTCAAAATATATATTTTGAATTGTAAATTCTGTTTGGATCACACAACTTCAGCAATGACCATAACACGCTCTGTCACACGCGCAAATACACTGTTGCTCATTATCAATATAAACTTAAAATGAACATCTAAGAAAAAAACTGAACTTAAAATGAGCGCTATAGAATTTTCGCAAACTGTTAACAAACTTATACACTATTTTCCGCATGTAGTTATGTCTGTATAGAATGTTTCGTAGTTTTAACGGTATATCAGTGCATTTATCGAGTTGTTGTTTATAACTAAAATGCATAGGTGCATTACTATGCTAGCTTTCACTATAACCATATTTAAACTTTACAACTATATATGGTACCCACGCATTATGTTGTTCAATAAAACTTGAATATTACATTGCGAGATCTGGTGACCCATATGTATTTTTGTATTTTCTACCAGCACATCGTAATAATGCAAATCTAGTTGTATGCATTTATTATTTATAGCGTCTAGCGTCCGTTCACGTAATTTTATGAGAAAGTACTTCAGATATGCACCAAATATACTGTATATATATAAATAAAACGTAACGCTTCATACTTTGAATTCATAAATAACTATTACTTTTTATTAAAATCTATAAACTCTATCATCAATATTATTCTCGCAATTTATGTACGACAACAATCCTGCCGGCGATTGGTTTACACTTAATTAAAGGTATAGGATGATTGTCGACCATTTTAAGAAACTTCACATTATGTAACTAATATTAGAATAATATTCAATTCATTAAAATAACAATACGTATAAAAGAGCAAGAGTATATTGGACGGAGTTTACGAATGTTGAACAGATTGTACTCGTGTTCGTTGCAGGTTGTTGGTTATTTGATTATAAACGATCTTAGTTCGTTTTTGGCCAAAGGCCAAAGTTTCAAATACTAGGTATACAATTTATACAACTGTCTGACATAAAATGATAGATTTAGATAACTTTTAAATCCAAATTTTTACTGGCAATCTTAAATCTGGCGATGATTATAAGCGCTGTCGAGTTTAAACGCGCCGGGCCCTAAAAAGTATGTTCTTTCCGATCCAAAATCAAAGAAACTCTTGTACTAATTAGCTTATCTGCCAAAATTTTGCTCTGAGCAACGATTAAATAACCCGTGATGGCATGAGGCCACGATACTTGCAGAATGCAGATCTGTATAACTTGATTGCTCGACTTATAATATATTTTAGTTTTTGACGCTTTAGTTGTTTCACTAGAACCTGAAACTTTGTATTTCTCGAACCAGAGTTGTAAGATGGCCTATCAGACGAAGACCGATAACAATGTTTTTTTGCAATCTTCAGAGCTCAAATTATAATAATTATCTGGACTTGTATTTATCAGTCCGCGACTAAAAATATGGACGCTCACAATTTCGACAGTAATATTTAATAAATAAAACAGAGGCGAGCTAAATGTATTCTTGAATATATTGGGAATTTAAAGTTTGTTCAATGAAGAGCGGAGAAATCTAATATTATCAACAACTATTTTAAAAAGTCGACATACAAAACCTTTGAAAATATAAGTCTGTTCAATCAAAAAAAAAAACGGTCAAATAAATTGTAAATCCAATTAGATTCAGTTGATTAAAATTTGGCCATGTTTTGTTTTTTGATCAAATTTGAAGTTATAGACATTATTGCTATGTCTACGCCGAAACCCGAGGGGATTGCAGTGGTGATAGTTTACGGTGTGAAAAGGACTTTTTCACTTTTTATTCTACTTCTTGCCAAACTAAGAAAAGTTGGAAGCCGTACTAAAAAGTGAATACCATATAGTTCAAAATTCGTAAGTACAAGAGGGCATTACCATTTGTTACCATGAAAGCGAACCATTGTTACCATGCTCATTCAAGAAAAACATGCACAACTGGTAAGAAGGAAAATTTATCATTTTCGCTCGCTTTGTTTCCTTCATATGTAGCCATGTTTACCCAGATATACAGATTACTCAAAAATAAATGCATTGCCGCATTTCATTCATATGTCATGCCTAACACAATTATTGTTTATTTCCTATAAAACGAGTATATATTTATGTGGTTGATCTATTCCCTAATTCAACCCCGAAATGTCGTCATAAGACTCAATGTATCATCTTTTCATCATATTTTATTTTATATATGTATTAAATTATTATCGAATTTCATCGCATTAACTTGACAGACAATTGCTTTAAATTTGCCTGAGGGATTTGTCCTTCGGGCGCAAAAAGACTTGATCTTAACATAAAATTTAATTAGAAGACGATGAAATACTAAAATTTTACTGTTATATGGAGGCTATAGTTATATAAAAAGCCTCACCTTTAACGTTTTTTTTTTTCATTAATTGGTAAAATTACTGTCTGATACCGATTTTTTCTCTAATTGTTTGATTTATAAAGGTCATGTGTGGTATATAAATCAGGTCGGAACTTAGGTCTATACAAATGTTCAGGAGAACAGTACAAAGTGTGATAATATTCGAACAGCGTTTCGATAGTTTGCTTCTTCAAAATAGATATCGGAAGCTAATGATTTTAGTGTGGTACAATTCACATTCATAAAAAATATAAATTTGCTTAAATTAAATTGGCTAATTTTGGTACAGTTTGTTTTATGCAGCAATAGTTAATTTTAAACAGTGCCCTTATGTGCAGTGAACAAATTGTGTAATATTTATACGTTGCAGTTTTCAATGCGTGTAGGCAAAGGCTTCAATGTATTTTTAAATGAGCATTCTCATACAGTCTCCTTGGAACTTCCTATTTCTTCGATTCTCACTACATATGCTCACTGTGACCATTTGAAAATCGTTTTTAGGTATCTTAAAGTCAGTTACCCAAAACAACTCATTAAATTTTGTTTTCCTACTAGCACTCTCCTTCAAATCAGGCTGTCGCACAGAAAGGCTTCTGTGCGTATTTAACTATTAGCATTGAATTTACCAAGTATGAATGTTTTTTAAAAACAATTTGCACCATTTTAACGAATATATTTATTTTAATCAAGTTTTAGTCTCACTACCTCCAATATGGAGGGGTTCTCACGACTAATAATAGCGACAATTATATTATCAACATCCTCGGTATTGGAAGGTAGGTTGTTATTTTCATATTAAGTCACGTTTTATTTATCAGTATAACACGGCATAGTGGTACGCGGTACATATTCATTCGTCATAGTAGTACTTTAACTAATTGTATGATTGTGCCATCAAAAGCGCATTTTACCAGGTTAGAGAAGTATCCAATTGCAATGTGGGAAATGAATATTGAAAAGTTAAGCATTCACGTTAGCATCGTCTATCAGTGTGTAACTAAACTACTTTGGGTTATTCAGCTTTATTTTAATTTGTGATCACGGTGGCCCAGCCGTAAACATATATGACAATTTTGTATACATTGCTGTGATGCCTATACTCTTTTCTAAATAACTGGGGCTGCAAAAGTTTAAATATATATTTGGTTTAAAGAGACTTTTTTCTAAGCAAAGTTGAAGCACTCCTTAATAAAAAAAAATTTTTTGGGTGTAAATTTACAAACTCATTTACACTATTCAAATCATGTTTTGATATCGAAACTATAGTTTAAACACGGTCAGAATTTAAACTAATCCATCACGCGTGGTTCGAGTGACATCTCTAACTTAAATACTAGTTAGTGGTAAGTGGGTGGACCACTTTTGTTTGCATTATCGAATATAATCGTATATTTTTCAAGTTCTATCGGCTTGTAAATTTCTACAATACCGGAGGTAACACGATGCCAAATTGCCGTTAGCCAGAACAGCAGATTATGTCTAATTGTAAATAACGAAAACAGGTTGAATATTAATATTTTTATATCTTATAGTTTGTTTTTATATAAACTGTGAGTTAAATAAAGAGTTTCAATCCGGAAAACATGGACCTTGAAACACTGGTTTTGCCACCGTGGCCGTTTAACGTATGAACAAACAAAAAAAACAGACAGTTCAAAAGACAAAATACCAGAACAAATGTCAAAAATTGCACAAACATTTGGTACATATGTATAAATCGTTGATCATTTCAGAAATATATTTTCAGCGTTTGCAAATGGAAACGTGGGCAACAAATTCGGTAATTGCTTATAATAATGAATTACATTAGAATTTTTGCCAGCATATATTTGTATGGCTTTTTTTCAATGATATCATCCGTGGTTACAAACCTCAAGTGTTCGAAACTCGTATTTGCGTCAAATACAGAAATATAAGAATCTTCATTGTCTTGTTGGGCTCAGTATGAAATTCCGATTTTTTTACTCAGATAGAATGGCATTGTGCTTTGCTGACGCACCATAATACAGCGCGGTCGGTTGAAAAACAGAAAATTTGTCACACAGCTATTTATTTTTACAAAGAATAACTTCTACAAAGTTTTTTAAAGTCATATGTTGTAATACATCTAATAGAACCTAAAAGGTATCAACATATAACCTGAAAGAAATAAAAACGTATCCAAAATAAAATGAGTAAGCACGCATTTTATTCGTGATCTCATCTGACCTTCAAATTTTCTTCTTTTCTAGTTTTTCTAGTGAATTGGGTGGTTCGAAACAGAAAAGTAATACCTTTCCAGCTAGGAAAATTACGAATAGAGTTGCTACCTCGCTTGAGGTGAAGTCACTATGTTGAACTACAGAATTGTAAACATAATGAAATCTCCTAGAAGATGTTAAAGAGCTAAATGTTTTTCCGACGAAGAACCGTTTGTATGTTATCGCGTCACGTTGCGCTATTCTCGCAAGACGTTTCACATCTTTGTTCTGTATATTTCGTACAAGCCGCAAATTTGACACAAAGCGACTGATTGATTCGGCGTAATTTGTTGACGTCTAATACGATTATTTAGACTTATATGCTGCCAATTCGTAATATAAGAGACGTAATTGTTTTATCACCGGTATGTAAATAATATTGAATGGTTATTTGAGATCTGTCCGTATTGAAGTGGGAATAGCATTATGCTATGATTGACTTTGCCTGTAATTGTGACCAGAACCTGGCAGAGTTCTGATTATAATCGCAATTTAAATATTCTGTCTGGATAATGGATATTAATAGACATGTAGGCGAGACGATGAAGATAAAATCAAAGAATCCGAACGATTTCAATATCGATTTCAAAAATCTAACCGAGAACGTACGGTTTGAGGAAATATTGATACATCTAAAAAAAAAAGTATATTTCATGTTTCAAAATATCCACTATCAAATGTAAAATCAAAACTCTTTTTAGTATTAAATCAATGAATAAGGACAAAAATTGAAACTTCGAAAACAAACTCTTCCGCTTCGATATATCTCAGGCAAAAAATTAATTTTAAGTTGCAAATTTAGTATGTTATTCTTCCTTGAGTAAGCTATCGTATAAAAACTGTTACCGGCAATTATTAACGAACTACACTTTGTTTACTTCTGTCTCAGTTGTTTTGTCACTGATAATTTCATAACATACATATATTTGTTATTATAGGATGCAAATCCAAACCAGGTGATGGCATGATGGACAAGAGGCTTGAAATAGCAGATTTTTTTGACAAGTGCCTGATGTCAACAACGGCATCGATGATAGAATCATCTCGTACTGTTATAGATTATATTATTCACGACAGCAAATGGTTTACAGATGTGAAAGGCTCTGTATGCGAGTACGTATTTTTCTACATAGTTGCCAAAATAACGATTTTTTCTGCCTAGCATTGTAAAACTCACTTTCATCATTTTTTTTTGCTTTTCAGGGGCGATGAAAACACTCCCGAGTGCTGGATTTCTTCGCTCATGTTCGTGTTGGACATTCGGTCTCCGCTTTATGTAGCAACTGCCAAATGCATTTGCGAATATGCCGGAACATGCCAGCGTGAGATTTCTATCAGTATTTCTATTATCGTGATTGTAGTAATCACCAAGCCATATAATTGAATAACAAGAAAATGGTTAATGGTCTTTCTTACGGGTACTGAATATGATTGAACCAAAAGTTGTTTATTCACCATTTCCGGGCATTCATTGGGATATCAATCATTATCAAGGTTTGTTAAAGTGCAGTCCAACTACTATTCGAAAATAGCATTACAAAACACAATCGCTCAGAACACGTATAGCTTTAATCAACTTCTTGTGTAATTTATTGATTAATTTAAAATATTTGTTCATTTTAATTATATTTTATCACAGCTTTCATGGAAGATAAGGCATCGTATGGTTCCATGTCAAGCTCTCATGATGAACGTGGATGTACCCCACCACCTAAACGTCGTATGACTTGGATAAAATCAACGTTTGCCACTTGTATTGCCCAAGAAGCTTCAAAATTTAAACCAGGATATGATATTTCGGGATACCAGAAGGGTTCCTCTATTACAAAATTTATGCATGATCACTACACGTACTGTAGGTAAAAGCTCGGCCTTATTTATTTTGTTGAAACTATTTTCTGCGCTGTTTTGTACATTGCAGTAATTTGTGTTTTGTTTCAGGTCAAATCTCACAATAATGTACTCACTTGATCAACGTTTAACATTGCAAATTTTGTATCTCGACCAAGTCTGTCCAAGACAGGGAGAAAAAGCGATGTGGAGAAATGATGTATTGGATGTGTTTGAAGATGCGACAAGAGAAGATTCTCCTATGTGGGATGCAGGAAGAAATTGCAGAAGAAAAATCTGTACGTAATTTTCATAGTAATGTATTATTTCAGAAGATTGTCTAATAAAATATTAATTTTAATATGGCATAAATATTTTTTTATGTAGTTAATTTTCTGTAGACTGATTTTAAGCAAGTAACAAGCAATATTGACTCAAAATATTAAACTTCAACTGTTTGTGACTTTGAATAAATGGTTGCAACCTGTGCCATACTCATAATATTTTACGAAGAATTTCTTCCGACCGCATATGACCCAGAATATCTAAACTGTTCCAATAAAACTCTGAGTCATTGCACGTCCTATTTGCCTCCTGGCTAATTTGTTAATGTTACATTTCATATTTTAATTATGCTTCCAAATTATATAAACGAGACCAGCCAGAAAACGGCTTGAAAACTAAGGTTGTACTGATTTTCGCGGAAGCATTTACCCCAAATTTCAACAAACCTAATATATAGAAAATTAGAAGAAGAATATTAATTACAAGCGCTAATATGATTTATATACGACTCAATAGAATTCAGTCAGTTTTTAAGGAATACGCTATTTTTAGCGTATCAAACATGAAGTTTTAAAATTTTAGAATTTTTTTATTTTTTATTCGAATAATTTACAGTGTAGTTAAAGTTCAAATTTGGGTTTTCGTGGTCCGTAATTTTTCAAAAACATAATTAAATACTTAACATTTGATTTGTTATTACAAAGTAATCATTTTTTGCCCATTCGTCATTTCCAGAACAACCACAAACTTTCACTTTAAAGATCATTTCCTAAATTTACTGCGCAAAACAAATGTACAACCGTCACTAACACCCGCCTACTCAGTTTGTATGAATAATTAAGTCCTATTTATCTTCTGTGCCAAAATTAACTAATTTTACAATGCTCTTAATACGATTTTAAAACTGTATGACGCCACGATGGCAGGTGTCGTTATTTGTGTTTGAAAATGACATTTTTAGTAGTTTGTCTCTTGACGCAATAAAAGTTGTAAGAGGAATTTTTCAAATGTCTAGCTCGATGCCAATGCGTCATTTGGCCGGCAGCACTGAAAATAAATACAAAATAAGTACTTTAGAAGATTATTATTCAGAAAAATACATTGAATTGTCAATTGCCATCAAATGTCAATCAATTTGTCATAATTGACGTATTTGATCTTATGTGAGGCAACAAAAACTATTTTATACGTTATGTATCTACAAAGATAACCACAGTATAATCCAACCAATCAAAACAAATTGTCTCTTCTTATATATACACACTGATACTAAATACATTTGAGCTGAAATTTTGCTAGCGTTGACCATATTCATGAATACGTTTCAAATTTGCTTTATATATTTTTGACTAGACAAATATAAGCTAATCTGCCAATTGATGATTGACCTTCATCTTTTAATCAGATAAGATATAGAATGCATTTGCAACTTTTACTATTGGTTTCGAGTGGAATACGATTTTGTGAATATATATCCGATTGTGGTGATGTCTGATTATAGTTTACATCCAAATTAGACGTCAAAAAGCCAAAACCAAAACGTAATAGTAAAACATTGAGATAATCGCTTTTCAGTGGGTTCACTGTCAACAATAACTAAAAATAAAAAAGCAAATTTGCATAACATTAAATAAGTGCTTTTTGTACTTCCTACTATGAACCATGCCCAAAATAAATAAAAAAAAACTCAATGAATTTTAACAAATATCGATCGATACGCACATTGAATAGTTTCAAAATGCCATTTCACTACTTACCTGCGAATAATACACAAACCATCGCCTATTCAGACGACCATTACCTCTAAAGACGTCGCAGAGGCAAGAAAATTTCAAGAAAAAAAATCACCACAAAGATGTCGTGAACAATTTTCTGTCGATTTTAAACCTCCAATGACATTTCGAAAACATTAGGAATTCTGCTGACCTTAACAATTTCATATTATCACGTTTTACAAGTTTAAAAGTTAATTTCATGATAAGACACGACTAAAAGCTGAAAAGCTATTGAATCACTACACGAAGGGATTTCAAAATATGGAAACATTTTTTCTGTCGTATTTTTGAAATATTTTATAAGTTCTAGATCTTTATTCATACACTCAATGGATACTTAAACATAATAAACGCAATGGCTCATTTTTAAATAAGAAATAAACCTGAAACTAGCATAATTTGTAGAAAAGTGGGGAATATCGGACTGCAGCAGATACCTAATATATATTAGTCGAACATTCAAATTCATAATTTATTGTGTAGATGATAGCGGGGACAATTGCAACCGAAAGGTTTGCCCAGAAAACAGTAGATGCATTCATAGCAATGGTTATGCGACTTGCGCTTGCAACGAAAATTACAGACCAGCGGCAGATGGATCATGTGACGGTGAGTTACTAGAGCAACCTCCACAAGACACAAGAATTACTTATAAAAATAGTCTGGATAGAAATATTCGTTTCAAAATTGGAGCATGCTTGGTACAATTAGCATTTTCAACAGATATTAAATTATATATCAAATATTTGTTGTCTTAATTCATTATTTGATGTTTTTCAATTTTATTCAAGCAATTTCCGTCGATGTATGCTCCGGTAAGAAATGCGGACCTCGCGAAAGATGCTTTGATTACAGAGGAAGAGCGTATTGTTTATGCAGCGTTGGATACCTCAGGACACAATCTGGTGGATGTCAAGGTAATTGCTCGATATTTGCATTTTGAACAAATAATTAATATGGCAGGTACGACAGGCAGGTATGACTGGCCATGAGAATGTTAGTAAAAATCCCAACCAAACGTTAACCTGAGAGAATTGTATACGGAATATCATCGGATATGTGAAAATAATTGTACCGGGTTTTATTTATATAGAGGCGTGAACTATAAAAGACATCAAAATGAAATATTGTGCTCGTATGAATATGAGGGACATTTTAGATAAAATGAACGATTGTTCTATCAGAGCAAAATAATTTTCAACAGCAACAACGCCAACGAGAACAACAATAGTAATTTAACTAAATCAATACATATACATACTGTATATCTGTGATGAATATTTCATTTATATACGAATTATTATCTTTACATACAAATGACAAGCAAATAAATAGAGTTCTCGTAACTGGTGGTTTTGTATTGTCAAAGAGATGTTGTTTTGTGAAATATCTATTAATCAATGTTATTCACGCATAATATTTTAGGGTAGTTACTTTAAACAAGTAGACGAAGAAATTATAAATGATGTAAGCCTTTACAAAATATCTAATACTTGAAAAATAATTGCTAACACACAGATCCTTGTGATGGAGATGCTTGTATGAACGGAGGAATATGTGAAAGACCAACATCTACAAGACCAAATAGAAACTGCAAATGCCCCGGCGGATATGCCGGGACTCGATGTGAGATAGGTAGGTTTCGGAAGGCACTTTATATTTAATTTTCATTTTTATTATATTGTATTAAAAATAATCGTGCTTTCGAGACATTGTTTTCGCATATACCGTATGCAAACGGAAAGAAGTATCACCGAGCAATGCTATGAGTAGTAAAGATTTGAATTGTAAATGTACTGGCTTGGTAATCATGGTTTGTATATAGGTAATATCGTTTTTTTTTAAATATCTCTTGAAGTTTCATTAGTACATAGACTTGAAAACGTGGAATCGTCATACACATCAACGATTGCTCATCAAGAGAATTGTTTATATCGAGTGTGCTAAACGATAGATTAAATGTGACAATTCTTTTATAATAATTCTTGTTATCCCAGTAAAAGCGTTGATATCAATAATATTATCAAGTATATTTACAATCAGTTGACAGCTGTTTATACGAACAGATTTCCCAACATGTGTACCAGAGATCGTCTAGTTCTAGTGTGGGTAAGAATTGAAACAATATTGTTCGAATCTTATCAATCCTCCTCCGCGTTGAATTTACATTTTAATAGGAATTACAACAGGGAAGCGATGTCGCAGTAAGATAGCAATCTTGTATGTATGTAATCACGTACTTATAAGCAGTAAACGTCTTGCCCTGGGGTGTTTATAGGTTGTAAATCAGATTTATTATTTAGTTTTTGGGGCTACCAACTAGTCTAGACTCTAGATAGAGTTCATAATTACTAAATTTCACGCATCTTCGCATATAGACTTGCGTATCTTCAGTATAAATGTTTGACCACTATTTCAATGTACGTATACGCTCCAACTTCGAGAATTTCAGGGCCGGATTGAAATAAATTGATATTGACAAAATAATATTATATATTATTTCAATAACCATACCACGCGAGTTAATAATGTAAAATAACGGTGACGGATATTTAAAAACTGAAAAAATTGCTACCGACTGCATACCGTTAATTCATAAACTCGACACGACTCGGTCCCAGATTACGGTTTCACAGAAGTTTTGCTTCCGAAACTATTTGACTATCAACACGAAAAACAAAACTTATGACCAGTATACAAAATATATTCTTCAATAAAGCTTATTCTTGAAATTGACTTGTATTGTGTAGAAGCATGTAGAAATGGATATATATTCCTGCCAGCCAATGAAAATCCGATTTTGTACAACTATTACGGAACACGGTTAATTCGCCAGAAATTATTAAGTATTCATCCCAAATTAGCACAATAAAAATACTTTTATGTACGAAATTTATCCAAAATAACAATATGAGATATGATGTACTGTACAGGATAGAAATGTAGAAATGTCACCTAATATTTTACTTATAAATGACAGCAATTTATCAGAAAAAAGTTAAATCTTTTAACTCATTTGCTACTGTATGGCCACTTTAAAAAATCTTATATCCTCATTCTAAATATCAGTAGCGAAGCATAAAACAACATCACTTGTATATTACGGAATCATTTTGACCTCTAACGCTCTATTTATTCTTGGTGATGAAGGAGGTACCGAAATCTAACACAGAATTTAGGGATAATTCATACTCTCGAAAATCATATACTAAACCTCAACAGAGCCACAGGAATGCACCAAACCTCGAGCATCGAACCACTGGCCTTAATTATTGGCCAAAAATGAACAGCACTACAATCGTCATTATTACACAAGATAAAATCAGTCATTACAAAAATATATTATACGGTACGATTTTACTCAGTAGACCTAAAACAAATTTCATTTAAACCCTTGCATTTTAAACATTTCAGACACAGCAAATCAATGTTCAAGAAGAGGACAATCATGCCACATGAATGCTCAGTGCAGAATGATATCGACGAACAACTTCCAATGTAGATGTAATAGTGGATATGAAGGGGACGGAATTCAATGCGGTGAGTTGGAACGGACTTTAAAACCGACTGTATTTTAGTATCAATTCTATTCAAGTATATAGTCTTTACTTCGTTGACCCGATATCCCAGTTATTAGTGAATTTACACATCTTTATCCAAGATGTAATAAATTGAGTAGGCTACACCCCAAAAATACTTCGATCATAGAAACTACTTGCTTATAAATTTATGGTTGTCATGTGAGAAGGTGGAATATACCCCATCAAAACGGTGAAATTGTAATCTTCCGGCCATTGTCAGAATATTCATCCGGGCATATTTACCTTATTCATGACAGTTGATTAGTTGTCTTAAAATGCGGTAATTCGTTCGAAGACTTAATTGCTTCAAATTTATAATAAAATGTAAGTCAATATTCAAATTGAATAAAATTTTCCACAGATATGAAGTCGACCGATCCTTGTAAAACTCGGGATGGAAAATCTTGTCATATGAATGCTAATTGCCAGGAGAGAGGACAGATTTACATGTGTATCTGTAAAGATGGTTTCAAAGGAAATGGCTTCTCTTGTACAGGTAAAATTGTGCTTTACATAGTAATTGTTTTTAATTAGTGCTAGGAAGTAACTGAGTGGTTGGTATGCTACACTCTACTATTTAAATTAATTAATTTAGATCAGCATAGACCTGTCGACCATGTCTTGAGACGTTTATAGGACAGGCTATGCCAAACCGAAAAGATTTCAATTAAAAAAATCACTAACTTGTTATCTTTGGTGGTTACTCAAGGTACTGACTTTAAGTCTTTTATTTTTTCAATTCAGAAATGGGTAAGTGCGAAGTAAGATACAGGAGAAGTTGCGGAAGAAACGCACGATGCGAGCAAGATTCGGTTAGAGGATACATGTGCAAATGCGTCAATGGATATATTGGAGACGGCTTTTCATGTCGAAGTACGTTGAAAGTTAATCAGTTCATAAATAACAATTACAGAAGTTTTATTAAAGTATTAGGTAGATTAGCATGTAAATATTAGTCTGATATTCATTAATTTTGTTACAGGATCTACTGTTCCACTCGGGGAGCAGAAGTATTGCATTGAAATTAAATCGTCGGATGCTGATCGTGTATTAGATAATCCAAATTGGTTTAAAAATTTTGTCGACAATTTGAGTGCAGATCTAAATAGAATATGGAGAAACTTCGCCGGCTTTATGAGAGCAGAATATGGCGCAGAATACAGAGTAATGCCAAATGGAAGAGTTCAAGCTACATTGACTGTCACGTAAGTAGTTCATTATTTATTAATTCTCATGTATATATATATATATACATAGCGATTGTAGTTTTGCTTTCCATATAATATATCAATAAGAACATATGTTGTTATATTACAATAAATGGGTGTGTAATATATCATTTTCTCTCCCAGCAGATTATTTAAATATAACTAATTTATTATGTATTTAATTTCGATGAAAAACAAGATCATACTGTAAACTTGAAAATCAAATTTGTTTGAATTCAATTTCAGAATCTGGGTATCATTAACGGAACGAGGCGGAACTGTACAAGTCGAAGATCTTATTCAACATTATGTGTTGAGTTCAGCAAGAAAGAATCAATTCATTGGAACTCCAACTGCATGCGGTAGGTTTAATAACTTCTATTCAAAAGTTGCATTGGTGAGAGTTATATTGAGAAAGTGTTAGAGAGGGAGAAGGGCGAGGAAGATAACTTATTTTTTGAACAATTCGTGTACTGCAGGTATTAAGCTTGAAAATCATTGTCAAGCGAATCTTGGTAAAAAATGTGGTGAAAATGCCAAATGTGTGAGGACGTTGAGAGGAAATTATGAATGTAAATGTATCGATGAATATTCTGGAGATGGATTCCTTTGTAGAAGTAAGAGTTTTTTAGAAAACATCCGCATTGCTTTAAAAATGAGCTAAATCTTCGCTTTTTAATTTTTGCGCTGATTCAATAGTTAGCGCAGCTACTAAAGAAATCTATCAGCATTCATGCAGTTACAATATATTGAAATATTGTGTCGGTTAGAAAAGTGGTTCTCAAACTTTCAATAACCTTATCCCCCTTACAGCAGCACGCTATGTATCATCATCAAAACCATGCAATAGAAAAAAAGTAAAGTTGCAACGAAACATGAATTACAAATAAGTACAAGTAGACCAATCATGGTACATTATGCTTTTTGGTGAGATGTGCGAGCTTGGTGATTTTTAGCGATTATTTACTAGTTTTGCATTAATTCTGATCTTTCAAAATACGCTATTTTGCCTCCTATTGTATTTCACCCACTTCGAGAATCACTGGGTATAACAAGAATTATTTAACTTGGTATCCAAGTTTCGTGCGAATAACCAGTGTTCACTCTAAGGAAATTATGAATGCGGAGGTACCAAGTCCAAGTCCAAAGTGCGAAAGTGCCTTGACCGATTTTAACGAGTTAGGTGTCCTAGCTTTCGTCTTTCGTTTCAACTCATTTAAATAGAATAGGTACTCAAATAAGCTTGCGGTTAATTTGCAATAATCGAATCCTAGGGTAATATAATAGAAAAGCACACACGCTGGAAAAATCACACCGCTAGGTTTCGGGCGTTAATGACTCTGGCCCCTGACATAACCGGTTTTTTCATATCATGTATGCTGTCCCAACCTAAAAGTTATTTTGTAAACGAAAAATTAAATTGAGAAGAGAGTAAACAGTCAAAAAAGCAATTTGAGTCGCTATAAAGTGCTCGTTCTATAAATAGCATCGATCTGTAGCTGTTGAATATACTACCCCTTTATTATCTAAGATAATACACTGAATACATTTAGGTGGTTGTTGTGAAGTAATAATAACAGGAAACCGTCAAACATACCTTAAATACAATTTTGAATTTCTTGACAAATGTGTTAGCTATTGTAATAACTGTGGAATTATTTTGTTACAAAATCTCCCTTGCCAGACCTCTTCATAGAATATTTTGCATGCCACATTTTTTAAACTAGTTGACTCTAAACAAATCGCGTTGTTCGATCTTCATTGTTTCATAAATTAATATTCGCCGAGAGGAAAATGAACCAGTATGAAATATTTGCATTCCGATTCCACTTGCGGTGTTTCCATATATTACACTTACAGGAACATGACACAAACGAGTTTTCTTCTGCAAATGTACACGAAATACAACGAGGATTATTCCCGAAAAATCATGAGTATAAAAAATAAACAACTAATATGCCAGTGGTTCCAACGAATTTGTGTGTGTGTCGTGAAATATAAATCCATTTATTAGAAAACTATCTGATGCGCCCGCATTGACGATAAAACACTGGAAATTAATGTTGAAAGAGAAGTACCATTCTCAGATATCAGACATCCAGTCGCGATATAATCGTTCGTGTGCACAAATCTCACATGCGGTATCCGTTAGATGAGCAAGAAATGTAAAACTCTTATTTGTGTATTTTAACGCTAATCAAATAAAATTTCGTTTTTCGTGCCTCTTTACTCATATTATTAATGGTGATTGCGTCCCGAGCTTGTAAAGTTTAGAAACCTCTTGTGTGTGCATATGACACTTCTTTTGAGCTGTCAAATAAAGACAACACGTGGCTGCTTTTGGCCTACATGGTTAATTTCGTTTTATGATGGATCACAATGGATCTAAATTCGTTTCTTTCGCGAATTCGGCAATCGTTATTGGCTTTCGTCGACCAAAATACAAATATTGTTCTGCGATATATTCTTGGGCCATTCTTTCGATTCTGCCACAATTAGCAATTCTTTATTAAGATTATTGAATAATTTTGTTCATTATTTGATGCTGAATCTTTTTCTATCGCTAGTCAATTAGAAGGAACATATTATTTCGAATACCCCCTTTCTATATGGAGTCACTATCAGCGCCAACTAATAGAAACAATTTATACTAAAAACGATTAAAATTTTGTCGGTAATAAATTGCGTTTAAGGTGATTCCATGAAGTACAAAAAAAAAATTGATCGCGATAGGGGAATGAGATGACTGTAAAACGACCTTGTTTATCATGAGCAAAAGTTAGCCCACTCATATTTGAAGAAATCCAAAACATGGACTACAACCCCTGTAACACACCCAAGTTCACAGAAACGTGCTTCATTCGATTTCCCTTTGGCATGCTGATTACACTTGCTTAAGCATTCCCGACAGTTCCGAATTTGAAATAAAAAAAAACCCAAAATATTGTAATTAATACATAAAATTAAAATGAGCATTCATTGAAAAAGTTATTATCATAGATGGATACCCAAATAAATTGGGCAAACCCCGTGTATTTTTGGGAATTTGGTGATTTCGTAAATCTGTGAGAGGCAGTTAAAAGTACCTCCTATTTCGAAAAATAATGTTCTAAATTTACATTCCAATACCAAACAATGTCGTGTCGGGAAACAAAACTTTCTAAATGGCTCCAATAAATTAACTGAAAATGGAACGAGGACTTGACAAACTTTCGCTTTTGTTCTATTATTTTCACTCAGATATTTTGCATCAGAAAATCGTGCACTTTCGTCACATGATTGATGGCCATTCTCGTTAGTAGAAACGCACGGCGTACCAACATCTGGTCGAGCGTTTCTGCGGGAGAGTGGAATCGTAATGCTTGTATAAAACACCATGTTATAAATAATAATTTTACCGATAGTGCAAAAGCTTTATCATCATGTCTGCACCTCATATCTTGTAATTTCCGCAAATATCGTTATATAGTGTAAAATTGGGTTAGAAAATTACCCACACGCAGCTTATTTGTTAACTTTATACTCACACCCAAATTATTTGTCAACTTTAAAATTTTAATAGTGAACACGGACTAATAACCAATTTTATATATACTTGATACTTCTAACTCCATTGCTCGACTTTCATCCAGGGATTGCAACGGATCCATGCAGTAAAAATCCATGTGGGAATGGAGGCAATTGTCTTATTGTTCCTGGTGGATATCAATGCCAATGCAGAGTGGGATATACCGGGAATAAATGCCAAAATGGTAAAAAGCAACCAATCCCATTTAATTATTTTTCTTATCCTGTACATAAAATGCATTATAATATTCATTCTTTTCCTCTACTGCAATCACAAACCATTACTCCAACTAAATGTAATAGTTTACTCCTACTAGTTAAAATTGCAGTAGGAATTCAACTTCATATCAAATGATAATTACTGATTATTGGATCAAAACAAACAAAATCATTCCTATATAAGAACAATACTTACAGAGGAATAATATCAGACAAAGGAATGATTTCAATTTCTTTAACAGCAGCTGTAACACTCTTACGCTTTATTATCATTAGCTCCACGATGCCTTGGAGATAAAAGATATACAGACTGCGCCTCGCTGTGTCAAGATCACTGTGGGAAAAGACATGAAGCATGTGTACTGATTTGCGATGTAGAAAACTATTGTGAATGTCCTCCTGGAACTATAATGCTTAGTGAGGGTTCTAGCAGATGTGTTCGACCAGAGGAATGTCCCGGTATGATAAGACATAAGTAGTAAATTTGTTCAAATGTCATATATTTGCATACACAGTAAAAACATATCTATATTTAACAAATCTGCAATTATTATATGGTCGTATATATCTGTTTAATATTGCTATAAAACCGTTGTCATATCTAATAAAGTTGTTCTGAGAACATTTTGATTTAGTATGTATAATTTGTAAGCTAGCAGCGTGTATAATAATTCTGGAAAATGTATATCAAATAATCAAAATTCATTCGTCGTTTTCAGATTCAGCTCCAAATGCATGTGTGCCAAATCCATGCTTGAATAGCGGCTCATGTCGAAGGCAATCAGGAGACATGTACACATGTGACTGCAGAGACGGATACACAGGGAAATTGTGCGGAACACGTCAGTATAGTTACAAATTTAAAAAATTTGAGCATCAATATTGGTGGACACCTCAAATTATTTGTTGCCTTGCCACGTTTCCCAACCGGGAGGAATTTCTCTCCTGTGAAGGAATTTGTGAAATTTGGGCGCAAAATTATCAGGGGAAAAAACTCACTGCGCACTTACACGAAAAAAAATTTTGCCCTTAGATAAAACTCAATTTTGTGATCGTCAGTGTGTACTTTATGCCTTTCAAAGTGTGTAAACATGTGGGCCTAAGGAATGAAGGCAAAAGGTCAACTGTTCTTCCTCATCTCTTCCTGATTTCCTTTTGAAATATTAAAATAAGCACTCATGTAGTGTCTACCTCTAACAGTTAACAGTTCTATAACAATAGAGGGAGTCACTACCAGAAAGTAAACGACATATAAAGATAAATTGAATTTATTGATTCATATACACAGAATTTAAAATAAGAAACAATAAAACGTTCATAAAAAAGTGCAATATGTTAAATATTAACTGGTAATCATATATTACGGTAGTTATCTTTAACACAATTATGTTATTTTCGGGTCACACCCTTTAGGAACCATTGCAATATCACATTATTTAATTCAATTTATTTTGTATTCCATTTCTGATTTCTTTATTTTAGTTCCAAATCCATGTGATGCAAATCCATGTGGTAATGGTGGAAGTTGCAGACGAGTTTTTGGCGGATATGAATGCAACTGCATTAATGGCTATACAGGAGAAAATTGCCAGATAGGTAAATTGAATTTAGGTCTTTATTCCAGCATCCCAAATCTCTTTTACCTTTTTCATGCCAATCTTCTCTTGATTCTTATTTACCGTATTCCTCACATACACATTCCTTTATCATTCATTTGCTTCATTTTGGTCAAATCTTTTATTTTAATTCGTGGTCCGGTTTATGCAGAACCAAATCCATGTAGACCGAATCCTTGCGGCAATGGAGGGATATGCACTGCAGTTCTAGGTGGCTACCGATGTGATTGTAACAATGGATACACTGGAAGAAACTGTTTTATAGGTTTGATTTTATGTTTTAATAAAGAAAATCTAAGATACCTTTAAAATTGAATAGAGTATGTCATACCCTTTCATGTTTAGAACCTCGTCTCGATCCATGCGACTCAGAACCGTGTCTGAATGGAGGAATATGCAGATCATTGGGACCTCGAAGATATGAATGCGAATGCATCAGAGGATATGGAGGGCTCAACTGTCAGAGGGGTATTCTAATCTTCATTCAAACATACTTACTCAATACCATTTTTGTATATAAATTTGAATTTTTCAATAATGAACCAATATTTTATAATTACAGTATATATATATTCATATCGTAATATGTGAGTTATAAATATTACACTCAACAAACTCAGTGTATTTTAATATATGTATTGTAATTATAGTGCAAAAGTAAAAAAAAGATTTTGAAAATATTTTCAAAATGTGTGTTCTATATTTTTTGCATGTCTTGCATGCGATCACACTCTTTTTCTTTCCATGCATCCAGCTCCGAATCCATGCAATCCGAATCCATGCTTGAATAGAGGTACATGTCGAAGGCAACCAGGAGGATATACATGTGACTGTAGAGATGGATATTCAGGAAGATTGTGCGGGACAGGTCCGTATCACCAATAAACCTTTTCATTTTATAAATAGGAAATCACGAAAAATATTCAACACCTTTTAAAAGGGAATAAATTCGATTGTTTTTATGAAACTGTACTGTAAATGAAATTGGACTGAATTAAGCGTTGAGCCATTATGACGATGATTTCCTATGAATAAATGATCGGTAAATTTCTTGAAGCACAATATTTTATATTACATGCACATGAGTGGTCGACTTCTAGTACGTAGTTCTTGTAGCGTAATTGTGAAAAAAATTTTCGTTAATATACTAACTGGGCTTCAATTATATTAAGAACGCACACTTTTCCCCGGCGAGAGAACAGTGGGAGAATATTGTCTCCAAATTAAATCAAGAAACGCCAGACAAGCTGTTGGAAATCGGAATTGGTTTGATAATTTTGTCAAAGATTTGACAGATGATTTAAAAACAATTTGGCAGTCCTTCAGTGGATTCATGAGAGCTGAGTTTAGTGCTCAAGCTCAAACCAAGGCAAATGGAATGGTGCAAGCCACTTTACAAGTCAGGTAAGCAAATTTGTGTTACCTTTTTCAATTTTTTCTTCGTTTTTTCCGAAAAAGACTATAGCGGTCAGTGTATTATTGATCTAACAAAGTAATCCTCGAATTTCATTGGAAACGCTTTTTACACTATGGCCAGTATAATGTTGAATTAAGCCTCATTCTTCATCGTCAAGCAGAATGTGCTGGTGATGAACTCTATGAGCAATATAATTTTATTTATATACTTGATGAGATCCCGTGTCTTACTGAGTGATTCAATGCCAATTTGAGTTTGAGTGGAAAGTTACTGAATATTATTGCATCTTTACCCTCTATTAAATACCCCAAAATTGAAATCACTTGAAGAGTCACATTTTCGCCCTTCATTTCACATATTTTTTGACCTTCTGTTATTTGGTATTAAACAGGGTTTGGGTAGATTTATCATCTGTTGCATCAGGATTTCAAATAAAAGATCTGATTCAGCATTACGTACAGAGTTCAGCAAGAAAATCTAATTTTATTGGGAGACCCTCTGAATGCGGTTCAGGTATACCAGCATCTAATTTACTTCAGTGTGATGGTATTTTATATAATTAAGTATATAATAAAACAAATGTTTTTTTGATTTAATATTAGATCCCATAATTGAACCTGAATATGATGGTAAAATTTATCTGTCTGGTGTCATTTGATTATATTGAAAATTTGCTGTAAAGATTTGAAAAATAGAGATAATTTTAATGGCTTTCTATATATGTAAAACCTATTCATTCTTTTAATTTGTTAAGACATTTCAACAATAAGAAACCCGTGCACACCATCTCCATGTCAAAACAGAGGTACGTGTGTTCCATCTGGACAAGGATATACATGCAGATGTACAAGAGGATACACTGGCAGAAACTGTGGACAAGGTTAGTAGCAGCCCAGTTGATAATATTTAGTTATATTATTTCCTAAGGTAATGGAGTTGGGTAGTTCATATTGCATCGAAAAATTTATCACATAACTTTTTTGTTATTGGTACTTTCAAATCGTTATAAAGCGGTCAATTTCTAGATGAATAAAATAATACAACTTTTTTGTTGTCGCTACTTTTAACTCAATATCTAGCAGTCAATTTCAAGATGAATAAAATACTATTCTTATTAGTTTTTGACACCAACTGTGTGTGGTTGTTCGTTCTTTCTGTATGGTTGATAATATTTTAATCATTGATTCTTTTGATTTTTTTTTTCTAGTTATAAATCCATGCGATGCCGAACCCTGTCAAAATGGTGGAAGCTGTAGGCAAGTACTCAATGGTTATGTTTGTACTTGTTTGGATGGTTACATAGGAGAAAACTGTCAGACAGGTAGGTGAACGTAAAAGTTTATACTCTTAGTTATGATATGTTCAAAGTTTTGACTAACTGTTTTTGTTTTAGCCACTAAATTACTATGTAATTTTATTTTAAATCATATATTTCACTGTGTATTATTGCTAGGACTGCGCATTTTCGAATACCTTGGGATTTCAGAATCGAATCGAAGAATTTTTTCGAATCGAATCGAATCTCGAATACTTGAAAATATATAATTGTAAGCGACTTTATTATAGTAATTGGTCCTCTCAACAAATGAATTACTGAAGACATAGAATAAATCACCCAGATAGATTACTGAGCGTTCACACAGAATAACAAACACGTTTTATCAATAACACTACAGAAAATAGTCATAGGTTAGAATTTCTTTGGAAAAATATGACTATGATATGAAAAAAAAATTGGGGAATTCACCTCGACCATTAGCGGAAAGATAAAAATAAGATGGCGGCGATTCGAAATTTAGCTCTGAACCGATTCGAATAATTTACTATTCGATTCGAATATTCGATTCGAAATGCCCAGCCCTAATTATTGCCATTTTCAAAATAGGATACTCCCGAAGTATGTGAACCAAGATGACGGACACCGGAACGTAGTATATGTACCAGGTTAGGGTTTAGGCCATAATTTCAGGTACAAATACTACGGGGGTCACTTGGCTAGTCCCCGAACTCTTAATAAAACTAAAATAAGAAAAATTAAAATAAAATTATAGCCCAACCCCCAACCTGGTACACATACTACATTTCAGTGTCCGCCATCTTGGTTCACATACTTCGGGAGTACCCGAAATAGTATCTTTTTTACATGTGCTATATTCTTTATACATTTATTGGGTTTGTTTGAAGCTTTCCATACAGTGGAATATATCAAAATATCCAGATATTATGGATATTAAACTGTTGTATTAACTGTTGTATTTCGTAAGCTCCTGCAAATCCGTGCAGAAGAAATCCATGTTTGAACGGGGGCAAATGCAGAAGAGATGGTACAGGGTATCAATGTCAATGTGAAGGTGGATATACAGGAAGGAATTGTGGAAGGGGTGAGTAATGGAGATAGGTAATCAAAATGTAAGAGGAATAATTGTAAATCTGCAAACAACTACATTATGACACTCTCTTTATTCTTGTAATTCTTCAGAAAGACATTTTAATATGTCTCAAATGTTTTTTGCTATAAAAATGTCAAAATTTTAGAGCCTATTAATCCCTGTGATCTGAATCCTTGCATGAACGGTGGAATCTGTACTGTTGATGGAATCGGATATCGATGCAGATGCATGGCAGGATACACAGGAACTATTTGTGAAACAGGTTGGGTTACAAACAAATGTAAAAAATAATCTTATTATGCCATTTATTGTGAAGTTTTACAAAGCCTTGATCTAACAAAAAGCACCGTAGAAGAATCAAATTAACATATTTGTAAAGACTAATACCTTGTCCATGCATCAGTTTCTGCAAACCTTGACATTATCAATCAAAGCACAATGCCCTCATAAATCTTTATTTGACAATTATAATTTTTCAGAATCCAATCCTTGTCGACCAAATCCTTGTCAAAATGATGGAAGATGCAGGCCAATGGTTGGTGGTTATGTCTGTACATGTGCCGAGTTATATGGAGGAGAAAATTGTGAAATACGTGAGTATCAGACATTGATTGCTGAACTTTATTGTTTTTCAACATACTGCTATAAAGAATAAAATAAAGTATAAAATAAATATAAAATAAAATATTCAAATATATTATGTGTTTTAGAAAACTTTAATAGAAAGGAAAATTTCTGGAAGGGTATGTCCATGTAACCATAGGTTTTGTGAAACATCTCTATAAATCTTAGGGAAAACAGACATACTATTATGATGTATAGGATTGATGTGGTACAAGCAGTCACCTAAACATGTCTTCATCGCATATTTAGTATATAGGTCAAATGAAAAAACAGCCTAGAAACAAATGAACGATTGCTAAATGTCGAATAGATATATTTGATGTTTAATTATTGTTGAGGTTGGTTAATTTTTTTTGTATTTTGAGTACATTTTGAAGAGGGGTCATCAGCTTTATATCAAAAACTAGATAATTTTATTTTTTTAAATTAATACAAGTACTCTTATACATACATTACATCTTATAAGGTACGCATTTATTTAATCATGTATCCACTTTATTTTTTTCAAGGTATAAATCCATGCGATGCCGAACCTTGTCAAAATGGTGGAAGCTGTAGGCAAGTACTCAACGGATATGTTTGTACATGTCTAGATGGTTACAGAGGAGAAAACTGTCAGACAGGTAGTTGAAAAGTTTTGGGGCATACCATTCACAAAAATATTTAATACTGTTTCTGGTTTAGAACACTAAATTACTATGCAACTTTGTTTCCTCCTATTATATTTTCAACATTATTTGAGCACTTGTCGTTGTGTGACATAAACGTTAGCAGTTTTAAACAACAAATTGATAATTTTAAATTATATTAGTGGATGATAGTATTATGTATTGTGTACAGATATTTTAAATGTTTAACTATCGTTACATAAGCTCCACCAAACCCGTGCAGAAGAAATCCATGTTTATGGATATACAGGAAGGAATTGTGGTAGAGGTAGGCGTTGCGCTTTGATGTATGTCTGATTCTGAACAGTGTAGTTATTTTTACGTTTTCTTACAAATTTGTATACCTTGTTCCAGAGCCAATGAATCCATGCGATGTGAATCCTTGCATGAATGGTGGAGTTTGTGATGCTGAAGGAATGGGTTATCGATGTAGATGCATGTCAGGATACGCTGGCAGCAATTGTGAATCAGGTTCTGTTACCAATCAAGACCATCAGTGTTTCAACAAAATTAATACAATAGTACAAAATTTTAAAGCCTATAGATGAAATGTAGAGCTATTGATGTTATTTTATTAACTCCCAGCGTCATATATAGTAATCACTGTTTTCATAATGACGATGACGATTAATTGAGAACCGGCCGAATTTTCGTTGCATATTGGGCAAAAAAAGTCTTCAAGAACTTATACTTGAAGAGATTTTTATTACCAGCAAAGAGATGAGACTGTCTGGCTATTGATTTTAGCATGAGTGTAGCAGGGAGGTATAATAAGTATTATTTCTTAACTAATGGGTAATGTTTCAGAATCTAATCCGTGTCGTCCGAACCCTTGTCAAAATGGTGGAAGTTGTCGTCCGATGGTTGGGGGTTACGTTTGTACTTGTGCAGGATTATATGGAGGAGAAAATTGTGAAATTCGTGAGTTTATGCCATTGATTACCTAATATTTCAATGTCAAAGGATTTTAAAGTGTAATGTATGGAACATAAATATATGCCATGTCTTGACACAATAAACTCAATTGTATCGCAAAATATCTCTTTTCAAAACCACGGTCATTGTTTGGAAACGAGTTCATTTCATAGAATTTGCCAGCTAGTCTTATTTATATGGATTGATCAAACTTGTTCTTCAGCTCTCAATCCCTGTGATGTGAATCCTTGTGAAAACGGAGGTGTTTGTGTGCCATCATCAGATTTTAAAGATTACACATGCGAATGTGTAGAAGGTTACGGAGGCATGAATTGTCGTCAAGGTATATTTTTTAAAGTATTTTGATTGGATTCGTATTGAAAACTATTAATGTATTTGTAAAATAATACAGATCAAAATGTATGTTGATATCACTTTTTTGTTTTTCTAGTTTTCTCTAGTCCTTGTGTACCGAATCCTTGTCTTAACAATGGAGTATGCACGGCAAGAGGTCAACGCTATACATGTAAATGTGAAGAAGGGTACTCTGGAAAGAATTGCAAGAATGGTAAATAGTTATATTGATTAAATTTTGTGTATTTTATGAGGTCGTTTAACAATTTTACTCCAGAGTCCAGACAATGCAATATACTAGCAGTTACTTATGTGTTTACTCAGTTACTTAGGGAGTTTCTATCGATTTATGATGATACGAATTTTTATTTAAGTTATAAGCTATTCTGCATAAGTTATGCTTAATCTTAGAAAAAAATGGGGTTGGGGGTTACTTCTGTATATGTGCCGAGTTATATGGAGGAAAAAATTGTAAAATACGTTTAAGAGAGTCATCTAGAATCGATCGAGTATTCTAAAGCAGTGAGGGGCCACCAGCGACCGCTGTTCGTTACCTTCCTGTTAACTTTTCCAAGTTAAATACTTTCCAACATTTCTATCATGTCAGACGATGACAGCCATATAATATATGAAAAGAAGTCATGAATGCCTGATTTTTTACATTCTGTGATCAAATATATGCAAGTGAACACAAACAATGCAAATATATTGTCAATCAACATTTGACTTTACTGCCATTATCGTATTGTTTTATGTTGGCAAATTGGGCAAAAAGTGGTTTTGTTATATTCCGTTCCCAATCAGGCCCGCAGTGCGGAAAAGCATAGCCTAATCATGTTCTAGAATGCACACATAGTTTAAATCAATTTAAGGGTCAGGCCAGGCAGTAGTCAGTAGCAAGGACGAATTAACACTTGTAGTAGGATGTAACCAAATATCGTTTGACACTGACAACCAATACAATAATCATGTGTAGAGAATAAGTACCCTGAATTAAATATAAGATTAAAACATCTTCCTAAAAATGGTAAAATTAATCATCTACTGTGGCAAATAATTTGTCAGACCTATCATCCTGCATCGTATATTATTGGACTTTGACTGACTGAGACAAACACTCAAAGTGTCATCAACACTTATTTCCTGCTTCAATTCACAACACAAGTTGATTATTATTTATTTTAGTCAAACGCGAAAGACGTGCAGTCTGCCGAGCTTGGGGAGACCCGCATTACAATTCATTTGATAAAAGAGGAAGAGGAGATTTCCAGGGATTGTGCCCACACGTAATGGCTGAAACCAAATCGATATCCATGTCCAATAGTAGATGGTTCAGAGTCGTAGCAGAAAACGAAAGACGGCATAAAAAAATGGACGTTTCTTGGCTAAAAATGGTTACGGTTTATCTTGATGGCGGTAACACAATGATTGAAATTCATAAAGACGGAACAGTCAAGGTATGTGTTTTATGATGATTATAATATTATGCACACAACTTATAGGTGTTTTTTTTATTTCAACTATTAGCACATCAATTTACTTTTTGGGTATTCATATGATTTGTTTCAGTCGAATATAATATTTTTTTTCCTTATAATACTTTCCATCAATTATGTAGAAAATACTATATAATGCTCATAATCTTCATGATTTCCCAATTTTGGCATATACAAACCGGAAAGCTGACTTGCGAGGTTTTTTCATGACAATTCAAAATGTATGAATTCATTATACACACCACTACAGTGCAAGCAAGCACATTATTTTAGTAATCAAATTAATACTATTAATACCTTGTTTGAGAACCATTTTGTATAATTGTCGAAACTACATTTTTTTAATACTATTCACCTATACTTATATTTTCCTAGGTTAACGGAAACAAAGTAGTAGAAGGAGATCTTCCTGGATATAAAATAGAAAGATCTGGGAGAGATGTTATTGTAACAACAGAACATGATGTATGTATTTCATTTAATGGAAACGGCATGACCATTAAAGTTCCGAAGAACTACATGGGGCAGGCAAGTAGTATTGTTTAGATTACTTTTGGTGAATTCATACAAAATATAATGATCATATGTTTTATTTGGTATCATAATACAATTTTGAGTTTTTTAAGTTAATTTAAATTTTGTATTTTGCAACAACTCAATCTTGTAGTTAGTGACGGCTTGCATTGTTTGTTGTTTTCGTTCGATCGCATAGGATGGCCATAGAATGAATACTAACAAAAAGTAATATCAGGCATATGGATTGCTTTGCTAAATCGTTGTACTTTTGTTAGTCTCAATTATTAAATTGAAGTCATTCGAGACTCGATATTTCATCCAAACTTCTGTTTTATTTTAATTACCTCTTGATCTCTATTTCAGTAATCGAACTCGGTATTACGCGTAACCAGTTACCGATGCTAAGATGTGCAAGTCATTTCCACAAATCAATCATTTCATGATTTATATTTATACTAAATTGTAGGTCAGTGGAGTTTGTGGAAACTTCAACGGTGAACCAGATGATGATTTGATGATGGACAATGGTTTGATGGCAAAGAATTTTGACGAATTTGTCCTAAGCCATCTATTTGGCGACTGCACTGAAGTTTTGCCTCCTAAAACAAAATGCAAAGAGAGTGATCGACAAAAATGGTAAAAATACAAAATTATAGCGTTTACCGTAGATCTTTGGAAGTGGCACATGCAACGATTTTACTTCTGCCATTCAAAACATTCGGGCAATTGGCAAACTGTTTTTTATTAAATACCGACAAAAATTTAAAAAATATAGCTTTATTTTAGAAAACAATCTGTGGGTCGTAGATATTAAAATAACATCTCGTCAATGATAAACTTACTCTTTGTTGCATCTCGTTGTATGTGGTAAAACAACGAATTGTATAGTTAACATCTCATTCTCGTATACTCATAAAACATTCTGGGCCCCCTCTGATTCATGTACCTCCGAAGCGGAAACGATGTGACAAGACAGGTTTCGAGAAATGAACAGATCAATTGTATAAATATATCATAAACATTGTAACTGCATTACTGCCTGTAGCCGCATATCGGTTTACTGAAGCAGTTTCCTTTTTGTTAGTTATTGTTAGATAAATTTACATCTATTTTTATTGTCAATTTTCCTCACCTGAAATGTTAGTATGTTTTTGCCTTAATTTGCGACTTGGTATGCCACTGAAAAAGCATGCTGGGCCACTTTGTGACACACGGATCAATAGTTGGACATCCTTGGTCTATGTCAGGGTGGTCCAAGGTTGCCGGCTCCACGGGCCACAAAATTATTTTTGCATTGTTCGTGGGCCCCAATAGTGCCAAGAATAGGTAGACAGTGCAATACAAAACAAACACTTTTATTGCGCAAACACATAGTTATCAGACATAGCCATCCCAGCATAATAGAATCCGTATTCGATTTTTAGTTTTCTATGATTCATATATTGTTAGCATATATCCCCGACCAAAAAGATAGAAATCTAGATAATAATTTAGACTGCCGAGCACATCATTCAACTTCGCTAGTTGCCTCAGCTAGCCATAACACTGGTCAATTGAGTGACATTTGTGATGTAACAATATGTCAAAACATTTTTCTGATTAATTTTATTCTGAAACAACCCGAAATGTGACTGTGACGCGGGCCAGAGGTGATGAGGCAGCGGGCCACACGTGGCTCGCGGGCCTGGGTTCGGACCACCCTGGTCTATGTCATTGTTATCGTGAAGCAGATTTTTTGCATAGTGTTTGTTAAGTTTTTCATAACCAAACAAAATAACATGTTCCAGGGGTCAAGCAGAATATTGTGGAGGACTAGTTGATGTCTCAGGAGCATTCAGAGACTGCCACTCTGTTGTTGACGCCAAAATGTATTTGGATTCCTGTATTTTTGATATGTGTGCTACTGATGGAAATAGGGAGGTTCTAGAATCGGTGAATAGATATTTTACTTGTATGACTTTGTAAAATATAAAAATATACACGAGAAGGAAGTATAACTGATTAATAACTGACATTTAATAGGCATTTGTTGAATATGTCAATGACTGCAAAGACAAAGGCGTTGGTTTATGTAATTGGAGGAGCTTGTTCGGATGGGAGCCATTCGCTTGTCAATCATTCAGTGTCTATGTTGGCTGTGCAAGTCCTTGTGCTAATACCTGCTTAAACCCGACAGCATCATCAAGGTAGTGTTCTTCATTTTTTGATTCTATTTTGTTAACGCATAGTATGTTAACGCATGTTGTGAAAAATCTAGACTCTATCAAAGCAGGGATAGGGTCACTCTTTAGAGAGTAAACCCAGATCCAAGTCAAGAATCAGCTCAATAGATCATCTCACTTTTTATTACTTTTACTATATTTTCAGTTGTGAAAGCTCGACAACGGTAGAAGCTTGCGTTTGTGAAGATGGATACTTACGTGATGGTGATCATTGCGTTCCAGAATCTGCCTGTGGTTGTGTCAGAGATTCTTTCTATTACAGTCAAGGTGGGCAAGAAAAATTTCTAAAAATGTTCATGACTCAAATAATAACTATTTGCATAATTTAAAATATTATTGCTCACGTGCAAGATCACAACTGATATATGTATACTATGCCTGTTATTAATTCGTTTATTTAAATATGCAAGCGTTATCATAGAATAAATATTTACTATTACACTAATAAAAGGCAAAATGCTTTGTTATCACAGGACAAAAATTAGAATTTGGTACTCAAGTTTGTAGTTGTGATGGAAGAAATTCGTTCAGATGTCGATGTAAGGATGGCTATGAGCCGGACGGACCCTCCTCTTGCAAGCGAAGTAAGTTCATATATACTATAGGAATTTAGGTATAGTTGTATATAAATAACATCAAAGAACGTCACAAATAAAAAAATTGATATATTAATTGAAACATTACCAATAACTTTACACAGTTGATTCAACAGAAGGTGAAATTGGAAGATATTGCCTTGAAATTCGATCACGAAATGCAGAGGCTGCTTTTGAAGATCCAAACTTTTTCACAAATTTTGTTGATGAGTTGAAAGAAGATTTGATGAAAATTTGGAAATCATATTCCGGATTCATGAGGGCGGAATTCGGAGTTCAAGCTCAGACGCTAGCTGACGGAACAGTTCAAGCTACAGTTAGAGTCACGTGTGTATTTACTTTACAATGTGGTTATTTTTTCATCCTTACTTGTCTATTGTTCTCAATCTTTCCTAATACTCTTTGTTTTTTTGTTTTTTGACTAATCTTTTACTTATTATTATTTTATTTTATTATTTATTATTATTTATATTTATTATTATTTTATTTACTTATTATATTATTATTTACTTATTATAGTGATTCAGTTATTCCTTTTATTACTTCGCGCGAGTTTTCAGTATTTCAAACATATCTTACCAATGCTTTTTTCCAGCGTCTGGGTTACGTTATCTGGTCAAAACCGAGGGGTTACGGTTCAAGATCTTGTTCGGCATTTTGTTCAGAGTAACGCAAGAAAAAGCAACTTTATTGGTACTCCCAGAGAATGTGGTATGTATTGCATCCAAAAATTATTTTAAAAGAAGTTATTTTTTCTATTGTCAAATATACCTTTACTTTCTATTCCCAGGTTCTGTCACCCGCCCAATCAGAATTTCAAACCCATGTGTTGAAAAATACAGGAGGGACTGTGGACAACATGCAATATGTAGTAGTGAATCTGGTCAAGCTGAATGCAGATGCATTGCAGGATATGATGGAGACGGATTTATTTGTGACCGTAAGTCATGATTTCTTTAATCCCAGTAATGCTTATCAGTCTGCATTTAAAAGAGAGAAGTTTACTGGTGGTAAAGTGAATAGATATATGGATCAGACGAAGACACTACATGACTTTGAAATTCAAGAAAATCAGAAACAACAATGTTAGGAAAACAGCTTGTCAAAAGGCATTTCCACCAGACCTAAGTTAAAACGTTTTGACCTGAATTCTCATTCATTTGACTTTGAACCTCATTCATTAAATAAACAATTTTTGCTGTTCCTGTGATAAGAAATTTTTCATTTTATTATTAGGTGTAGTGAAGGGACCATGCGCAGCTACTCGAGACCAGTTACTTGCTTCAGACATTCAAGATGCTTTTATCCCAGATTGTGACGTAAAGGGAAATTATAAAAAACGTCAATGTAATTCATTTGTTCAAATGTGTTTCTGTTATCATCCTATAACGGGAACTGTGATGCCGGGAACAGCTATGTTAGAAACTGAGTTCAACTTGAATTGCGACGCACCACCAGGTAAATAGGGTAGACTGAATATTATAATATAGTACTACTACTTCATGTTAAGCACTAATATGTAAGTCACATAGACGGCAAACAAATCGTTTATCAGTTCATTGTAATGAATTGTTATTACGGTAGTAAGGAATAAATTTCTGGAAAATTTTCCATAGTACTACATGGCCAGAACCAGCCACGCCCATGCGACTGATAAAAATCTTTTCTTCACAACTAGTATTATGCTAAAGCTGGTAGTTCAAAACTCCAAAACGGATTTTCAGTAAATATAACCCACTATGGAACAACTGGGCATATATAGGTGCAACAGTTCTGATAAAATATGAACCACAAATCATCATATACTTTATGTCGCTTTCTAAGTGTCACTATCTGTCCACAATAGGGAATATATATTAAGCTCAATTCTGATTTAAGTTGTAAGAAATGTGTGCACGTCTTGTCAAAATGAAAAGATTTTAGTCCCACCATAGATTAAAAAACTACCTACTTGTATATTACTGCTTATCCAGATTTTTGTTCAAAAGCAGTAAAAAAATGTAACAAGGTCTGTCTTATGATTTTTGTCACGAGAGGCTATTCTATGTTAATAACCTAGTCCAGTGTTTCCCAACCCGAGTCTGCGGTCTCAAATGAGTCCGCAGAGCGTTTGAATGAGTCTGCAAGGAGCCAGAAATTTACTACGGGCCACAAACGTTTTTGCGAAACTTAATTAACTATCAGCCAAGTTACGATGTACGTTAGAATTTACATAAAACATGAAAAGACAGTTTATTCACATAACATTAATTGAGTCAATAATTACCGCTGGGCATATAATCACATATTCAACTATTAGAATAAAAATTTACTATTCAAAAATTTGGTAACACGTGATGCGATAGGTCACTTGCGAGTCGCTTAATCAAACGATTGGATTTCACGACTCTCTTGCGGATTTTCGACGAAAACAAGAGTCTGTACACGCTTCGATAGATACGTAATAGGTGTTTCTCGCGAGTAATAAATTTTTTTTTTCTGGTAGGTGTAATGGTGGCAACCCAAATTTTTTAAATTGAAAAGCGTTCCGCGACCGATTAAAGACGCTTTTTTATAAATTGCAAATCGCAAAATTTCGAGTGCTACCATAGTATACGTACCAGGGCATTTTCATTTAGGATTTTTTCATTACTGTCTTTACATTGGTACGCACAGTAGTAATGGGGTGCCGTAAATGTTGTACGACAGCTCAGATTTGTCGAATTCACAAAAATACGAATCAAAACAAAATATAATCGGGCACTTTACCACACATTTTCTTGTCCACGGATTGTCATGGTATTTTCTGAGTAGTATTTACAGCAGATAGCAGATTTATAGCAGATATTTTTATTGCTTCTTCACACAGAGTACGATTGCAATAAACGCACCTTGAGTCCGCAAAGGTTTTCACCTGTGAGAAAATAGTCCGTGATCAAAAAAGGTTGGGAAACGCTGCCCTAGTCCATTATTTCAGAAATTGTTTCAGAATATTAACAAAATAGCTAAAAATATGTCATAATCATAATTTCCATAGATCGAGGTATATTTCCTGAAGTAAGGACAGTTGCAGAGTATTGTTTACAAATTAAGTCAGCGGATGCTTCACTAGCTGTAAACAATCCAAATTGGTTTGATCAATTTGTGGGCTCATTAATTGACGATTTGAAAACAATATGGCGAACATTCAATGGATTTATGAGGGCTGAATTCGGGGCTCAAGCTCAAACTAAGCCAAATGGAATGGTGCAAGCTACACTCACAGTCAGGTAATTTGTCATTGCATGGTATAGCTAGCATATCCTTACATGGTCAAGGCTCCTGATAATTAGAGCGCCATGAGATTATTGCAACAAATTGCTCTGCTTTTATCTAACTTATCAGTATCTTATATCCGATTATATATCTCGATGCTAGAATATGCTTTAGCAAAAAATTGAAGTAAACCTCTGGTAAAACCTATATTATGAAGTACAACACTATATTTTTTTAATCGTTTTGGTCCTTAACTGGGGATTCAACACTGTTAAATAGTTTTGGATCTGGTGATTCAACTTAAAATTAGTCCCCAATTATAAAATTTTTCTCTCACAGGTTATCTTGAATTTCAAAATTCAATATCTTCATTATATTTTATCTTACTGATGATAGATTTTTTATGCGTAGATAAATAATCGTACACTAAAATTTGACTTCAAATGTTCTTTATTAAAAATTAATGAAGAACACAGCAAAATATTTTAATATTTTGAGAGGTACCGTTATTTGTGCAGGGTATGGATTGACCTTAATCAAAGAGGTGAAGTTAAGGTCGAAGATCTCATTCAGCATTATATTCAAACTTCAGCCACTAAAGTAAGGTTCAGTGGAACGCCAACTCAGTGCGGTATGATGTTTATAATATCCTATATACAATATTGTTTATATAAATAATTTGTTATAACAGTTTTGAAATGAAGACAAATTTTATGTTTATTTTTAACTCTCCCACATCATGTAGTTCTCCCACATCATGTATTCCAGTGTTTCTCAATCTATAGGTCATGGACTCATAACTGGGTCGCCTGAGAATTTTCTTGGGTCGCTTGTTTATTCATCAAAAACATAAAAGTTACTACCGTAATTTTATTTTCTAGTAGATTTTATTGTTTTTTTTTCTATTTTGTATTGAATTATTGCTTAATAGTGATTGAATGTGTCAATGTGAGTCAATGTGAGTCAATGTGTAAAAACGTGGCATTCATTTTGCTAAGTGAAGCCATGTCACCATTTAAAAAAACTTTCTGATGATAAATAAACTCTGCCTTCTCCCTTTAGGGTAAATTCTAGGGGAATAAATGTTATGTAAAAATGATAGTTTTATATTAGTCATTGGGTTCACGGCCATAGAAGTACTACGTCTGGTAATATATATGGTATAATGATACAACGATGGTTATTACCAACTATTTGATTATTTAACTCGTCTACACCAGTAAGCCCGATTCCCATTCATATTAATGAATACAATACAAAATACTTACCGGTAATACAAAAATTCTAATTCATGGCTATTCGTAACATCAAGATATATTTTATTTTGTGTAGGTTCTACCGAAGTTATATCTAACGATCCTTGTCTTGAGCGACATGGAAAGAGTTGTGCAAAACATGCTAAATGCGTAAGAGATAAAGGCGAACACAAATGTGTCTGCAACGAAGGATATACTGGCAGCGGATTCAAATGTAGATGTAAGTAATTTCTGCTAATGGGAATATGCTTCTACTAGTAAGACGTATCTTTTTTGCATAAGTGTTTAAACTTGTTAGCTATGCTACTGCACTATACACAAGATTATGTCATAAGTTTAAATTACAATTGAATTGGTTCTCAATCACACAAAATTGTATCTACATTGTGTATGTACATTTAACAAATGACTTCTTAATAAAACCAAGTCTTCTATATTTAATACTCGAATTGCTTTAAAGTAAACATTTAATTATACACGGTGTCATCCGAAGGTGCTAATCTTTTAAATGATATTATTTGAAGCACATGATATGCATTTTTTGCACTTTATAGCGGCACGTGTGAGGAGAGCAGTTTGCCGAGCATGGGGTGATCCACATTACAACACATTTGACAAAAGTGGAGTTTATGATTTTATGGGAAAATGTAAATACATTATGTCGGAGACGAGACTACCACGATCAGACAATCGGTGGTATCGAGTTGTTGCTGAAAATGAAGTTCGTGGTAAAAGGACCGATGTATCATGGTTGAAAATGGTTACAATCTATCTGAACGGACCTGAAGGTGATTTTGTGATTACGATCGAAAAAGGTGGAGTTGTCACGGTTAGTACACCTATTAGAATATTTTCTCAATATTTAACATTCCATTTTAAATGTTGTTTAACAACAATGAAATTATTGAATTAATGAATTATTCTTTGCTGTCTTGAATTATATTGATATATCCTCTAATTGTCTGCTGTCTAGCACTTGGCTGGTACACTGCTAATGCATGGGCAGTTTTCCACATGTCTCTGTTGATATCATATTTTTCCGTGTGGTTCACAATCCAAGTTAACAAGCGAGACAAACTCCAAATATCACCACACAAAAACAAGTTTTATCCCTTTTTTGATGTAATGGTTCTATATTCTGGTGATATCTCGCTGTAACGCCATCATACTCAGAACATTGTTAGCGCATTGGCGATGAATATCGCCATTTAAACAAAATAATTTTCTTCCTCATTTTGAACAAAAATAAACATACATTGATCATGTGTTTTTTCATGAGTCTATGCCTCATTCCGTTTACAAATATTTACATATACAATTCAGGTAAATGGCAACAACGTAATAGAGGCAGAGACACCATTTTTCTCGATTAAGAGGTCAGGAAAGAATAAGGTTACTGTTACCACTGCTAATGATGTTTGTATTTCGTTTAATGGAGAAGGAATGACCATCAAAGTTCCAGAAAGCTACATGAGTCAAGTAAGTCCATTTAGCAAACTGTAATTCAGCGTTTATATAACCAGAGTTGATTGAATTTTAATGACATTACATCCGATGCTTTTACCTAACCACAGAACTGCTTTACACCAAAATATACTTGTTGAATATAACGTTTCCAAGTCCAGAAGTGACGTCTTTAATGCTTTTGATTTGTCAGTTATTTGGCCTATGTGGTGATTACAATGGTAATCCTGATGATGATTTGATGATGGAAAACGGGGCAATGGCGAGAAATTATGACGAATATGCTGTTAGCTATCAATATGGTGATTGCGATGAAAAGATACCTCCCAAATTTGTGTGCTCCAAAGAAGACAGGCAAAAATGGTAAGTTTAATGCCCGTTTAACTACTGTAGAAACCAGATTGTGTTTATATCGATAACATTTTTTTGCTAATTAGGGCCTAATGTTGGCTTGTGGGCTCTGAGTTCATTCACAGCAATCAAAAGCTTCTCTAGTCCAATTTAATTTCCCCAGATGTTTATACGCAGTTTATATACATATCTCTATGACAACGTTTCTAAGGTCCGGTGCAGAGTTCTGTGGATTGCTTATAAACAAAAAGGGAACCTTCCGTGACTGTCAAGATGTAGTCAGTAATGAAGAATATTTCCAATCGTGCGTATTTGATGTTTGTGCAACGGGAGGAGACGTTAAAGCTTATGAAAGTGTAAGTAATATAATTCCTGCTCATTGTCATGTAGTTGGACACTTTATTGCCCTTGGTCGGGCTTGACAGATACGCAATTTACTTCGTATTCAAAATATTCCAACCCAACCTTGCTAAATATATCGTCATGCTAATAACCGAATTGCGTAAGTCATTTTTAGCAGTTTTGAGAACAACGTAAAAAACTTCCTAATGATATTGTTATGCCACTGAGAGTCAATAATTTGCCATGGTTCAATTTTTTGGTCGTAGCCGGATTTAAGTTAATTTGTATGACGCAGTTATGTGACGTCATAATGGCGCACTGTGACTTAGGCAGAAATGTGTCTATGACTTGGGGACATACGCAATTTTGCAACTTGCCTATATGCACCAGTCCTGAAAACCGAACATTCCAAAAACGAATGTAATTCTCAGTATCTACGATGTCTAATCCCCAAATAAGCTAATCTGTTTCAATTACATTATTTTTTATGTTCAAAAATATATATTTCATCAATATAACTCTCTGCATACCCACCGAAATAGGACTAAGATTAAATATAAAGAATAAAACAGCAATGCACCCAATATAAAAGCCAACCAAGGTGAATTGGACTCGGACAGTGAATATCACAAGTGCACGCCTTCCTATACTGTGGTATAATTTCAAATTTATAAGCGCTAAGCTAGAATCTGAGATGCAAAAACTTGAAAATACTTCGCCGAGGCTATTTTCCCTTTGTGACGTCACAATAAACTTACGGTAACAATGATAATTCATTATGACGAAACATTTGCACAAATGTGCATGTCATACAAAATCTCCATTTTTATGGGTTTCGGAATTTTTAAAATAAAATCTGAGTTAACAGACAGGTGCGCAGCATTACATAAATACCTATTTTATAAAAAAACTCAAAATTGCCAAAAATGACTTACGCAGTTCGGTTATTAGCGTGACGATATTAAATTTTGTTCAGTATTTCAATGATGCATTGCACCAATGTATAAAATCTTTGATCACTAAAAGTAACTATAATTTTACTACGAATCAGGGGTGCAGCACCATGCAGCCTGGCCGTAAAAAATTGGTTTCGATTTAAAATTCACAAACTGCGGCACTCTTGCAGTGGTCCTTAAAACAATAGCAACACAACAAAAACGACATTAGATATAACAGCGAAATTAATTATGTGTTCTTAACTGTTGTTGGAACTTTGGATTGTGGATTCACCCTTTCAAATATCTTCAACTTTGCTGCCGATGTTCGCGTAATAATGTGTATATTTAACTGGGCGCACAATTCCGCGAAAATAAATATTATCGATTTTACCCTGAACAAGTCGTACATATATTACATGCTATTAATCTGTTCACAGCTTAAATGACGTTATTAGCAGAATTTTTCAGTCTTTTGTAAATTTCGTTTTTTAGCTCTTGAATATTGCATTGAAAGATCATTGACTACTCATGCCATTACATCTCTTGGTGTCTTTCATGTCTGTCGACATTCACATGAACTCACCATGGTCAAATAAAATTCAAGATTGATGTAAATTTAATTGATGAGCATCTACTCACTTTGGTATTACCATGAAATTGAGCTGGTTTTATCAATAAAGTATTGGCATTATTTTTTTTTTCACATTTTAGATTTTGGAAGAATATGTCACAGAGTGCAAAGAGAATGGAGTTGATCTTTGTGATTGGAGAAAAAATGCAGGACGAAAACCTATTACTTGCCCCGCTCATAGTAGATATGAAGGCTGCGCAACCACCTGTCCAAACACTTGCTTCAATCCTACCGCATCAGCCAGGTACAATTTTAATCTCGAATATTTTTGACAGGTAGTTTTCGTTAGTTTTTAACATACACAAATTTCTACCCAAGTTGCAATGATCCAACGACTGTAGAAGACTGCGTATGTAACCCGGGATATGTGCGTGATGGAAACCGTTGTGTCAGGATGTCGGATTGTGGATGCATCAAAGATAACACATATTACGGAAGAGGTGATTGTTTTTGTGTTTACAATTTCAACCTCAACAAAAAGCAAGTATAAATGAGGAGGTGCTGTGTTTGACATTGCTGGGATTATTTACAATTTTTTTAATATAAAAATACATTCTACACAGAATATGATATTTCAAAATTAAACGAATGCTGAAATTAATGAAACTTGAATTCATATATTTTTTTTTACAGGTGAAGTTGCGTATTTTGACTCACAAATATGCACATGTGTGAGAAGAAATGAATTTGAATGTAGATGCAGACCAGGATATCAACTTGATGGAAATTCTTGTAAAAGTAACGACAATATTATTATATATTTATTTTTAGTTTTACGTTGCTTTGTTTGAGGTGTTTTACACATTAGCTCTAGGAAAATTTTTTATTACCAATTTGTTCACTTATGACTTATGTATCTGTTTAATTGTTTTAAAGACCAAAATTTTTAGAGGTTGCATGAGAAAGATTGCAAGGTTAAATACGAAATACCGTACTCATTTCAGGTCATGTATGTAGATGGTGTTAGCTACAATTCAAAATTGGAATAGATTAAAAAACGTTCTGTATAAAATTGTTACGAGATTTTTTCCAATTTCAGTGCGATACGAGAGAGGTACTTGTGCTTTTCAAAGAGCTGAAATAATGAGTGCAGGGGAATCAGGAAGTTTTGTTCCTGAATGCGACAAAGAAGGACACTACAAACGAAAACAATGCTACACATTTACAAATCAATGCTTCTGTGTTCACAAAACAACTGGTGGTGTCTTTGCAGTAACAGTCATGAATTTGGATGAGTTTGATCTTGATTGTGATAATCTACCTGGTAAGTTATAAGTTCACTAATTCACATTTCACTTTCACTGTTCATGTTTTTTTCTCTCTCCCTCTTTGTCTCTTTTTCTCTGAAACACCTTCTCTTTCTGATTTTTGTATTTCTTGTCCATTATTCATTTGTTTTTTGCTTAGTTCACATCTTAACTCTGAAATTAAAACATTGTCCTGAACAATGACATATTTATTTATATGTTCAGAAGCATCAGACTCAATGTCCATAATGTCATTTTGCACAAAATATTGTTTTTACCGAACCAAATTTATGTATCCCTCTTCTGTATGAGTGATTACCGTAACACACAGTACTGGTCTAATTGATTACAATGTTTCTATTCAATTCTATAAGAATTATATTAGCAGTTTCTCTATTATTAATCCTTGTCTTTCAATGCCTCCAGCACACCACCTCTTGAACTAATTGAATAACAGTGTTAGCAACTGAGCTATCTCTACCAATTTACGCAATTCTGAACGTTGTTTAACTGGTCATCCAGGGAATCCCCACAAGCTATTTGGGAGTCATCTCATATAACCTCTGTGTCCAGTGAAAGCTTTTGTTGGTTCAGCTGCCAGAGCCATACTCACCAGAGATAACAGTGTTCTAAAAACCTAATTTCCGACTTTACGAACTTAATTAAATATCGAACTTTTGGTGTCGCTGCTGGATATCCAGGTTTGTTTCCCGCGATTTTGCCTTCCCCAGTAAAAATGTGTGTTGAATGTTTTTTTTTAACTTAATTTCAAATATTATTTTTTTACTGGATGGAAAAATTAAACTTGACTATGACTCCTCATTTTTTCACTGTCGTCCTGTTCCCTTGTCCCATTCATTCTTTTTATTACTATTTGTCTTACAATCACTCTCTGTCTCCAGGTAGGATAGGATTTACATATTTAACCTGGAAGAGAGGAAAGTCGATAAGAAGGCTCTGGTATGTGGAATTTTTATAGTTTTGACTTACCTAATTCGTATCACCTTCTTTCAGATAACTGCTTATATAGAAATGCAGCCATGATAGCAGATGGAAAATTTGAGTTTAACCTTCCTACATGTGATGAAAAAGGAAATTTTGATACGAAACAATGTCCCGAAGATGACGAAGAATGTTATTGTGTTGATCAAATGAATGGAGTTGAAGTTTATGGAACAAGAAAAAAATCCGATATGTTTGATATGAATTGTGATAATTTGCCTCCAAGTATGTTTTCCCCTCCTATCTAAAATTGCTAAGGTTGAATATTTTATATTTGATTGTTTTGTTTTCCATATAAAATGCACACATTGTTCTCTATGTACCTAAGTGGTACATCTTTTCGCCATGATGACTATAAGTGCTTCAGATGATATTTGGATATGTGTTCGTGGTATTTTAACTTTGTTCTTGCAACAACAAATAAGAATTGGTGATTGTACACAGTACAATTGCATGCCTGTTAGGTAAACTATTAACTTACATTGACAACGTGGAAACCAATTTTTTCTCATAATATTTTTACCTTGAACACAAGAGTAACGAGTTTCTTTAACATGTTGATGGAACACCGAGATCGCAACACGAGCTCATCGATTCGTTGTATTTAGTAACGAACATTTATGAACGTGGTGAAGCCTAATTTTGTTGGATAATATCGCCACAAATATTCATTCTAAAGATAACTGCAAATTTCGAATAATTTCATGTTACCTAACAATGACACTTTATCTGATATACATTAAATTTTTATTTAATGAGTGTTATATCTGAGTGTTTGAACCATGCTTACAAATCTCCGGACTACTTAATTTAAACCTTCATTAAAACATTTGCAGATTATGGAAGATGTAGAAAACAACATAACAAACCATGTGATGATCATGCAACATGCAGAGCTAGAAACAATGGCTTTGAATGTATTTGTAATAAAGGCTTTACTGGTGATGGATTCACATGCACAGGTACACTTCATTTCAATCATTTCTTTATTTATTTTGACAACGTCGAATTCACGCAAAAATCTTATAAGGAATTGTATCTCATGATGAAAGAATGATGCATCCTAATACTAAATTCACTTCTTCTAGGCCAGAATCAATGCCAGATTACATTCTCAAGAAATTGTCATCCTAGAGCGGAATGTAGTAAGAGAGGAACTGGTGGGAATTACAGGTGCAGGTGTCTTACAGGATATGTCGGCGATGGGTTCAATTGTACAGGTGAGGCTAATGTTTGTAATGTAATTATGATCAAGTGCAACAATATATATTTGAGATTCATAAGGGAGTTTTCATAATGTCATGTTGTCCTTTTGTTTTGGTGAATTCTCTTTTTTATAAATTAATGAAAGCTGAAAGCATTGAATATGATATATTGAACATGAAATATTTTTCCTCTCGATGTTCCTGATTACTAATGAAAAATCTCATTTTTAAACAGCAATCTCTCAGATGTGCAGAGGAACCCTTGGTAGGAATTGTCATCGACATGCATCTTGCCAGGCTTCTGGTCGTTCATATCAATGCAAATGCAAGCCTGGATACATCGGAAATGGTTTCCGCTGCCAGCGTAAGTAGGGGTATTTTTCTGACAAAAATCTCTTGATTGTCAGTTCTATTTGATCAAATAAAGGCTGTGGATAAGTTGTTTAATTGATCTATGACTTTCTGCGGCTAGTGTTTGGTGAAATGTTGATTGATGATATAGATGAATTTTTTCGGATATGAGATGCCTCCCCCTTCTTGCGGATAATACTCATTTTGTGGCTAAACGCATCATTTCAATAACTAAATCATCATAAAACATCACATTGTATACTAACATTTAAATATATTACAATTTATTCTAGGTTATCATTATTTAAACTAATGCAACTATTCAAGAAACTAATAATTTATAAAGATGATTTCACATATAGTAACAGATTTACAAATATATTTTTACAGTATGTTAGTTGCTTAGAAATGTAAATCATGGACTGAACTGTATTATAAAAGTCCAAACTTGGTTTTGTGATACGTTGGAAACGGACTAGAAAATTGACTAAAAGTTTATAAGTGTCGAATTAAATGCATTCTTGAGAGTCCAATGCTTGTGCATGGCAATACAATGTAAATCTAGATTTTTTAATATTTATCAAGTCCACATTAGGACTCACCATATCATAATAAGATTTACTTTCAGCAATGTCAGAATGTCATATACAATCTGGAGTTCCGTGTCTTGGAAATGCAAGATGTAGAAAAGTGGAAGGTGGACATAAGTGTGTTTGCAACAATGGATATCAAGGAGATGGAAACATTTGCATAAGTAGGTATTTGATTTTTTCGTGGTGGCTTCATTTTGTTAAGAACCTTGAAATATGATTCTGTTATATGACTGTTATAAATATAGTTCTAGTATTAACCATTCTAGCCAGATGAAAAAATTTTTACACAGTCTAGAATGCGTGCACGATGATAGACTGACTGTTATTGGCTACGAGGATTTCAGAGGCCAGACAAATCGAAAAATTCAGGGAGTTTGAAAATAGCTCATTGTAAACCTTGCTTCTCACTATCCCATTTTGATTTTGATTTGACCGTTTATGGCAAAAATTGAAGGCATCAAATAAAGTCTCAGCATTCGTTTGGCATTTCGAAAAATATTTAGAAAAAAGAAACCATGAAAAACAAACTGCTAGAATATAAATCACTCTAGATTACGGTATCACCAGTAGACTTCATTTGTCAAAGTAATTAAATATAATTACCATAATTCAAAAATAAAGTGATTAGCAGAGAAGTAGAGGTGAGTATATTTAGTTTTATTGGTTGGTAGCGGCCCTGATGCTTGTTTGATGACCACATTGATTAATACAACACCATTTGCGAGCGAATGACTATACAAACAAATTTGTACAATAAATAATATTGTTTTTCTTTGTGAATGTCTTTTCTCTGTCTGTAATTGTAGGTAAGGTTACATTTCTTCTTGGGAGATATACTACGTCCTATCAAGTATTTTTTGTAGTGACTTCTAAACCAACGATATGGTCATATGATATGAAAAACCTAAGTTTTGCATATACATTACCTCATGTGTCCAATGCTTCATTGTTTTATATTTTACAATTATATGTCATTTGAAATTTGGTATAGTAATTTTAATCTTTAAATATCATTTACACAGAGGTGGACAAATGCGAAGAAAGATACGGTCAGCAATGCGCTAAAGATGCTGAGTGTGGCAGAGGCAAGAATAAAAAGCAATATGAATGTAAATGTAAAGCTGGATATACTGGAAATGGCCTTGAATGCAAAGGTAATGTTTGTTTTAGTAGAAATCATATCTTAATCATAACTCGATATTGCAATTCATTTAAAATTGTAAACGCTTGTACTATATTCCAATGATTTGGATTTGAATCATTGTTCGTTTAAAAGTAAAGACCTGGTGTTTGTTTTAAGGAGGCATGGAGTCTTACTCAATATATGCTGGCAATTTAGCCAAATTTGTTTCTCCTCTGCATATATTCTATACTCACTAGCTACTTACTTTCAATATAAACATAGAAAAACAATTTAGCAAGACATGGAAGCATTCAAGTCAGCCATTTAGAAAATCTAAAAGCATAATACAAATATTCTCTTACTTTGCAGTTATGAGTCAGTGTCACAAAATCTTCAAACAACCATGCGACGAGAATGCGAATTGTAGACGAGTGGGAACAACATATCGCTGTGTGTGCAGAAATCAATATGGAGGGGATGGTTTCTCATGCAGAGGTAACCCAGACCAATCAAATATATTTGTCAGTGTAGTACGTCAGTACATTTGATTCTGTAGAGGAACTCTGTAATAGATTTGTACTTTATACATTTACTTCAGAAATTACCCACAATCTTCAATATGTTACAATATTTAGTTTTAATGTTTTTGATGTGAAAACATGACTGGAATTGTCTGCAATTTCCAAATTTACTCAAATCGGGTTGAATTGAATCTCGATTTGTGTCGAAGAAGTTTCGTTTCATTTCATTTCTTCTACCTGAAATGACTCCAGTGGACAATGCTTACACTTATGATTAGAGCTCAACCGATATTACTTTTTGACGCTGATACCGATATCGATATATTGGCCACTAGATATGCCGATATTAATATAAATCATATTTTGAGCGACAAAATGGGCTTTTATTATGTACCTCGTAAGTCTGTAGTTTAATTTTGATATTTATTATCATTGCAGTAAGACTTTTATTTAACTAACTCCAGTTAATGCTTGAATGAATGTTATTCTGTAACTTTTCCTGCAACTTCAATATCAGTCTAGCCTTTTCCAGGAAAAAATATTGTTAATCTGACGTTTTTAAAAATAACTGTGGCGGTGGGCATATGTTAATAAGGGTATTAGAAAATTATAAATTGATATATATTGGAATAAATCGTGATAATAATAAATTCCTTTCAAAATTGTGATAGCATATGTGCTGTTACATGTGAAATTTTCAATAACCATGTTTTTAGAGACTCTTAATAACTTATTTAGTCAATTATAATGGATTAAGGTTTTTTGTGTAATTCTCTGCAAAATGATAAACGAGAAGACCGGTCGGAGACCCGAAGGCTTATCGATCGAAACTGCGATTTCAATTCGTGACTCTATAGTGGCGTGTCCCATCACTAATTTATTATTAACATCGCTAATTAATACGACATAATTCATACAAAATCAATAGGCTTCTGGTCCGAGATATCATGCATATGCAAAATTTGGAGCAGATTCAATCTCGCTTTTGTGAGATATCGCGTTCATCTAACAGACAAACAAACAGACAAACAAATACCTATCAACATACTTACCGATCTTAAGATCGATAAGTAACAACCATCAATATTGATAAAACTGTTAACTCAGAAATTCAAAATTTAATTTGAGAAAGTCACAATTTCGGAAGTACTTTGATGACATTATTGCTTTGAGCTAACTGTACCATGTTTCTGTGATTACTAACTCACCAGCTTCAAATCGATTCTATTTATAGAACCATCGTTTTCTATTGATACTAAGTTTGCCTTTTTCTCATTGTGCACTCTCTCGAAAACGTTACTCTGTATAATAACTTTACAGTTATGACCATGCATGAAATGGCTAATCATGTGCCAACGGGAATTAGGAGAGACACGTTTTTAACGCAAAATGAAAGCGAGAGAAATATTGGGAAACCAGCAGTTATGCAGAGGCGAGAGCTGTTGAAGCACTCATACCGGCGCTTGCGAGTATGGCCGATATATATCGGCGGTTTACTGCCGATATCATATATATCGGCAAACACGCAATATCGGCCCGATATATATCAGTTGGCCGATATATCGGACGAACTCTACTTATGATGCCCTCATAGTTTTCAAAAAATTCAGAAAATGCAAATTGTATTCAAACTTAACAAATTTAGTCCCTACGTTTAACAGTAACAAAGTTGTATGTTGAGTCCATAAAAATAGGTCATTAGTTATAATTACGGCGCTCCAAAAGTGTGTGTACCATTATGGAGGTAACTAATTTTGTTCGTCTCCTTTACATTAAGTTGTGTAAAGGGACTGAAACCAATGGCAGGGGGTTTATTTACTTGGCTAACACAAACAGTCCTCGAACTCATAATAGAAATAAAATAGGGAGAATCGGAATAAAAGTATGGCCTAACCTGGTACACACATTACGGGAGTACCATAATTACTTAATGTACATTATTAATTTTGTTCATACTAAACTCATGTGTGTACTCTTAATCGTACAAGCATTCGTGCATTTATTCAATATAATAAAACAATATATTCGCAGAGATGTCTGAATGTGAGAGGCTTGGACACGGCAAGTGTCACAAAAATGCAAATTGTGTGAGGGACGGCAAATTGCACATGTGTAAATGTCAGGGAGGATACTGGGGCAATGGTTACCTTTGCACAGGTAAATATATGAATATTTAAATCTATGGGTGAGTGTTTAACCTTTTTCCCCCTCTTAATGTTTATTCTGTTTTACTTCAGCTGGAAATCCACCAACCGATCCTTGTCACAGACAATTTGGAAAGCCTTGTCATCGTGATGCAAGTTGTGTAATGAAAGGCGACAAATCTCAAGAATGCAAATGCCATGATGGCTATGTTGGTGATGGATTGGAATGCGACGGTTTGTGCACTTTATGTTTTGTTGCACTGTGTCATCTTATCATTGTGTTCTTTCTTTACAGTTGCAAAGTTGTTTCTCGTTCTATAACATTATTCTTTCTGTTTACACATTGTACAATTTCTTGTAGGCTACTTCGTATTTAAATGTTTTGTGTTTCTGAAATTACAGCCATTGACAGAACAATTTGCTTCATCAACCTCGGACGGTCATGTGCCAGAGATGCCCTATGTGTAATTTTGATCAATGGAAATTATGAATGCCGTTGCAAACCAGAATACTTCGGCGATGGTTATAGCTGCGATGACAGTGAGTTATATTTTTAGATGAAATTGACAATGTCTATCTCATAAAGTTACCAGGGAATAAATAATACATATCGTAGCTATTCAAACAAAGAACCAATAAGTTGGATAAATACCAATGAATACATTTTGATTTTTTTGTATTTGTACATAGCTGTTTATTGTGCGTCTGTTTATAGTGATTTATTTATAATTTTTTTTTGCAGGAGGTATATTTGGAATTGGTCAACCCGGCCAGCCTGGACAGCCGGGCCAACCTCGCCAGCCAGGCCAACCAGGACAACCGGGACAACCTGGAAGGGTAGATATCCAACCCGGGCAACCTGCTCAACCAGGCCAAACAATATTTCGTCCTGGACAACCAGGACAGCCTGGTCAGACTATATTCAAACCTGGGCAACCCGGCCAGCCGGGACAACCTGGGAAAGTAGATATTCAGCCCGGACAGCCAGGCCAGCCAGGGCAAACAATTTTTAGGCCAGGACAACCTGGACAACAAGGGCAGTTTAACTTAGTTTCCAGATATCCATGTTACTTTTATCTGGGGCAGTTCTGTCATCGGTATGCAAGCTGCGTTTCTGTAGCTGACAGGTACCAATGTAGATGTTGGAGAGGATTTTCAGGAGATGGATTCAACTGTGCATGTGAGTTAAAGTTTTGTCACAATAGGTGACATTATAAATAAAGGATAATTTAGTTGGGTTAAACGTTATTCATCTTAATACTCTTAGTTTGATCTTAAGCTGTCAACTTTTATAAAGAAAAAACGTTTTTTCAGTGCCACCAATCTCTCAATGTCTAAGATATGCGTAAGATTTTTTGTATGTGAGTGCATTAATTACTGTTTATTATTTTGTCATTACTTTTTTATTATTCAAACTGTTGCCCAAATCTGTTTCAGACGAACCAATCAACGCTTGTCACAGCAGATTTGGACGAACTTGTCATCAAAATGCTGAGTGCGTAATGCTTTCGGAAAATAATCACCAATGTATATGTGCTAATGGTTTCTTTGGAAATGGTTTCAATTGCCAGGGTAAGTAAATATTTGCAACATAGCCGATTGTACAGTTTACACAATTTATTATTGAAAACGGAATATGACAAACAGATATCAATGGATTTTTTACTGTAATATTTCATTTAGTATTCGTAATTATATTATTTTTCATGTTTTATTATCATATCTTATCTACCGTATATAAAAAGTCATGAAACTTACAGCATCTTTTCCTTAGTTTAGGTATATATTGGCACCTTTGCTAGAACATAGATCTTTTTAATATTTATGATATATAAGTTGGTAATAGTAGGGAAATTTCCCATGTCACATTTCAACCTGAGTTTTATACCTTGCAGCCGATCCTAGAGACGAATGCGAACGACGTTTTGGGCAAAAGTGCAGCATTGACGCTAATTGTGACTTGATGGCTGATGGACGACATCAGTGTGTGTGCAACCAAGGTTACATGGGCAACGGATTTGTTTGCCAAGGTTTGTTTGGTTTTAGTTTGCCCTTTGAAGTGCTTGTATCAATATAATTTAAAGTAAATATTTTGTTCAGCTCAAAGTGAATGTATGAGGCGTTATGGAATTGAATGTCACGTCCACGCGGGATGTGAGGATGATGGAACTGGCTTCTACAGCTGTCAGTGTCGTGGAGACTATGTTGGAAATGGATTCAACTGCATGGGTATGTTGCTCAATAGATCAATGTAATAAAATACCAGCACAGTCTCAGAATTATTCTTATAAGATATATAACACATTTCAAAAACCTTATCACCAAATATTCAACATCTGTATATATGTACCAGCATAATATATTGTTGAATAATTACAGTAGTTGAGAATTGCTATTCCGCACAGAAAAAAATAATGATCATATCAAATCAGAAGTGTAGCAACACAATGACTCGAATGAGTTTTTACGGTGGTTTTGTCAGCTTTGAAACATTTTGATGAGACTCATAAATGAGTAATAATAACATAAACTCCAAATTGATATTTTCTGCATTAATTTCAGTTAGAAAAAGAGTGAATTGAGAGAATTCGGCATCTATTCTCATGAGCTCCGATTGCAAATTTTTTCAATAAGTAGTTGACATAGTTTGATTTTTTGTATATCATATAATATATATCCTAAGTGATTCAAGAGTCTTGCTGCACACTAACACAAATATATTTCTGTCATTCTGTCATTATTCTGTCATTGCTTGGTCAGATGAAACGTTACAGAAATCTATTTGTGATAGTGTGTCTGACCTTGGTAGGATAAGTACTAACTACTTTTAATTGCCTGTTAAACTGATTTATGAATTCACTTGTTTGCTTTGGCCTCAAAAATTTTATTCTTATTTTTCATAGAACGAAGTGGTTGCCACAAACAACTGAACCGAGCCTGTCACCAAGACGCTTTCTGTAGAAATCTAGAAGGAGGCGGCTATCAGTGTCAATGTCGTGAGGGATTCGAGGGAGATGGATCCGCTACTTGTAACGGTATGATTACTAAAACGTCATCTATGTTTTCAGAATATTGTGTTTTACCATATTGAATTCTTCTGTTTATTGCACAAGTAAGAAGCATTAGTGTTAGTGTTGCTCATATCAGACAATTTGATTTTGACCGGACTTATTCTTACTCACCAATGATATTACGCCTAATTTGGCCCAAACCATGCTTTCTTGGTATGAACTTGGAAAATCCCTGCATACACTTCTTGACATCTGTTTATATTCCATTAATCTGTTATCGGTGGTCCTAATTGCATTTGCCATATTCTCTCTTTTATACCATTATATCCTTGTATCATTTGGTGCATTGCGCATGATATACTTATACACGGAGTCGATGTCAAACAAATCACTTTAATCTTAGTTAAGTTTTAAAAAAAATGGATTTCATCTTCTCGGTTTGTCGCATTCGTTATAACCTTCTAACTCTAAAATAATGACAATTTAAATTGAATTACTTGTAGAGCTTTTCTGCCAAAGACCAAGTGATATCAACCAAGGAACCGTTACTCCGTCCGTTGGAAAATATCCGATAGGATACGTTATAACGTACATTTGCGAGAGAAATCATTATCTTGTTGGAAATCCTACCAGAGCCTGCCAAACAGATAGATCGTGGAGTGGATTGCCGCCAATGTGTACAAGAGGTTAGAAAAACATAACTATTGCTTGTGACACTTAGAAGTTGGTGAATTAATTACAACTAACCAATAAGAATATTTTTTTTTCGCTGTTGCAGATGGACAACCCGGCCAGCCTGGGCAACCAGGTCAACCTGGGCAGCCGATTCAAGTTGGAGGAGGAACTGTTTTTCAACCGGGCCAAGGCGGCCGAATTGATTTCCAACCTGGACAACCAGGGCAAGGTGGCCGAATCGATTTCCAACCTGGACAACCTGGCCAAGGTGGTCAAATTGATTTCCAACCTGGACAACCTGGCCAAGGTGGCCAAATTGATTTCCAACCTGGACAACCAGGTCAAGGTGAAGGTGGAAGAATAGAAATACAGCCAGGTCAACCAGGCCAAGGTGGTCGAGTTGATTTTCAGCCGGGACAACCAGGTCAAGTTGGAAGAATTGATAAACAGCCTGGACAGCCAGGTCAGGGTGGAAAAATAGAATTTCAGCCTGGCCAACCGGGTCAATTTGGAGTTTTCAGTTTAAATCCTTGGCAACCTGGACAAGAAGGAGACATTACATTTAGAGATGAATGCCACAGATATTTTGGATTACCTTGTAACAGAAATGCAGATTGTGTACAATATGAATCTGGCATTTACCATTGCAGATGTCTCGATGGCTTTTTAGGAGATGGAATTAGCTGTCAAGGTAAGCCAATATATTTTGCCACTAATCAATGTAATATATTGTGATTTTCACTCAATTTACCTCTTCTCGCTTATAGATGCTCCAGCGAGAGGACCGTGCGCGACAGCATTCCTTCAAGATTGTCATAGGGATGCAGAATGCAGAAGTGATGGAGTTGGTAATCCTGTATGTACTTGCAGATTCGGATATGAAGGAAATGGTTTGCAATGTAAAGGTATGTAACATGTTTGTGGTAATATGGATGTATATGGATTTACATTTTTTCATATAGTTTTTATATATATTCACGTTTTATATATACTTTAGCTTGTTCAATTAGTTGAATAGGTTAAGACTTATATACTCCCTGAAAATGATCCTCTGATTAAGTTTTAAAAACTGATACATTGCGTCACTTCAGATAACTAACATCGTTTTGTTAAATCATTGTACAGCAAAAACTTGTCAACGACCAAGGGATATATGGCAAGGCCGGGTTGTTAATACTGAAGGCTTATATTCGTTGTACGATATCGTTACTTATGAATGTTATGATGGCTCAAGACCACATGGAACTATTTTGCGAATGTGCACGCCGCAAGGAACCTGGACTGGATCGGAGCCAACTTGCTTTGGTATATATTAGTTTTGTCACTCTCAACTTATAATCAGCGTTATGTAAATATTCAACGAGATCTTTCACCAAACCGAATTATCTCAATACATATATATAAAACATGTAGGGGTATTCGACGTTCGCAAGATAAAGAGTAAACCAAATTTGGTCAAATAGATTTAAAATTTATGGGAGAACCGTTGAAACCTTCTTAGTACAAAAAATTCAAAACTAACAACACGCAGGTTGATAAAAAATATATGCTTTGAATATCAAAAAGAGCACTTGCGACAACAATCTTTGCCTTCGTTCTATAGTTCCAAAATTCATTACTTCTGAAGATATGGAAAACTGAACAGTTCCTAATTTTTTGTTATGTATGGTAATGACTAATGATATCTAGAATTGCCATTAAATTCATCTAATAAATTATAACACTAAGTTTTCTGTTTTGCCCTATCATAGTTGTCAGCATTGCCACTGAAAGTGCGATTCTTTTCACGACTACAATCCCACCATTGTACATTGTTTTATATTTTATGTTGATTTTATAGACCCACAGACTGGGCAAGGGGGGCAATCAGGCTTCATTGTGACACAGCCAGGTCAGACCGGACAATCAGGATTTGTTGTAGTCCAACCTGGACAACCAGGCCAGCCTGGATCTACTGTGAGACAACCAGGACATTCTGGTAATAATGTGTTTCAGTTTATTATTTTTTCGTGATGCATGGTAATAACTTATGATATCTAGAGGGGCAATTAAATTAATTTAATGAAATATAACACTAATGTTTGTGTTTTGCCCTTTCATAGTTGTCAGCATTGTCCCTCATGACGCGATGCTTTTGCTACTAAATAGCCACGACGACAAATCCCACCATTGTATATTGTTTTAAATTTTATGTTTATGTTATAGGCCAACAGACTGGGCAAGGAGGCTTCATTGTGACACAGCCAGGTCAGTCAGGGTTTGTTGTAGTTCAACCTGGACAACCAGGCCAGTCTGGATTTACTGTGACACAGTCAGGACATCCTGGACAGACAGTTGAGTCACAGCAGGGTGGTGGTCATCAAGGACAAGGTACATACAATTCATTCATGTTGCGATGTTATTTACTTTTGAAATTTTTTTGTCAAAACCATGTGTAAGTCTTTTTGGTAACATTATAATTTATTATATTAAACACTATACATAATGATTGAAAGTAATCTTGCATTGGACAAATTTTTCATATATAAAAATACATATAACATTTTTCAAACCTATGTTATTCTTTATTGGCAGGTCAGCAGGGTACAACGGGTCCTGGATGCCCTCAACCTAATCCCATTACAAACGGAAGAGTACTGTCTAACCAAGCAGTATACAGTTTCGGAAACGTCGTGGCATATAAATGTGATGAAGGCTTTGTATTAGTCGGAAATGAATTTAGAACATGTAAAGAGGACGAGTCATGGACTGGATCTGATCCTTATTGTCAAGAAGGTTAGTAATTACCTTGAACGCGTCGCTCATACCAACCGAAATTAGTAATTAAGCATATATTATAGCTTTTAGAGTTATGACCGAATCAGAGAAGATCGCATTACTTTGATCTATTTTTGTGAAAGTATAATTATTGATGAACTGAGACAACTATCTTTAGTTCACTAGACTATAATTCTGGTAGCGATATGGTTACAAAAATTGTGTTAAAAGAAAGTTTCGAAATAGCAAATTGTCACCCAGGCTACATAATTTGGATAGACCTTTATAGTTAATGTTGCAGAGACATGAAAATAAGTTGCATAGGCTTCAGGTCGACTGAATATTCATTGGTGCTGTAGACAAAAAAAATTTCTTTTTCATATTGGTTTGCTAAGATCTTCACATTGAGCTTTCAAGCAGTTTTGAATAATTACGTGAATTTCTTTTTGGGAAAATATTTCTTAATTAATAGAAGACAAGCGAATAATATCTTATTCCCTAAGCTTACATGCTAAAAATATGAATTTCAAATATTTTTTTAAGGTTCTATAGCTGCCACCCATTCCGATGAGATGGGTGTAACGATAACTCGACCCGGGCAACCCGGTGAATTAGCCTCAGCTGCTGATTGTGCAGCTTATTTTGGAGAATTGTGCAGTGATTTTGCCAACTGTTGGGCTACTGGTGGTGGAAATTACTTGTGTCAATGTATGCAAGGATACCATGGAAATGGATTTGACTGCCAAGGTAATAAATATACTATGTTTGTATTGAACATGGGTGAATGGAATAGAAAGGGTATGATAATTAGAAACAGTTATGATAGGAAGTTTCCATATTATTTTTGTTTCAGTTGAATATAGTGACTTAAAATTTGTAAATATGAGTAGACTACAGAAAACGTATTTGAAACAAAATTTTAAATTCTTTATTTCTGAAACATTTAAGTTCATTGCCTTTAGCATTTATATTTGGCTGATAAATCGATTTTAGGACCTTGACAGCTCCTTAGACTTGAGTAGCAGCTAACAGTGCATCAAATATTACCTACTTATAATCTGTCTGCAGCTATATGCTTAAATAAATGTACACAGCGTGCAAAATAGTAATTGTTGGTAATACTGTGTTTCAGCTAATACACAAACAGAAGAAATGACTGTATCTCATGAATCTGGAATGAAAACTACTCATTGTTCAAAACCGAGAAATATTCGTTTCGGAAAGATTGCAACCAGTGATAATAATTTTACGTTGAACACAATAGTGACATACTCATGTCCATCCGGATATCAATTACGAGGAGACAGGCAACGCACATGTAAATCTGATGGGAATTGGTCTGGAAAAGAACCAAGCTGCAAACATATTTAACTCCAGGTGCACATTTGCTTGTAACCCCTTATTCACTATTTTGGTGGTTGATCAGCAGTATATCTTTTAACGAATAATTGAAAATTAAAAAAGACCAATATCTGATTTGCTCAAAATAAAATTTGTTGGGTGCTCGTGGCGTGTTGGTTTAAGAAACAAATAATGAATTTCTCAAGAGAAATAATTTATCTTAAAGAAATTAACAGAACTTTGGATCTTTTTTTAAAACAAACCGGTAACATTCCAATATTAACTTTTTTTTCACAGAAAGGAAGACAGTGCTTGATGCAGTTCAGAAGCAAACATACACAATATAACCTTGATGATACATATTCTCAAAAGAAATACTAAGGGTTAATGCATATTATCATTGTTTGTGTAATTAAATGGTGAAATAAAATCGTGACTTAATGTTCACAATACGCTTAAATTTCTTGTGTACAATTATTCAATTTGTGTCAACCAAAGACGACAGTTTTTGTTTCGAAAATGAATTAACCAGAGATTTGTGTATGACATTTTCAACCTGATAAACCCGGCATACTCGAAGATTGCTTATGAATTATTCGCAACTCCATAACAACTTCATTGCATGATACTAGAACATATAATGCCAAAGGTTCTCATTCAACAAAAAAGCATGTTCACAGAATATGTTCCATATCTAAGGTAATTTCAGCAATATGCTTTCAAAATGGAATACTTAAAATGACCAGTATATTGAATATAACATTCGAATTTTCAATATCGATAGATTGGTGTGATTAACCTAACACCGAAATAAACAAGTCCGTAAACAAGCTCAAACATGAACCAAGTGTCTCACTTTAAAGCAGCACAAATGAAAGAATGGCGACTTTTAAATCAAAATACCACGCCATTGAAGGACGAAAAGTAAAGGTCAGCAGGGCCAAATGTCAACTCGTTGCTAGATTTTAATACACAAATCACCGCATTCTCCACAGATGACTAAAATTACATAATAAAAGTATGATAACAAAGGTATGGAAACATCAATCATTTATGTTTGCTTCTCCGAGCAAACATGACGACAATTATATCGCATAAAATTTTTAGACAAGTCTACAAGGTGCAGAAAAAACGAGGAGGGTTAGCATAGCCTGAAATAAGGTGATAGCACATTTGAACCCATACATTTGCACCCGTATATCCGCGGGTTCAATCTCGTCAATATGCGGGTGCTAAAATCCATGGGCTAGGGCTAGTATGCGTTCAAATGTTTAAAAACGTACATGAATAAGCGCTCATCCACCCGATAGAAGAAAAAAACATTTTAAATAAACACGAATGATACTGTACTCCTAATTAACATGATGGCGGTCCTTGTGAATACGTGCGACGCAGATTATTATTACCCCATCTGAGGTTTTGTCCAGTCTCGGGAGTTGACGAAAAAACGCCAAACGATGCAGGGCATTTTACGACAGTCGTGTCGTGTCCGCACAAATGTATACAAAAAACTTCTTATAACACGTTTACACGTGGGGTTCAATTTGAGTATATTGTCGACCAATAGAGACCAATACGATTTACCCACGTACATACAAATGAGTACACCCATACATACAAATGAGGGACGATTCTGAAAGTTCACGCCTATGCGAGGTTTCGAAGACGACGGGTAATCTGTTCCAGCACAATCAAAACAATCAGCGATTCAAAAACTTATTGTGGTTAGAAATGATGCTCGGGCAAATTGTTAATTATTGTCTTGTCATTGCTCGCAACACAAATGAAAACCACTCAACTTGTCTGAAAACTATTTAGCAATCGATACGTATGCATTTTGTAGTTCAATCCACTGGAGCTCATTTTCATGACCTGGCCGATATTAAACTTGAACAAAATGAAAGCATAGAAGATTTATTCTAACGATTGCGAAGATCATCGTCAGACGAAAAAGTCGTGTCCTTTATGCAAAACAGTTTGCCGTGCCCAAACACGCCACTTCCTTAATAACTGTCCATTTCTACCAGAAGCTGATCGACGATATCTAAAAAATATCAGAACACGCACTATGGAAAGATTCGACGTGGAACAACCAGACAACGACCACAGAGATGAAAGCTTAAATGATGAAGGTATAATCCTCTATTTACTCGCTACGTAAAGGTAAAATTTTGTCCTCACTTCGATACGAATATTCAGAATAATAAAGTTGTCACCATTGATTCGAGTGCACAAACCAATTTAGTCAATTCGTCAATGGCCAAATTGCTTAATAAAGCCAATATATATAAGAGAAAGTCGTCATTGAGCTGTACAGGCGGATGGGGCTGTACTAGGGCTGGGAATTTCAGGGAAAGCACTTTAACCGTTAACCAGGTAAAATTAACCGGTTAACCGCCGTATGACGTTTGACGTAATAATTTATATTTTCAACTTGTTACGTCACAATCCTTATAAAGCAATTTCGCGTGTTCTTATCCCGGTATTGCTCAATATTATTCACGAATCGAGATAGTTTCATGACAGCTCTGCAGCAAGAGTATTTTAGAAAACCTGATTCCGTTGTTAAACGTCATTTATTTGACAAATTATCAGCGTTCGATGTGCAAATTCTACTTCGAGATATATATTATAAAGAAAAACGGCATCAACTGCGCACTTGTTGTATGACATTGATTATCCGATTTTGCAATGGAATCGTAAACAATATATTTCGAAATTGATCGAAAACAGATTCTGAATTCATCATTGTCAAATTTCCATAATCAGCAATCTTGGTACTTCCATTATTTTTCACATTTATTGAGTCCTTACCCACACAGTTAGTAATATTCTTTTGAATTAAACGCCACAGGAGATAAATTTGCGATGACGTATTCATATTTGAAGAAATTGTACGGTATAAAGATGATTTGAACCTGAGATGTCAGTTAACGGTTAAAATAAATCGTAACCGTTAACCATCTGAAATCGGCTAACCATTCTCAGCCCTAGAAATCACTATTAGATGTAATTAGAGATACTCTCTCTCTCTGACGGGATGGTCATCACTGACCAGCCGTGGCACTCTTCACGAATCGCCGCCATTGTTTCCGGTTTTGTGCCATTCTGAGTAACTCAAGCATGCTTAGAGATACTACGAGATAACAAAAACATGCGCTTTGACGCTCTTGTGGTCAAAAGCTTCGATTCTGAAATCTTAGCTGTAATACATCTCTCCGTTCATTTAAAAACAAAATAAAATTTCACGATGAGTCTATTTATCACTACGGTAAACGATGACGAGCTTCAGTTACCAAAGTTCTACGAATCACCGCACGCACCCAAACTATCTGGCCAGGGAATCATTTGAATATAAAAATTCCAAATGAATTTTTAGCGGAAACTGCTGTGGTGATAAAACCTCATAATATCGTGCATAAATCCGGTATGAAATGGCCTTCACCAGACATGGAGGTGGAGGTGGCCCGTGTTGCATTCAGAGTATAATAAAAAAAATTTGTTGTTCGCATTTGTTGTTGTTTCGTCATAAAATTAACCAAAAAAATCTCTTGACATATTGCTACATCACTGATGTCACTGAATTGACTAGTGTTATGGCTAGCTGAAGCAACTGGCGAAGTGAATGACGTTTGGCAGTCTAACTTGTTATCTGGCTTTCTATTTTTTTTTGGTCGGGAATATATGCTAACAAATTTTGGCATCATAAAAAACTAGAAATCGAATGCGGACTCTATTAGCCTGGGTCGGCTATGCCCGATAACTGAATATTGATGTTATGGCCTAACAATATAATTCATGCCGGTGTTTTTTGCAACCTGCCTAAACAGTATTACAAAAAATGCTGCCTATATGTCAGAAAATTTAGTAATTACCCTCCTGTACCTCACATTTGGTAATCAATCAATCTGCAGTTATGTGTAAGTTATTTTAGGCATGAGTTCGAAAAGAAAGCCGACGAATTCAGGCAGATTTTGAACTGGCTGTGGGAGTGAAAATACCATAATGCCTACATGATATGTCGGCAAGTTGTGTCGGTGTCAAAAGAATATAATTTAAAACGGTATTTTAGAAACTTGTGAGCAATGAGATTTTTCCAAATTTAAGATTTTGCTTTGAAAATCTTATCGATGTCCGAAAGCATTTACATTTGCGGAAGCACTTTTTCTGTTACGAAAAGTTTGAAATCTTACATTAAATGTAAATATAGAAAGACTTTTACAGGGTTTATATATAAGTTTTTCCGTGTTTTTTTCATGTTTTAGCTTGATAAATACTGATCAATGTGTTTAAACAATAATAGTGTTTTTGTATTGCACTATTTACCTATTTTTGGTATTATTTTGTCCCGCAAACAATGCAAAAATAATTTTGTGGCCCTCCGGAATCGACAACCTTGGACCACCCTGTTCTAAGGCATCAATTGAATAATCCGAGTTATAACCCCATATCGTGGCGCAGGAGTTTATACAAGAACCACCGTGGGCACGTCGGGAGCCGAAACACCTTTAGAGAAATCAATGTCTCGCATACTAGGAAATAATTTTCTATATATATATATATATAAACAAGATTGCAGACAATTTATTTTGCGGGAGAAATTGCGTTGAGAAACTTCACCAAAATTAGCCGGACGTTTTAGAAGCAATGAAGGCATGTCGAATTGCATTATCGGCGATCATTGCACCGAAATCCCCAACAATCTTAGGATGGATTTGGTCCAAAGGAATAATTTCTGCTAACTCCCGTAGGATCGCAACTTAATCAACATGTGGTCCACCCACAACGGTTAAAGGCAGTGGTGGGATTCAGCCGGTTCGCATCGATTCTATAGAACCGTCTCACGGAATTTTATGAGACTGTCAAACCGGTTAGCATTACTGGTTACTGTCGATGTTCTGTTTGTAACAGAACCGGCTGACAACAAATTTGAATTCCGCCACTGGTTAAAAGGTATGCGTTCATTTCTTGGTGCATATAAAGTTTTAAGCCGTGTATTCGCGAATTGAGCATGTATATATACATATGCTAAATGAGTTGCAGGAAACGACGAACGGGCTCTTATCCCAAGAAAGAATGGTTTGAAAAGATACTTTGTTAGATGCTTTTTTCGCTCTTGCAAGAAACGTTTGTGAAATCATAAAGTGATAATTTTACCAACTGAAGGCGATCACCTGTGGATAGTTACTGAATGTTTGGTAAAAAAAATACATGGGATGAGAGAAAAAACTTCAGGTTCTACAGCACCAAATTGCGTAGGAGGCAACATACATGGATCCCATGCAGAGTTGAAGCGTTATGTATTGCGCCATCCGTTGAAACATTTTTCACCATATATTATTCGGTCAAAACACAGCGCATGTGGTGTGTCGGTGAGAATTTGAAACAGCGCTGGAGTTTTTCTATACGTTTCTTCCTGTAGTTAGCCAATTCCAATGCAATATTGTACATCTCGCTGGC